CGCAGCAGGCAACTTCACTGAAGCAGGCCTTGCCCTTCAGTTCCATGCCGACCTCTACGAATGGGATCTCACCAAACCTATGCCGGAACTGCTCAGACCCGCATTCCCAGCTCAAAGTGCATTCGAACGGAGAGAGGCTTTGTACTTCTCTATCATCCAAAACTTCGAAAACGCCATGGCCTGGAGTCCCGCGTTGACTTGCTACAAAGAGCTCGCAGCGCACTACGAGCACACGACAATGGATTTCGCCAAGCTCTCCCGAGCCCAAAGCTCCATGGCTCGAATTTACGATATCATCGCCAAGGGCAACAAACAATTCCCGCGCTACTTCCGTGTGGTCTACAAGGGTCTCGGGTTTCCTCCCGGTTTACGCGATAAGGAGTTCATCTTCGAGGCCTCCCCGACAGAACGCATGGCCTCTTTCGTGGATCGCATGCAGCGGGAACATCCTACTGCACAGATCTTGTCTACTGGCGAGAGCCCTGACTACGAAGGCCAATTCCTCCAAATCAGTGCCGTCAGCGCATACCGCGATGTGTCTCATCCTGTCTACCAGCGCTCAAAGGTTCCGTCGTCTGTCCGCGAGCACCTACTAATCTCGGATCCGTCTCGTTTCTCTACCACCTTGCGACGACACACGAACAGCTCGGATGTACGGGAGCAATTTGTCGAAAAACTCGTTTTCACTGTCTCAGAGGCGTTCCCGAACATCCTCCGTCGTAGTGAAATTGTTTCCGCCCAGGAGATTGCTCTATCGCCTCTGCAGACTGCCATTGAGCGTACGTGGCGCAAGACACAGGAACTTCAACTTATTGGGCGCCGTGCTGCGTCAGGCGAGGATTCTAGTCTATCTAATCTGACCGAAGCTTTGGAATCATTGCTTGAGCTCAGATCGCCAACCTCAAACTGTGTGGCATTGTACCGTGTATTCTTATCGGATGCGGAGATGGCAAGGAACAAGCTGCTTGAGGAAGTTGATGAAGACGCTGAAGGAGTCCAACCAACACCGCAGCCTGTGGACCCAATGGAGACTGCGCTCTCTGTTGCCCTTATCGACCACGCCTTGGCTATCAAACATGCGTTGTCTCTTTACCAACGTCCCGCTCAGCAAGCTACCCAAGCCGAACTGCTTCGACGCTTCGAAGATGTCTTCGAGCCCGAGCTGGGCTGTCTCATGCCAGCTCCGGCGGAGTACACCTCCCCTCCCCCCACCCAGACAGCCCGCCAATCCCCCGTCTTGGGCGACAGCCGCCGAATGCCACCTGTCCAGCAAGCTGTTAGTCCGGAAGACCCCCACCGCGCAGTGCGAGGCAAGGCCCACACCCGCAAGCGCTCTGACCGACAATCCGTCAGTCACCGGATCAGCATCATTAACCCCTTCAAACGATCTCACGGCGCCACCAACTCCATCTTCACGATCCAGCCATCGGACAGCAAGGGCCAAATCGTGGATGAACATGACGAAAACATCGACGACGACACGGCCACGATCCACAGCCGCACCACCAGCCATTCCCGTGGCGGCCGAAGTGAGAAGCGCCGCAGCTTCTTCGGCGGCGACAAGACATACAAGCACGACACCTCGGCGTCCGTCGCCCATGATTCCCAGACCTCATTGAACACGCACAATGCCGCCCGCGACACGGTCCCCCGCTCCCAGGACGGCCGCAGTCGGGCGGGCTCCCAGCACCGCGGCCCTACCGCCACCGGTGCAGCCACGGACCGAACTGCGCCCGCCTCCAGTGGTGGGTGGTCTACACTCCCATCCACGCGGGATTATTCACGGCCAGTCACGCGCGAAAGTAATGGGATGACTTTAACAACTACGAATGGGACGGCACCTTTGTCTCCTGTTCTCAATAATAGTAATAGTGGGATGCGGGATTCGGTGTTCCGTCGTTTCAGTATGCTCAAGGGTGTTGGGCGCAAGAGCAGTCGGATGGATTTTAAAGCTCATGGTGCGCTTCCCGAGGAGTAATGACCCCCCCTTCCCCCTTTTTTTTTCCTCTCTCTATTTTTTTTTTATTCTATCCTTTATACCTCTTTTTTGTGTCTCATCCCTCCTTTTATTTTTCTTTTGATGTGATTTACTACCCTGATGTATTCTATGTGGAGGATTCTCCGGTGTTTTTCAGATATATATCCCATCTGTGCTATATAGTTCCCTAATGTTATTTACTCCTATGATCCCATGGTTAGGTACATGTGCAGGTTAAGTTCGAATTGACCATGGATCTCTTGAAGCCCGTCCGTGCATCCAATTGTGGAATGTGGCAGTGCAGGGTCTTGGCGATACAGCTGTCGCCAATCACAATATTCGATGATGTATGATGTGGAGTGTTCCAGGTATCCCAAGCTCCTTCCCCCACCGACTGGGCCACGATCCACCAATTGGCTCTCCACTCTGTCTGCATGTTCCCTGACATTGAAAGGCTGTGCCAACCTTGATTTTCCGAAATTTCTCATTGTCATCGCTAAAAGAAAGTGGCTCGATCCCCACTCCATTCCTCGACCTTGGAAGCTTGGCCTAATGTGTGGGTGTGATACTGTTTTCCCCCTTCCTTTCTTCTCATCCGCTCCTTTCCGGCTTTCTGTGAAAGTCCCTATACCAATTCCGTTCAGGTAACGGAAATATTCTAACTAACTTGAGAATATATCCAGCTCTCCCAAATTTCCGCTCCTACTTTCGAAGCCACACCTTCGGTCCGCGAAGAATGAACTCGACAAATGGCACCCTGGCCAATGAGCGAACAGGCCTGCTTGCTTCACACCGTGGCTCCTTCGATGGCATCGCACCTCACGAGCACATAGATCATGGACAACACCACCACCACCCCAAGGATAACCGCGTCTGGGTGCAATGGCCCATGCATGTCGTCCGTCTAACCTGGAAAACCATCGTCCGTGACTACGTCAATGTTCTACTTATCTTCGTCCCCTTGGGCATCGTTGCCGGTGCCCTTGGTTGGGACTCCACCACTGTCTTTACGCTCAATTTCTTTGCTATTGTTCCCCTCGCTTCGCTGCTCAGCTTCGCCACCGAGGAACTGGCCGCTACTCTGGGCCAAGCGCTTGGCGGTTTGATGAATGCCACTTTTGGAAATGCTGTTGAGTTGATTGTAAGTTTGCCAAGCCTCAGCCCCTAGATCAATGCCCAAAGTGCAGTGCTATGTAGCGAGTGATATGTGTGGATCATGATACTAATGTGCTTTGTGTGTTAGGTCAGCATCATTGCCCTGAGACAGGGGCAGATTCGCGTCGTTCAGGCCAGTATGCTCGGTAGCATCTTGTCGAACATCCTCCTCGTTCTGGGATGCTGCTTCTTCGTCGGCGGACTCCGCTATCGCGAACAATCTTTCAACACCACAGTCGCATCAACCATGTCTTCGCTTATGGCTGTGGCTTCCGCTTCGCTTATCATCCCTGCTACGCTCTACGCTGCGATTTCGGATAAGAAAGTCGTCAAGCATAGTCCAGATGACGATAAGCTCCCGGACCCGGACCAGACTGCGCAGGACAACATCCTTATCTTGTCACACGGCACCGCTATCATCCTGTTGCTTATTTACGTCATGTACCTCTACTTCCAGTTGGCGTCCCACTCCGACCTCTTTGAAGAGTCGAATGCCAGCGATACCGAAAATACCGCTGGCGCCGAGGAGGAAGAGCAAGAGGAAGAAGAACGCATCCTCAGTCCCTGGGCTGCGGCCGTGGTTCTCGTCGTCGTGACCGTCCTCGTCTCTATTTGCGCTGATTACCTAGTCGATGCTATCGATCCCCTAGTAAAGACAACCGGCATGAGCAAGACGTTCATCGGACTGGTGTTGATTCCGATTGTGGGTAATGCCGCGGAACACGTCACTGCCGTAGTGGTTGCGTACAAGGATAAGATGGATCTTGCTATCGGAGTTGCTATCGGTAGCAGCTTGCAGATTGCACTGTTCGTCACGCCGTTCTTGGTCATTCTAGGCTGGATCATGGGTGTCGAGATGACACTGCACTTCCAGACTTTCGAGACGGTTGCATTCTTTATTTCTGGTTTGGTGGTTACTCTGCTTATTCAGGATGGAAAGTCAAATTACCTGGAGGGTGGTATGTGTCTCGGCATGTATATCATTCTGGCTTTGGCGTTCTACGTCTACCCTGATAACATTTAAATGTTATCAAGCTGAGGCTTGGGTTCGGATTATTTTCGGGTTGGGGCGGTTGTCTGGTGGCTCTCTCTTTTGTGTATTTACCCTAGCATCTGCTGTGTTTTCTTGTCTATGTCAAACATACTTGTTCATAGTACATACTTTGGTAGTCAAAATTGTATGTGTGGGTATATTTTTACAATACTTTACTACCTTAGAAAGCCTAAGTAATTTGGCCTCGGTAGTGGAAGTGGTGACTATAGGTTGCTTACTAGCCTTCGAGTCCACTAGGCCGCTATACACTTAGTAGATATATCTAGCTAAGCTCTTTCTATTAGGATGATCCCTATACAAAGTATTACTTACAAATTACATTAAGTCTATCTCTAATCCCACTCCCACACTATACTTAATAGTAAGACACTAGGTAGAATATAGGTAGGATATTACCTGACTAGTTACTTACAGGGCTAGGGACCTAGGTTTATTAGGTATCACACTAGGTATATAGTGGCCTTTATAGTATCAGGCCTTATAATAGTGGTGGTATACCTAGTAGATCCTACCTTTTACTAGTAAAGAAGGATCTCTTTTAGGGTAGCTACCCCCTAAAATAGGGTTAATTTATCCACTAGTAGTAGGGTATAGACTAGAAGCCTATCTATTAATCTATACTAAGTTGTAATACTTGTTATATAGCTATCTTAAAATAGCTATAGCTTTTTCTACTCCCTAGATAGACTGCGACATCGCCCATGGACGGGCGGGTGGGCATTGCCCACGGGCCTTATGTAAGCGGGAATTAAGCGCAGATCTTCCTTTACTTGGCGTCTACGTAGGTATCAATTCTGTGCAATACTTCCCAAAATGGAAAAGAGAAATCGATCAGCTTCACCTTCCAACACACCGCGTGCCCAACGAGCTATACGTCGATTGGAGAGAGCAACCCTGCCCGTAGTATCCCCGCTTACAGTACCCCAGCCAACAGGACCCCTGCCCATAACACCCTGCGGACTGTCAATACTCTCCACGGACACTGCAGACTCACTAACCAGTTTAGAGCAAGACGCCCGGACTAGGATCCATGCTTATGAAAACCAGTCACTTCGCGATGAGACGCTGTTGAAAAGCGGCTTGAATGCATTTCTCACGTGGCTACCAGAGGCCGGTAGAACCTCCATCGCGAGAGATATTATTGGGACAAGCTCCGACCGAGAGCTGTACGATGTCTTCATGAACCTTTTTACTGGACTTGCTGTACCGAGTAAGTACGTTCCGTTCAAAAGTATTCGTTCATTTTCCTTAACATTGCTAAATAGTGAAATCCCGATCAAAAGCACCCTCTGTTGTGGAAAGTCCTTATCCAAAGCGCCAGGAGCACGTCGATATAGTTACCTCCCTTGATCAACCTGAAAGGCGTGACTCTTCGTTCGCGGCACAGCTCCAATTGCGGGACACCTATCGCTGTGTAATCACGGGTCAGCTGAACACCGATCAATGGGAGCACGAAGGGGAACCAGGAGATGTTCACTTTGGCCCGACTGAGGGGGCTCACATAATACCTTCTGCGTTTGCCTCGTGGCCAGGGGTGTCCGGAGCGCCAAGAGATATGTCAAGTACCTGGGCCTTACTATACAAGTGTTTCCCTGGGCTACGCGAAATAATTTCAGCAGAGGAGATCAACACTCTTCGCAATGGAATCACTCTTCGAGACTCGGTGCATACCCAGTTTGGCAAATTCACAATTACCTTAAAACCAACCGTAAGCAGGCAATGATCTACCATAAAACTATATATGTTCACTCTTCTTATCAGGATATCGAAAATGAGTACGAGGTGAAGACTTATAAGCGCTACCCCTCGGCTGACATCCTCCTCATTCCCTCCAATCGGCGCGTCCGATTTTTGCCAAACACAGAGTATGAGATTCCCTGCCCCGCAATTCTCGATGCGCATTGGAGAATGTGCGAAATTTTTAATGCATCGGCTATGGGAGAGACCATTGAACGACATCGTCGGAAATGGGAAGAGTTAAGAGACTCTGGGTGCGCTGTTGTTAGAGAGGACGGTACGACCGATCTCGCTAGTCTACTTGATATCGCGCTACGGGGCCAAGTTCCCGCATGAGTACACGCTTTACACTTCTGTATTAGTATCAGGTCTAGGGCAATCTTCATTCTTATGAAGTCCCCTTCAATTATCACGTTCATCGCTCTCCGTGTGAGAATACCAGAGATCGATTCAAGAAAAGGTGAGACACATCTCAAGTCCACCTTCGATATTGGATCCGGATATCATTCAGGGGAGCCATCACGTATCTTTGTAGTAGAAATGCTTACACATTCCTAATCAGGGCCACGATCAACTTTACATTGAGATCAAAAAGCGGTAAAAGGTGAGCAATAAAATAGAAGGGGCAAGATCCCAAGTGCCAGGTTTTATCCGGTACATATGCATGTAATGGATTTGCTTTTTTGGAAAAGTCTTCTATCCTTCGATTCAGTCACTTCACAATTGTGTACCATTGGATCTCTTCCTCGACGAATGAACCACTGATCTAAACAAGACCATTGGAGGCTTGAAGTTGAACCGATACCCATATCAAATGCCCTCAAGCATCCAACTTCTTCGGCCTGATCCCCCTCACCATATCAGGATAATCAAACTTGGCCGTCATATTCATAAATAACGAACTCGCCGGGTACGCCTTAGGTATATCCTCCCCACGGGACAAAAAGTTCATCGGGAACCCAATATCAAACTTATAAGCCCCTTCAATCTCCTCCACCTCATCTAACAAATCCAAATATCTGAAAGACCACCAAGGCATCTAAGGGCTGCATACCCGATCAATTCTTTTTTGTAGGCTATTACAAGCGAATTGTTTGATACATTTCTACGTATACCGACACTCGACATTTGCTACTGCGGAAATATATCTACGCTGAATCACGTTGTAGTGACAGAAGAACTTCGCTTTGAAAGTATAGACCAGGTCTGACGAATTGAAACTTACCTATATGTTTTCATCCCCCTAATCATATTTCAGACTACTTACCCACCTGCACCCATGACCTCAATCCTGTTTCCTTGTACAATTCATGACCTCACATCTAAATCCTTGGCGCTTACATAAGCATCCCGGAAATTTGCTCGAGACCGCAAACTTCCCAAAACAGGCCGATTAATCTCGACCTCCCCTCAATAATTGCACAGGGGTCAATTCTCACAACCACAACCATGGCGCCTCGACTTAACCTCTTCACAGCCAAGGCCGTCTCGGCCCTGCGCCAATCCACCACTCCCGCACTGTCTTCCCCCGGAGTATCGCCAGCCCCGTCCGATTCCGCGCCGTCCAGTCACTACCCATTCAGTGCCGATGGAACTCCTCGCGCGATGGCCCCAAGAAGGTCGAGCCCCAGCCCGACGAGCAGACTTACCCGACTATCGATCAACTCCCCGATGTGACCGAGGAGGCCAATGAGATCTCCCGAATTATGGAGAAGGAAAAGCGCTGTGATGGTGTTCCTTCTACTCCGGAGTTAGATCAGGGAACGCCTGTTTCGGAGGTGAGCAAAAATGCATAATCCAAGGCATTGCTAGGTCTTGGCTGGAAAGCCGACATCGGATATGGTTGTTAACTGTACTTGGGAACAGGTCCTCAGCCGCGATCAGGACGCTATGAAGCACATGCCGAAGGTTATGCGGGATGCATTGAAGAAGTCTGGTGGCTCACGCTCCTTCTCGACATCTGCCCGGAGCCTTATGAACGATCTGCAGGGCGTTGAGCCTAACAATGAGTCTAACCTTATTCCTAATATGTCTGGACTCGAGGGTGCTAGTGATGAGGCTGCTGCTGCTCTTGCTAGCATGATTGAGCAGGTGCAGGGTCAGGCTCTTGAGGAGAACCCTGGACTGAAGTTCGATGCGCCTGCCGTCCCTGAGGATCTTAAGACTTTGAACTTCCGCAAACGCTACGATACCTTGCAGGATCAGTTCACCAAGATGATGATGGAGAGTGGGAAATTGACCAAGGCACAGAAGGTATGGTTTTCCTTTTCCGTTCAACCTTGGGGTGAAAGTGCCGGGAACATTGGCTAACTGAATGACTTAGAACATGTCTCTCATTCTGGATCACCTCCGCACCTCCTCTCCTCCCCAGATTAACCCTCGTCGCCGTCTTCTCAACGCTCCCCCAGCATCCCAGCTCCCCCTCGACCCCGTTCTCTACCTCACTCTCGTCGTCGACTCTGTGGCGCCTCTCTTCCGAATTCGTCAGCAGAAGGGTATCGCCGGTGGTGGTACTGCCGTGCAGATTCCCCACCCGCTGACTCTGCGTCAGCGCCGCCGTACTGCGATTAAGTGGATCATCGATGCGTCGGAAAAGCGACGTGATGCGTTGTTTGCCAATCGTGTTGCGGCTGAGGTGGTGGCTGTTGCTGAGGGTCGTAGCGGTGTCTGGGAGAAGAGGGACCAGCAGCACAAGATTGGTATTTCTGGTCGTGCGAACTTGAACACTAACGTTCGCCGCTAAATTTGCCTTGTCGGCTTGTATTTCTTCTATCTGGGGTTTGGGGTTTGTCTTGTATCTCTGAGCACTTCTGCATATGTACATTTATATAGTCTGGTCAAAAATTGACATTTATTCTCTATGGGCTTACTGATTTCCCGAACTGGATAGCCATACGAAGTACAATCCGGGACTTTGACGCTGAGTTTTTAATGTGGCTTGGGATCTCTTGGTATCATTTTATTGCCCTATATAGGAATGGCTTATCCCCTAGTTTTACCACATTTTCTCTTATTGGAGGCCACCTACCCTTAAACTTATCTTGCATATCAATTGCTCCTATTCATCAACTACGTATCATCTTGATCTGATCTCTCACTGCTGAGAACATTGACAGGCCCCATCACGCTTACCTAATTACAGCTTAGCTGCAGCTGCACAACTGTTCCTGAAGTCGAAGGAAAGGAAGCCCCTAAGACGTTCAATATTTTACATATCTGCAGTCTCGGGGTAGATTCCAACCAGATATACGACACATCCCCGATCAGTGGAGCGTCGCGTTATATCATTACCGACTTGACCACTACCCAGTGCAACCCAAGCTCCAGCTGACCCGGACTTTTCGGCCCTCTTCGCGCCCCCCACCACAATAGAGCCCACTACATTCCCTTCGGCATTGCCTCTCTCTATATTGACCTAGGCCGACTATCCTCCGGCCTCCTCAATTGAAGGTGGCTTCAACGTTGCGCGACGATTCCATTGAACTTGTCGACTATCATCCTACCTCCCACACAGCAACCACCAGCGCATCTGGTCGCGCTCACTCAAACGAATATCACGATAGCGATAGGCGATTTGAACCTGCCGCTAATTCGCCGCCGCTTGGCTCTGATATCGGTTTTAGAGAATCGCAGGAGGGATTAGAGCTCGACGAGCTTCGCCCCGAGGGCTCTCGTCTTAGGTTCTGGGCTGAGGCTCTCCGACGTCGCGCTTATAACGCATCGCACGGGATCGTCGATCCGGATTCCGAAAAGATGAAGTTCTCGCATAGTGTGCAGTTTAACGCTGTGCCCGATTGGAGCTCCAACTACATCGCCTACAGCAATTTGAAGAAATTGTAAGTTACTTTATTCGGTGGTGGTGCCTGGTGATCTGGGGATATGAATTCGTGTCACATTGCACAAGATCGATTCGTGAATGGCCGGGTCGGATAATTTCAATTATGGTGCTAACGTTGCATTGTGGCTAGGATCTACACCCTTGAGAAACAGGTCAATCGCCTTGATGGACCGCCTGCCACAGATGTAGAGGCCGCTCCGCTGCTGGGTGGTGTTGAACCGAGTAACCCGGATACAATCTTTAAACGGGCTCTTGACGTTGAGATGGATAAGATCTGTTCTTTCTATAAGAAGAAGCAGGCGGAGATTTTTGAACTCGCGGATGAGCTTATTAAAGACGCCGATGTATATCTTTCCGAGACAGACGGTGTCAATATGGACCCCGTCAGTGAGACAATCATCAAGGCAAGCTCCCGTCGCGGAAATGGCAATACCTCGCTTCCGCACCGGCGGTCGAGTGGCATGAGCAATGACTCGATGGCGGACGATGAAGGAGAAGGCGGCGATAGTGACGACGATCGGTCCCCGACAATCCTCCCACAGCGCCGGAGATTGCTGCAGTCGACGGATGGCGAGTCGGGCACCGACGACCAACATGGTGATATGGCAGACTCTTACTTTGCATCGTCGACCACCAGAGAACCGCACGAGTCGCACTTCAACGATGAGGACTTCCTCGCTCTTTACAATACCGGTATCTCGTTGAAGAAGCGTTTGATCGAATGCTATGTCTCACTCTGTGAACTTCGTTCCTTCATCGAGCTGAACAAGACTGGTTTCTCCAAGGCCCTGAAGAAGTATGACAAGACCTTGGACCGTAGCCTGCGCCGAGACTACCTAACCTCGGTTGTCCATACCGCGTTACCTTTCACCGACAGCACCATGGCTGCCATCGATCAGCATATCGATAACGTGGAGGGTGTGTATGCGGCCATCGTCACGAAAAACAATAAACAGTTTGCTAGACGCGAGCTGCGCCTGCATCTGCGTGAGCATGTCGTCTGGGAGCGGAACACCGTCTGGCGTGAGATGATCGAGATCGAACGTCGTGCGCAGGCTGCCAATGTTGGCATTCGTCGGACTTTACTGGGCGGCGATGAGGACCCGGCTACTGCACGGCGCCAGGGCGACAAGAACGAGATCCGCACTCAGGAGGTGTCAACGCCGCTGGGTCGGTTCCAGTTCCCGTCGTGGCTCTGCAGTTTGAGCTTTGGTACGCTGATCTTTAGTATCGCCATCTTCGGCGCACTGCTTTCCGTGAAGATAATGGACACTCCCGAGGAGCAGAACTGCTTGGCTATGTTGGTCCTCGTCAGTATCTTGTGGGCCACTGAGGTATGAGATTAATTGTCTGTTGAATTGCTCACATGGAATGCTAACATCGACTGATAGGCTATTCCGCTGTTTGTCACTTCGCTTCTTATCCCATTCCTAGTCGTGACTCTCGGTATCATGCGGTCAGACGATGAGCCTCAAACGCGGTTGGGACCTAAGGAGTCAGTCGGCAAGGTGTTCGCGGCGATGTGGACTCCTGTCATTATGCTGCTCCTAGGTGGCTTCTCGATCGCAGCGGCGCTGTCCAAGTACGATATCGCACGACGCATGGCCATGTTCGTGCTAAGCAAAGCTGGATCGAAGCCGTCCGTGGTTCTGTTGACTAACATGTTCGTGAGCATGTTCCTGAGTATGTGGATCAGTAACGTTGCATCTCCTGTGCTTTGCTACTCGATCATCCAGCCTTTGCTGCGCAACATGGCTCCCGAGTCCGACTTTGCCAAGGCACTCGTGCTGGGTATCGCATTAGCTGCCAATGTCGGTGGTGCAGCGTCCCCGATTGCCTCGCCCCAGAACATCATCGCTCTGCAGAACATGGACCCAAACATCGGCTGGGGCACATGGTTCTTCATCGCACTGCCCGTCTGCATCATCTCCATTTTCCTCATTTGGGTTCTGCTGCTTGTGACATTCCGTCCGGGCCGCAACACAACCGTCATGGCCTTCCGCCCCGTCAAGGACCGCTGGACCGGCATGCAGTCCTTCATCAGCTTCGTCACTATCCTGACCATTATCCTCTGGTGCTTTAGCCACCAGCTAGAACATGTCTTCGGCGACATGGGTGTCATCGCCATCATCCCTCTTGTCCTCTTCTTCGGCACCGGCATTCTCAACAAAGAGGACTTTAACAACTTCCTCTGGACAATCATCATCCTTGCAGCCGGTGGTCTGTGTCTGGGCAAGGCCGTCACCTCATCCGGCTTACTGCACACAATCGCCATGGGAATCACCGCCCGCGTCGAGAACCTCAGTCTGTACAGCGTCCTCTTGGTCTTCTCTTCTCTCATCCTTGTCATGGCCAGCTTTATCTCGCACACCGTCGCCGCCCTTATCATCCTGCCGCTTGTCCGCCAGATCGGAGTTAGCATGGAGGATCCTCACCCCAACCTGTTAGTCATGGCCAGCGCCTTGATGTGCTCTGTTGCGATGGCTTTGCCCACCAGTGGATTCCCTAATATGAGTATGTTCTTCTTCTTGATATCGCATTGAGAGCTTCCTGCTAACTTGTTTCTCTTAGCTGCTATCATGACTGAAGTACCCACCACAGGCCAGCGATACCTCCAAGTCCGCCATTTCTTGACTCGCGGTATCCCGGCCAGTCTCATGGCCTTTGTGGTGATTGTCACCCTTGGTTATGGACTGATGTATGTTGCGGGATTGTAGGTATGGAGTGGCCTTGTGATACTGAAAGAGTTTGCCTTTTTTGGTTAGATCGGTTCCTATACGATGCAAAGAAAAGAGAATATATGAAATGTACGAATCATCTTGTGTTTGGGACTACCTACATTTTTCTTTGTCTTGATTCTTGTACTTATTCTTTTGTTTCTGGGTTTCTGGGGTTGGATTTTTATTGCACAAATGATAATAGATAGCTAGATGGGTTGTTCCCAGTATTCAATGCATATGTTTTTCAATCCAGTATGGGAGTAGTCACACCTGTCCGACTTCCTTGGACTGTAGAGAAACATGGGCGCCTGCATGACGTCTAAGATTTTACATTCTGTGGAACATCCTTCCCTGTTCTTGACTAGATAGTTACAATCTACACACGGAAAAGAAATCAAACAAAAAAGCCTAGTTCATTATTCCAATTCTCCAGACCCAGATACTTTATAAAAATGGTGAAAGTACTGTACACAAAGACACCACAGTAGAGGCTCGATCTAGGAGATGGCCAAGTAAAGACAAAAGAAAAATAGATATGAAAAAAAAAATAAGACACAAAAAATAAAAATCCATGCATCATGCATCAGCGTAACATAACCCATAACAAGTCATTGAAGGTATCCGTAGGCGCACCCGGCCTATACAGGAACCGGGTATTCGAGAGCTCGCAGATATAGAAGGTATATAGAGATACACTTTTCTATTTTCTGAGGATTAATTACTAGATTGTCAGTTAGTGAAATGCACCAACAGAGTCTCGAGTGATCGCCACAGGAAAGGGCTGGGTTAGATGTATAAAGGTAAAGAAAAGGGAATACTAACAGCAAACCAATCGTCAAATCACCATGAATCTTCGCCTTCAGTTGAACCTCGATATCCAGATTAAGGTCCAATCGCAAACGAAGCTGTTCATCACGACCACCGTCGTCATCTTTCTTCTCTTCGCCGCCGTTGAGAATACCGCCCACGGCCTTGCCTGCACTGCCGGTCACCCCGTTCAGGGCATTACCGGCTGTGTTCTGTACGAGCTGGCCGGCTTGATCGGCGCCGCCGACACCGGGTAGGCCGCCGAGGGGACCGTTTTGTTGTTGTTGCTCTGGGCGCCGCTGGCGACGGACGCGACGTTGTCTGGGCTCAGGTTCCATTTCGCGGGGGATGGATTCGGTGTCTGATTCTTGAGGACGGGGACGAGGTCTACGACGACGTCTTTCGGGCTTAGGTTCTGGTTCAGGTTCTGGCTCTGCCTCTTCTTCTTCTTGTTCGGGCTCTGGTTCAGGCTCCGAGTCCGGTTCTTGTTGTTTGGGGTTTTCTTCTTCTTGTTCTTGTTCGGTGTCTTTGGGCTTTTCCTCTTGTTCTTGTTCCGAGGCTGGAGGGGTTTGTTCTTGTTTGGCGGGAGACTTCTTGCCTAGCTTGGGAGGGGCACGCTTAGGCTTGTTGGGTGTAGTGTTTGTGGAGTCGGGATTAGGAGTGGGAGGTTGTTGTTCTTGATCGGACATATTGAAAGTAAAAGAAGAGGATTAGAGGTGGGATATGAGGTGAATATGAATTGATTTGAGGAGAGGAAGGACCAAGCGTCACACGATATAAATGAATTGAGTGCAATGATGTAGATTCCCAAATGAATGCCACTTGTTCAACCGTTTATATCATCAGAGGCGCCACCAGTGGATCAAACCGGGCCTGAGAATTATATGCCGCCTCCGACGTCAGATGAGAAGGTTCCTGTGGTTCTCGGGTCTATGCCAGACTAGGCCTCTTGAGCCAGTACCTCAGGTACGGAGTACTTGGGAGGCCCTAGGCATAGAATCCACTTGTCAACAGGTATGACGTCCGGACAGGGATTAAGACGTGGAGCGCCTTACGGGATTGGGTATAACTCGGGATATAATGGGCAGATGGGGTTTCACGAACCAATGGGATGTGGAGTGAAGTTATACGACAAATCCAAAATAGATTAAAGACGTAAGATTTCATCTCGGAAATATGATGACGCCATTCGACGTCAAGGTCTTTGTTGTATAGAGAAAGAAATCTTCGTGTGGAAATTTACCTGTTCCTGAAATTTTCCCTGTTTTTTTCAATTTTCTGGTTCCCACGAGTCTTTGTTTCCACGGATCGTAAATGGACCAGGCACACATCTTTAGGGCCACGCATGTTCCAAGCATTGACCGTTTACACCGTACCTAGGTACTGCTGTGGACACGGCCATTGTATGTATCAAGGCCCCATATGGCCATTTGACAATGACGAGGTGGAAAAGCACCAGCCTCCAACGTCATATTCCATGACTGTGTAGAATGTATTATTTTTTATTTTATCAGCATATCCGTCTACTTTTTATACAATTTTTCTTTTCTAATCATCTGAACCTATCCTATCTCTATACTCCATAATCTAGTCCACATACATCCACTATGGCAACCGTTGAAAAGACCAAACAGCAGCCCAAAAAGCTCCAACCCAAGAAGCTTCCCGTGCAAGAGGACCTCTCCGACGGCGAAGACTATGACAGCGCCGACGACTACACCGATGATTCTGAATACGAGGACGAAGTACCAGCCAAGAACCAAAAGGGCAAACTACCCAGCAAACAACTGCAGAAGAAACAACAAAAACAACCCCAATACGATTCAGACGATTACACGGATGGATCTGAATATGACGAAGATGATTACGACTATTCCGACGACGAAGCCGTGCAGCCCTACTCGAACGAAAACTCAGACTTCAAGCCCAACGGCGGCATGGATGTCCTGAAGAAAGAAGAGAAATCCATGCTGGACGAGGAAGGCATGAAGTTGCGATTGGAACTGAATCTGGAAATCGAGGTTGAGCTCAAGGCACGCATCCATGGCGACCTCACTTTAGCTCTCATGTAAGTATTAACTGAGGCATGCAATCCCTCCCCCCCAAACCCTTCAAGGAATGTCTGCTCAAAGACCGAATTAGGAGTTGATCGCGTTTTTATCAACAACAGGGCTTGATCACCCATTCTGGTTTTCCGCCAATCTCACGAAGATCCAATGTCGTCACGAGTGATCCTTTTTTTTTCAACGCTCCAATTGCTTTGATTTTCATAGAGCCATGTTTTCGATTTAATATCCTTCTGTTTGTTTGGGATCTTTTTTTGGGGATTACTTTTGTTTTTGCAATGATTTTCCTGGTCGGCGTGCAGGGCCAAGGGGATGAAATACACTGAGTGTATAGGTGTATACTGCTATGTATATTCCTTGGGCAATCGAAAGGAGTTGAGTTCAAATTTCTGAGAGTGCAACAGTGCCGAATTGTAGGTATAGTAGAGTACAATGAAGTAGATAGTAAATAGTCTGGGTGTACTCTGGATGTTGTAAGTGTCAGACAGTGGAAAGTATGAAGCCGAGGCCCCGGTCTTGGCACTGATTTCTAGCCCGTGGTGTTACCAACTCCCCTCTTACATTGTATTCTGTACTCGGTTCAAATCCCAATTGTCTCACCTCTCTCGTACAAATCTCAACTGACACACTGTATACACTTCTCCCGATACAGTTGAAACCGTCACCATGTCGTCCAAAGACTTCATCATCAAGCACATGAATGCCGACCACCAAGATTCCCTCGCACTATTCCTACAAGCCTACTGCGGTATCACATCCACCCAAGCCAAAAATGCCTACTTGGAAGACCTCAGCACCTCCAACCTGATCATCACCGCCCATGGTACCCGCTACAGCGTCCCCATCGAACCCGAAATGAAGAACTACTCGGAGACACGCAGCCGAATGGTCGCTATGCACAAGGACAGCCTAAAGCGTCTGGGCCGCAGCGAGATTACACTCACAGAGTACCGTGCCCCGCGCGGCGTCCACGCCGTGATCTTCGGCTTGTGTTTTCTTTTCTACGTCACCTGCTTCCAGCGCAGCAATCTGCAACCCGGCTCGGCTCTCTACGAGTACCTGGGACTTCAGCGCGTGCCCTGGTTTCCGCGCTTGGTCTGCGTGCTCCAGCCATACGTTGTGGCTATTCATGTCCTTGAGACTGTCGCGCTGGTTGTGACTACGTTGAAGCCGCTGAATGTGCCTACTTTTTCGGGGTTGTGGTGGAAGTGGGTTCTGTCATGTTTTGTGGAGGGGTACGGTTCGTTCGCGCGTATTAAGAAGTTTGTGAAGGAGCAAAAGGCGAAGAATGGCAAGAGCCAGTAGAAAGTGGCCTAGGCAGTTAATGGTAGCAAGTGCACTGGGAGACAGTATCAATTATTTGTATATTTATGGAGTTCGGATAGTTGGAAGGATAGCTGAAAATAGACAATGGAGGCTCCATGTTGCACAACGTTGGGATGTAAATGACTGCTCAGATTGTCTGCGATGGCCCCTTCCAGATCATGATCAAGGCGATAACACGTGACTTTATGCTGAGTCAGAAGTCAGACATCACCTGACCAAAATCTTTGAATGGATCCACTAATCCCAATCAGGCCTAGTGTCAGTTAGGGCACTACACAAGCGAGCGACACAGTGCGCCCTGCGAAATTCAGCGACTCCACGACCTCAAACTCCCACGACAAACCTACGACAACTAATCTGTGTTTCTGGTGAAGGGCTGCACATTTAGAGGTGAGTTATCCGGCTATCTCAACTCCTGCAAGGTTTCTTTCGAAAAATTCTGTTTCGCTCGCTGCGCCCGTCAATTTCGATCACCGGTATTCAATTCCTCCACACCAACCATCGATCCTGTCTCGCTTTCAACGATCATTCAACTACTCCGCAACCACTATCGCCCAACTGTCCGATCTTCGAAGATTGATTTTGTACGACGCTCGCGACGAAACAGAAGGATTGAAAGGAAAAAAAAAAAGAAACTTGTTCAAGGTCCACAATCAACAACATCTAACTCGTGTCCGTCAACTTAGACCCCTCCATCAATCGCAAACATGGGTATTTCTCGGGATTCTCGCCACAAGCGCAGCGCCACTGGTGCCAAGCGCGCTCACTACCGCAAGAAGAGGTACGATTCTATCAACCCAGCATGAGATTGGATGTTGCTTTTTGGAGTGGAAAAAATGGATCCGATATACCAATTACAGTTTCTTACATGTCTTTGTTCTACAGAGCCTTCGAGAAGGGTCGTCAGCCCGCCAACACCCGTATTGGCACCAAGCGCATCCACCTTGTCCGCACCCGTGGTGGCAACCAGAAGTTCCGTGGTCTCCGTCTTGACTCCGGTAACTTCTCGTGGGGCTCTGAGGGTATCTCCCGCAAGACCCGTGTCATTGGAGTGTCCTTCCACCCCTCCAACAACGAGCTGGTCCGCACAAACACCCTGACCAAGTCGGCCGTTGTCCAGATTGACGCTGCCCCCTTCCGTCAGTGGTACGAGGCCCACTACGGCCAGCCCCTCGGCCGTAGACGCCAGCACAAGACCGAGGGCGCCGAGGAGGAGAAGAAGTCCGCCTCCGTCGCCAAGAAGCAGGCTGCCCGCTTCGCTGACTCCGGTAAGACCGAGTCCGCCATCGAGCGCCAGTTCGAGTCCGGTCGTCTTTTCGCCGTTGTTGCCTCCCGCCCCGGCCAGTCCGGCCGCTGTGACGGTTACATTCTGGAGGGTGAGGAGCTTGCTTTCTACCAGAAGGCTATCCGCAAGTAAACGAAAAAATAAAATATTCGGTTGTTGCAACGGGTGGATCGGAGTTTCAGCTATGTCATGATCAGAGCATCCGCAGGATGCAATTTGTCTGTAGAGCTCTGAGCCGTCAAATCCATGGGAATCGTTCCTAGTTTCATGTCTTCTATGGTAATTGCATTTTGCGTAGTGTGTAAGTATCATGTGGAATTCGACCTAGGCACGGAGTATGGTGATCAACATGGGATACAAATATTCTGGATTAAAACACAAGAGAACATGCTTCAGACTATTCTTTTCTTGCAGAACCTATCTTCTTTTCATATCAAGTGCTGTTGTATAAATTTGAGGCAAGATCTCCGGCGGTGCTTCCCGGGCCCGAGCTCGATGCTTATCATTCCTCCCCTCCCCCACAGCCCAACCTTCCTCAAACACCCACCATGGCAACCATCAAAACCCGCATCTGCATGATCTCAGACACTCATACAAGCACTCCCCATCCACCTCAAAGAACCGACCATGCCTACCGCTACCCCCTCCCAAAAGCAAACATCCTCCTCCACGCCGGCGACCTCACGAAAGTGGGGTACCGCGTCGAACACGAAGCAATGATCTCCATGCTCACCTCCGCCGACGCAGAACTCAAACTCGTAATAGCAGGAAACCACGACATAACCCTCGACGAAGAGTACTTCACGTCCTTCGGTTACACCCGTCACCAACGTCCAGAACAACTAGGCGAACAATCTATCCTATTATCAGATGATTCCGACCTCCAAACCACCCTCCAGACCTCGGCCCCAAACAAAGACTCCCTAAAAGCCTATGCTCGCTCTATAAAATCCCTCTGGACAAGCGAAGCAGCCCGAAAAGCAGGAATTATCTACCTAGAAGAAGGAACTCACTCCTTCACCCTCTCAACTGGAGCGTCATTCACTATCTACGCTTCACCCTACCAACCGGAATTCTATAACTGGGCTTTTGCATACCCCCGCACTCAAGACCGCTATAATCCTGCCCCTGCTACGTACCCGCAGCCTGAAAACCCAACTCCGGATTACCCTGCTATCGATATAATGTTAACGCACGGCCCGCCCGTCGGAGTCCTGGATCAGGTCCCGCCTGATCTAAATGTTGGCTGTGAGCATCTCCTCCGTGCGGTGCAACGTGCAAAGCCGCGTCTGCATCTCTTCGGTCATATTCATGAAGGGTGGGGTGCGCAGCGGGGAGTGTGGGATGATGAGGTGGATGGTGGTGTTAAGCTTGAGACTGTGTCGACGGATATGGAGGATATGTTGGAGAATCGGGGGGCGTTTTTTGATGTTAGTTCTGGGGCGGAGAAGCCGTTGAGGGTTGGGGAGGAGACGCTCTTTGTTAATGGGAGTATTATGACGGTTAATTATGAGGCGAGGAATGCGCCTTGGGTGGTGGATTTGGAACTTCCTGTTGCCGGGAAATAAGTTTGGTGGTATATTGCGAGATGCTCTAATGGGGTTTCTGTTGGTGTTGGTGAATTATGGATATATCACTACATCGTTGGCAAGTTGGTGCTAGTACTGAGGGAAATGACAGGAATCGAGAAATAGATGTGATGTTTAGCGTCTATCTCGGGGTCTGTTGTGTGGGGTTTCGGTTAGATATATATACAAGTCATTAATAGCTCTGTGAATGAATAATGAATTTTGAGATAAAGAGAAAAAGGGTTACACATGGCGATACATAATTACCGCGAGTCAACGTAAATATATATAAATGTCAACTGTGAATTCGACGGAGCTAGGAATACCGTCATGTAATTGTCGATTCTTTCTACCCAGGTATATATGCAGTAGAGCACACAAGATAGCTACAAAACCCACAGCAAGACCATCCGAGAAACAGAGAAAAAAAAATCAACCTCCAACTCCATGTTATGAAAAAAAACCCAAATTCCTTAAGCGCCACCAAGACCTAGTATATTCGTTAGCGCCTGCAAGACATCATATTCTACCCAAAATACTCACCAGCAGCAAATGCTAGGTACCAAGTACGCGTCGCGCCGCCATCAATCCAGCTGTAGTTGAAATTCGGCTGGGCAAAGAATTCCCACGATGCTTTCGGATCAACGAGGGCCAGGTTGGCGTATAGCACACCCTTCCATCCGCCGTCGACCTTGGAGGCCGGAGTTGAGGCGTTTTCGGCGAAGATTGCCTGCCATTCCTGCTGCACGAACTCCTTTTGGCGTGTGAAGGGGCTGTGTGGCATAAGTGGTAGCATGTGGATACTATGGTAATTCTTAGCAATAGTTCAGAGGGGAGTGATATGAGCGGGACAGTGGTTTATACATACCCTTGGACGAATTCGAGGTTGGCACCGAAGTATGTCGTGTGATCGACCTTGTTCTCGAATAGCTATATTTGGGCTGTTAGTATCGAGTTTGTGTTGAGCATGGTTGAAAATAATAACGGTACTTACAATTCCGGTTACCCTGTTCGCAATGAAATTCGACGGCTGATTGACATTGTCATCCTGCATCAAGAAGTAGTTATTGAGAGATCGACCCAGGATACCTAGCATCACATTGCCGCGAGCTTCCATGCTGGCATCGCCGATCGTCTGTCCCCACATCTTGATCGCATAAGCGAACATGGTATCTTCCGAGGTCGATTCTTGATCCTTGCCATCGAAAGACTCGAACAATCCCTTCGCCCAGGAGTGTCCGTTATACCAATCGAACGAGCGTGAGAAAGGGAAGTGGGGATCATCTGCAATGGAGTTACTAGCATCACGAACTAGCATGTTGACCCACTCCTTGTTCGCGGCTAGCCAGCTCGGATCAAGAGAGCCAATAATGGCGGCTGCTTGAACGAAGTAGCCATAGTGGAAGTGGTGGTCATTGTACGCGGTGTTGCCGAAATCCTGGTTCAGGTCGCCGTTATAGCCGGCAGTCGAGACAACACCCTTCCAGACAGCGTCGTAGGCAAGCGGGTTTTCCTGCTTGTTCTGCACGAATAGATCAAAGGCCTTCTTTAGCTTCTGGAAGGCATCTGTTGCGATCTCGACGTTGTTGCCGAGCTGGTTAACCGTGTACACCAGCGTTGCGAACTTGCTCAATGCCTTGCCGCTGTAATACATGCTGTTCAGGGCAGTCTGACCAGATATATTCTGCTGGAGCTCATGGGGAGCAACCTCGATAATGGCATGCTGGGCTGCGGCCGAGAGCTCGTGGATGCTACCATGCGTGGTTGACCACGGAGCGAATCCCATATCGATGGGGAGGTTTTCTTCAACCATGGTCCAGCTTTCGCCGATTACGGCAGTGGCATTGCCCTTTGTTGTGGTGCGAAGGTTGATATCGGTGATACGGCCCTTGGTGGCGTGGTCGAAAGACTGGATGTGATGGGGTAGGGCGAACATGATAAGGGGTGTACCCTGAACATCCTTTCCGGCCTTGGTCCAAGAGAGAGTGTAGTTGCCTACATCACCTGTGACCGAGCCAGAGACCTCTCCTGATACTGGGTAGACACCAGCTGAGTTATCGTAGAACTTCTCGCCAGACTTGCCCGCGGGGTTCTTCGCGACTTGGATAGTACCCGAAAAGCCCATGGGACCGCTCATAGAGGAATTTGAGTTGAGCTTAAAACTTGGGTCATTGCCATCTGCTGGTGTGGCATAGAGAAGCCAGGTCGTGTCATCCTCAAGGTAGACTTGGTACTTGAAGATGCCGGACCTAGGCGAACCGGCGCTGACGACCTTGCGGAAGAAGATACCGCTTTCAATCAGGGGCTGCAGGTCGTTGTATACAGCTGTTGCATAGCCCATGCCTTGTACAACGGGGAAGGTAATCTGCTGAGCCGAGCTTCCAGAGCGCTTGATGACAGCGTGGGCCGAGAACGCCTTTGGCTGTTCGATCTTCATGATGGAAGACTGGTCAAGCTCCGCCGCAGAGAAAATCAGATGCTGGAGGCCAACTGGGTTGATGTAGTATTGCACTGGGTTTCCGGGGATCTTGTTGTTCTCAGGTCCATATGCGAGCAGGTGAGGCTGGACATGGGTGACAGCCATACCCCAGCTTTTCAATGTGCCGCCTCCCTTGGACCATGCCAGGGAGTAGGGTTGAGAGAAGGTAGCATTGGTCTGAGAGCCCAGGAAAAGACCAGCGTAGAACTTATTCGTCGCAATAGGGTCAGTGGTATTGGCCTATACAACGTTAGACTTTTTGATCCATGTGCTCGCAGTTGGAAATATCTTACGTGCTGGTTCTGCACAGGGTGGTCATGTCGCGTCTGGATACTAGCAGGAACAGGACCAGTGGCCACTGGTTGGAAGATATCTTGGCCGTGCATAGTTTTGGGATGATTTGTTGCAACTGGGGCCAAAGAAGATGTGTGAACGGGCTCTACTGAACATTAGAATACATCCAAATTACCACAATAATTTATGTTCAAGCATACCTTGCGTCACCGTAGTGCTTGGTTTGGCCTGCTGTGAGTCTGTTCCAGCTGTAGCAGTTGGCGCCGAGTCTTCGGGCTGTTTTGCTGAAGTGGTCACTTGGGTAGGATGTGGTTTTTCTGTATCAGTCGACGTAGAAAGTCCTGTCGCAGTCGGTGCTGGTGCAATAGTAGTATTACCTTCTTCTTCGTCTTCCTCGTCTTCCTCGTCTTCGTCATCCAACAAATCTTCCAAGCCGTTAACAAACTCCTCAATATCAAACTGTGGAAAAGGGAGCTCGGATGAATGGCCGTCTTTTTCCAAAGCTACTTGATACACCTAGTTCAAAAAGTCAATACCATGCTATTCACCATGCAGCACGTTTCTATGAGACATACTGGGTGGGAAACTGGAGTGAAAAGCCTGCTTTCACTGTTTAAAGGTGGATATTGGGTCTCCAAGGCAGTGGCAGGCTCGGCAGCTGTGTGTCGTAGAGTAGCTTCTACCTTATTTCCCACACGCGGGAGACAGTGGGCTATTTCTGTGGTTAGGAGCCAAGTCAGCAAGGTTGTAGCCTTCCATTTCGAACGTGAGTCCATGATGCAAAGCCAGACGTTGTCACAACAGTTCAACACACGGAGCTTGTAGAAAGCCTGTATGTTCTTCCTCAATCCAATCCAACCGGATATGGATCACTTAAGAGCAGACAACTTTGGAGGGCTCAAGGTAACGTGAATTTGGCAAAGAAGACAAGTGACTTCAGAGGAAATAGACTGACAAGTATGTAGTCTGTATTCCAGGTGATAGGCACACTCAGATCCTGATTGGGACAACATACGGGGTTGGTTTGTTGTGACGGGTCTGCAGACAGATTCCGCAGACTGTCGATCTACATAGATATCAGCAGTGCACAGCATTTGATTAATGGGAATGACAGGTGCCGGGTAACATGTCCGGTTCAAGAATGAAGGGCGCAACGTCGAGTCCACGCGGGTATCGAGGTGAGTTTGTTTTCCTCTCAAGAATGTGGGGAATTACAGCAACCACTTACTGAGTTAGATGAGAATTTCCCAGGTAATTGGGATACTTGAGAGAAGTGAACAAGTTGAAGTCGAAAAATAGGCAGCATATGGGGCACTGCCAAGGGATCGCCCATGTGGAGTAGAAAGAGAAAGAAAACATGAATAGTATCAGGTTCGAGATGTTAACAGAATGACTCGATATGAATCATTAGAGCCCATGGACACTTGGACCTTAGAATCATGGGACATGCAATGGTTTAAGGTCTAAGCATTCCAAGACTTCTAAATTGTCCTGGCAACATCTACTCTCGAAATGCGTCACTGTAGAGGCATAGCTGTGGGATGACCGGTATGAATGATTCGAACTAGATGAACAAGAATAGTTGGCTGATATGGTTTGATGTCTTGTTAGTGGTTTCAGATATTCTATTCGACGTAAATGTTTTTTTCTCTATAGGCTGCATCTGTGCAAATGACTTTTTCTATGTATAGACTGGGACTATATTGTACTGATATCTATATAACAAGGATGGAAATGCTTTTAATTCCAAAAGGCGCCACACAATGGGTCGCATTAGGTGCTATCATCGGACATGCTATATGAAATACATATCCTTGACCAAATATTTACATTTATTGCATAGGCTTCGACATGGGCTTGATGATGCCCTGCTTGATCATGACACGAGGCTTGGTGCCACTCTGGAAGCTTTCTTTTGTAGACCACTCGGGACCCAGGGGCAACCGCAGAGATCGCTCGTACTGCTGTTTGGTCTCAAACTCATGCGGCAACTGGCTTGCCATGTACTTCTTGTTCTAGAGTGACAAAGTTAGTGAGTGATTGGTAGATGTGTAGGAAAAGAAGATTTGGCTTACCTTCTGGACTCGCTTCTGGTTGATAATGACCCGATCAAGCTTTGCATCCTTGCGTTGCCCAGGCTTCACACCCGCTACAGTAGTCAGGTCTCGCTTTTGCTTCTTTTTCTGTCTCTTGCTGACACCTTCGCCGGCCCAGCTGCCCCAGCCTTCGAGTGTGTTGTCCACAACCTTGTCACCTTCGTCTTCGATGGTGTCCATCTTCTCCTGCTCAAATTCTTGGACAACTTCATCGCCGGCAAAGGCTCTCTTCACGAGGTCGTGGTTCTTCAGCAAGACGGGCACCTTCTCTTCATCATCGCTGTCGTCCTCCTCGAATTGCCGTTTGGCGGCGGTTGCCTTGGCATTCTTTTGCTTCTTGCTCTGTTGCTTCGCCGGAACAACTTCGGGCTGGACAGCATCAAGTGAGATATCAATGCTCTCTTGGGCATCGGGCGCAGTTCGGCGACGATTAGTCCGTTCGGTCTGAATCAACCAAGGGTTCTCCTCCTCTGCGATATCCTTGTCAAGATCGGGAGAGTCACGTGAAGTTTGTGAAACCTTTTTGTTGCCAGAAGCTCCTGACTTGTGCTTGGTAGAAGCGTTGACAACAATGTCAACATCATCGCCTGATCCTACTGCCTGCGCGTCTTCATCATCGGAATCTAGCTTCTCCTCGAACTCATTCTTGGGCAATTGCTTTGCGTGAGACTTGGCGTCGGTCTTCTTTGATTGACCGAACTTTCGTCGACCGACCTCCGACTCTGCCTCAGACATAGAATCCTCTCCGTGGAGTTCACGGTTGAGTTGGCGAAGCTCCGCATCATTCTGTTCCTTGCGGGCGGCGTCGGCGTTTTTCATGAATTTCATCTCGAAAAGATCGGCATGGCGTCCCTTCACAGCACCAGCATCATTGCCACTCTCGAGGGCATTGAGCTTCTTCTGGATCTTCTGTCTTTCCACATCGGAGCCCTCCTCGTTCCAAGGGTCCTCATCTTCTGATTCGGAGCTGGAAGAGCCTAAGTAGTCATCATCTCCATTAGAAACACGCTTGCCTTCGATTCTCTTCCGAAGCTCCTCCTCTCTTTGAGCCAAGTCGGCTGCACTGTTGCGGGCCTCTTCGTCCCAGGCAGTGCGACCAGTCTGTTTCAGGCCCTTGGCCCATTTGCTTTCACGATGCTTGGAACCCATGCGAGCTTCGGCTCTCAAACGCTCGTTCTTCTCCTGGTCCATGTCATCCATATCCACGCCCGCTTCCATGAGCGCATCATGCTCCTGCTTCTCCATCTTCTCGCGCTCTTTCCGGTGAACACGGCGATAAGACTTGCTTTTGATTTTCTTGATGCGCTTCGCGCGCACTTCCTCTCGGAAAAGTAGGTCACGTCGCTTGCGGAGTTCGGCGCGACGGGCCTGGATCTCCTCAATAGGAATATTGCGGGATTGTAATTCTTCGAAACTCTGGATCTGGTCCTCGGCTGTTTTTCCTTCAGCCTCCGCCAGCCCACTCTCCACCAGGATGTTCTGGATGACGTTTTCGAGATCAGTCTGCGGCTTGGCAGATTCCAAACGATGAGTCTGTTCAGCATCAGGGTCGCGTAGCGGGAAGGAAAGGTGTTCAGCTCTGCGGTTGGCTTTGACGGTTTCCAGCCATCGATTCAAAGTCTCCTTGCTTTTCTCGTAGGCGGCAGCCCGGTCAAGTCGATCCTGTTGGCGTTTTGCCAGAGGGGCATCTAGCTTTCCCGGAATGCCCGATTTTGATGCTTGAACAACAGAGTCGATATGTTTGAGCGAGTTCTTGAGGCGAGAGTCCGTGATTGAGGGTAGGAGATCGGCGACAGTCAATTTGTTGGCAGATGTTAATCCGTATTCCGAGTGCTTGCCTTGTTCTTGTGACTTTTGGGTACGTTTCGTAGATTTTTCAGTTTCCATAGACTGAACAAAGTCTTGTAGTTTGGAAAGTCCTTGAGGATCTGCTTCCGCGTCGTCGTCCGAGATAGAAAGTCCGTCGTCACTGGCATCGCTTTCACTGTCCCCCTCTGACCCGGAATCCTCGTCGCTATCATATCTCGCAGCCCGCTTGGATTTCGCAGCTCCTTCACGGGCCTCCTCCTCCTCAGCCGCTACATTCATATCCCAGGCGGTGGCAAGGTCAACAGCGTCTTCTCCCAGGTCATCGTCCTCGTCATAGTCTTCACCTTCAGATTCTTCGTCCGACTCGTCAACATCCTCAGACAAGCTGATTTCTGTAGGCTTCTTCGGCTTGGGTGCCACTTTTTGGGCTGAGATTTGGACTTGGATGCGCGGAACGTGAAGCCCTCGAATCGCTCTTCGTCGCTCTCACCAAGAGCTTCGTCGCTGTCCAATTCACTGTCGTTATCGCTGTTCACTTGTCCGAGTGTCCATTCGTGTCCCTCACTGTCGCTGCCACCATCAAGGCTTCCGGTGTCCTCGGTTCTGCGGCGTTTGTAGTGGGCTGCGGTATCCTCCTCGTTTTCGTCGTCATCGCCGGTGTTTCTCTTGCCCTTGAAGCTACCATCATCGTAGGCTCCAAGACGACTGCGTTTAACACCCAATTTAGTGTGAATTGTTTTCTCTGCAATAGACAGTGCATTCAGCGACCGAGTACTTTTCCGCTTCGGCGCTGCTTTCTGCGATGAGCGGTCTTTCGGACCCTGCTTCTGAGTCTGGCTGCGAGGCATAGTGGCGGAGTCAAGAAATCAAATTCTTGACTAAAAAGAAAGCTTCAGATCAGTACCAAAAAAGTACCAAATGATCTGATGGCTGCTCTCAAGAGGGGTGTAGATGATGTTGAACTTTTTTTCTGCCGGGAAAAAAAGTTCTCGGCGCGGAGATTAGCGCGACCCGTTCATTCGTCGAGTTTTGTCTCCCAACTCCCTCCGGGACAACTCGACTCGCTCTATCCCCCTTCTGTTCCATTTTCAAGGCTACAGAACTGTCGCCATAATGTTCAAGCCCACACAGCCAATGATGGTGCGCTTGCGCTTGACCACCAAACAGGTCAATGGGGGCTACTACAAGGGAAACCGGACCGGCTCCATGGGTCACTTCGACAAGAGAGGCACATACAGGCCTGATCTGTCAAAGCACCGTGTTTATATGGCTGCGGAAAAGCTCGAAATTCCTGGGAGGCATTATACTCCTGAGACTTCGAAGGAGCCATTCACGGTGAGCATTTAGCCCCGTTTGATACCAGTTGGATGAAATGTCGATCGCTAACTTGGCTATAGCTTGCCCCCTTCGTCACAAATCACATGAAAAAAACACCGTCAAACTACGTCCAAGACATTGAGAGAAGAGGCCGACGGGTTACCGTGATCAGAGGATTTGAGGGCAACGACTATTTGGAGAAGTGGGCCGAGACCACCGAAGCCGAAGAGGCCCGACTACAACCAGCACCCGAGAAGACCAAGACAATTGGGTCCAAACAGACCCAGCAGACTGAGAGGCATGAGAAGACTGAGCAGATTCTCAACCAAGAGCCGACCCGAACGCCCGAGACCCCTCAGCCCAAGTCCAGCAAGTTCCTTTTCTAGAAATTTCAAAATGAAGCCTCATAGCGGGGATTTCCTATGTGTTTTCAACTGAATGTGAGTGCACAGGAGCCTAGATGCACAAGAATACTCTTTAATCTCTATGCCAGCTGTCCAGCAACATCCCAACCGCCTTCGCTGGGCATCACTCAACTTCGTTGATCAACCTTCTCTCTGCTGATTGAATATATCCCATGTATTATAGTCTACAACATCAACTTGATTCGGACCACGGAAGACCTCGGTGTATCGGTGGGCGCGTACCATTTTGCATGGAGACAGGAGTAATTGTGTACTATCTTGACGATTTCCATAAATATCAGACAAAAAAAAAGTTTAAGTTGTCTCTCGCCTTATTGGGTATTTGGTTGTTGTCGTATCTCTTATTATGTTGTTTCTTTTTCGCATTGCACCTCGCATTTTTGTAGAAAGCTCCATATATTTTCCGATATACCGGTCTATACCACATCTATTCAGCTCACCTTAGCTTAACCAGAATGTTCCAGTGGCGATGGAAAGTACACTTGGTGATATGTGGTCCGTGCGCAATCCGATAAGCCCGCCATGCTTTCCCGTATCAGCACCCAACAGTGACGGCGATGTCATAGTTCACCTTTCTTTCCCTCCCAACTGTGATGGCTTGCCTTGATTTGATTCTCTGCATCTAGAGTGTTCATTTTATCTGCCCTGCTGACTCCTTCCATACTAGGCAGCTCCTGCTGCAACCATGTTTCAATCCTTCACGGGCAATTCTCGTCGTCCGCGGCAGGTGAACCTCAGTGGCCGAGCCACCAATCCCTTCGCCGCATTTCCGGGAAACTCGCCCAACCGACAAACTCCTCATGCCGCAAATCCCGAGAGCGCGGTCGCCATTGCCCAGCGGGAGCGAGCCCTGAGACAACATGAAAGAGATCGACAGACCGCATCTCGTACCGTCCAGCGAGTTTGGCGGGGTCATCAAAGCAGGAACGCCACATATAAGAACTGGAAGTCTGAATGGGACAACTTTGAATGGGAGAGAGTTATGGGCGCCCTGGGATTGGAGGATGATCAGCGCCCAACGACGGAGGTTGAGCGTCTGGAGTGTCTAGCACGCCTTTCCGCACCGCCATATCACACAGCGGAGCAATGTTTGGATCAGCTCAGGCTTCTGGTTCAGTTTGTGGGACTGGTAAAAAAGAAAGATGATGTCCTACGTCTTGTATACTTTTGCAATGTCTTTGAGCAGACTTTCAATGCTCTTCCCACGATTGCTACAGAGAATGAATGGACCGAGCTGTTGAAACGGCTGGCAATCGCTATTCTACATGCCCTGAGCTTGGCAAAGGACAGTCCGACCCATGAAGCAGCAGTTCTTCCTCTCCTTCGGACGATAGTCTTCCTGGTCGACTTGATACCGAAGAGGATGGCAACAATTGCCAAACAATACTATCAAACCATGGCCTTCCTGACAAAGAACCTTGAGCTTTGGAGAGACACTTTGTCGCCGGAGCTAATCACTAACGCTGTCCTGGCACTTCTGAGGCCAATCACCTCAGAAACGATGACAGCGTATGAAGCCCTTGCCATGTCTTATCTCACAATTCCGAACCTGCCGACTTATCTTGGTGATCTTGATGGATTGGCGCACCAAATTAACTATAAACTGCTGGCGCCTGCTATCGAATTGTGTATCCCTGCGACCAAAGAACGGATTTCTACCGACGACGTGGAGGGTATCGAGGGCCGACTTTGGTTGCTTGCCTACTTGATCTTCTTTCACCGATATGCTCTTCCAGGCCAGGCTAACCTCCAAGCCCCAGACCTTGAATTCTTGTGTGTTGTCTCTGGGTTGCTAAACTCAACATCTATCTATCTGACGCGGTCTTTGGAGGCGGACGAAAGTGGCGCAGATTCAATCAGAGGTCCTTATCTAGATCAGTTCGTCACAGATCAAGTCAGTAGCCTGGTCAACCAAAGTAGCATTACAGGGCTACTTTCTCGCATCAAATCAGCCCACCTTTCTCAAACAGGCTTATCAAGCAACGAATCTAACGCTTCAAAAGAAGCCAAAATTGTTGCTACTTATGCCCTGAACTTGCTGAGGGTCTTTCCTCGACGTGGAGATGACATTCGAATGTGGTTATACCTGGGCTCGGCACCTTCAGCGGGTCCTGCTTCCGGCGAGCCAGGTGCGAAAATACCGGCAATTAAATATTTTTGGCAGGCGTCAAAATCCAGTCGGATATTTGACATCGTCAGCAAGGATTCGACCCAAGTTCTCCCATTGCTGCAACCGCCACAAGACGGGAATCAAGAGGAACAAGATCAGGAGTGGACGATTATCCTTCTCTTTTTTGAGCTTTACACATTCCTCTTGAAAGTCATGGATGATGAAGAGTTTTTCTCAAGTGCCTCACCATTTACGTCTTCATCAAATGTCCTGTCTTCGTGGACGAAAGAGAGTGCCCTACCCCTTGGAGACATTGGAGACATGACCGTCTTCCTCAAAAACCTAGCCTTCACCCTCTACTGGAATGTTGCCGACTTGACCAAGAAAGGGCCTGTTCCATCATCTGCTGTGGATCTTAGAAGCTATTTTAACAACACGAGTCAGGTTTCTGAACCGACTGAGCGTTTTGAGGTGGAGGTCAAAAAGGAAATCAATGATCTTCCCGGTGTGACAGGCATCCCACTTGACTACTTCAAAGGCTTGGTTACTGGCTTGCTCAGAATGTTGCATGAGCGAGAGTAAGTTGAAATCTTCCATTCAGCATGATATAAGAACTCAAGCTAACACGTTTTTAGTTCTCGACGCAAGTTCCTTCCTCCCAATCATTGGTTAATGACGGATCGATTCGACATGGAAGGCTTTATCCCAGCCGTTGTGGCAGAAGAAGAGAAACGCCATGAATTCCAAGACGATGATGAAGATTCTGAACCTGATCTTCTTGACGAGGAATACTCAGAGCCTTCTCAACTTGTCGGCAATAGTCATGCGCGACGATTAATTCACATTCAGGCCATGCGAAATAGTCAACGAAGGCAAGCTCATAACAATGCTCTTGCCGCCATTGCCCCACGGCTAGAGATACTCCGAAATATGCCTTTCTTCATCCCATTCGCCACACGAGTGCAAATCTTTCGTCAATTTATCTTCAGGGATCAGGAGCGTCGCCGAAAAGGTTTTGTGGATCCTGAATCCTGGCGCTTGTCTGTGGCCCAAAATGCTATGATAAATGGACCACCTGAGGGTGCAGCGAATATCTTGGCCCGACATCACGCTGACATCCGGCGTGAGAGTGTGTTTGAAGATGCATTCTCTCAATACTATAGCTTGGGTGACGGTCTCAAAGAGCCAATCCAGATCAGTTTTATTGACCAATTTGGAGCAATGGAAGCCGGCATTGATGGTGGCGGGGTGACAAAGGAGTTCCTGACTAGTATCACATCCCAAGCTTTCAAGACTGATGACTACGAGAGCATGTTTGCGGAAAATGACCACCATCTGCTGTATCCCAGCCCGACAGCTGTTGACCAACTCAAAAGGTACTCAGCGAGGCTGGACTCACAAGCTCAAGCGTAGAGTGGCAGGATGACGTGCGTGGTCTTCTTCGACGCTATGAATTCCTCGGCCGGATCATCGGAAAGTGTCTTTATGAGGGAATCTTGGTCGATGTCAACTTCGCACCATTCTTCCTCTTGAAGTGGGCCTTGACAGGAGGCTCTAGGTCTGCGGTGAAGGAATCTTCTTATCGTGCCAACTTGAACGACTTGAAGGATCTCGATGAGGGGTTATACCAGGGTTTGGTAAGTAGTGTTTCTCAGAAAGCTCGGAATTGTGTATTTCTTTCTTTCGAGCCTGTAGCTAACCAACTTGTTTCATCAGTTACAACTGAAGAATTACACTGGAAATGTGGAAGACTTTGGCCTTGACTTCACCATTAACAATGTAATTCGGATGCCCAGTGGAAACAACCGCACTGTCACGGTAGATCTGAAACCAAATGGTTCACAGACCGCTGTGACAAACAAGAACCGATTGGTCTACATTTCCTACATCGCTCGCTACCGTCTGCAGTTGCAACCTGCTCTACAGACGAACGCCTTTTTGCAAGGTCTGGGGCAGATAATTCAACCCGCCTGGCTATCCATGTTCAATCAATCCGAGTTGCAAACGCTGGTGAGCGGAGACAAGGCTGATATTGATGTGGAGGATCTGCGACGGAACACCCTCTACGGAGGTGTGTATGTGATTGGTGATGACAACTTGGAACATCCCACAATTGCACTCTTCTGGCAAGTCATGCACGAGATGACCAACGAGGAACGGCAAAAGGTCATCCGTTTTGTGACCTCTACCCCCCGAGCTCCATTGCTGGGGTTCAGTCATCTCCGTCCCCACTTCAGCATTAGAGACTCCAGTGAAGACCAGGAAAGATTGCCAAGTACTAGTACTTGCGTGAATCTTCTGAAGCTGCCCCGATACTCTGATGCGGAGACGTTGAGGAGTAAACTGTTGTATGCAGTGAGTTCAGGTGCAGGGTTTGATTTAAGTTGAGTAGACTATGTACATTTTCCAGAGTAGATAGTTAATCGTCACCGGGGTTGAAAGATGTATCTTTTCCATCTTTTCTATGTTCTATGTGTTCTATATAATATTGTACCGTAATCCGAGGTTATTGGAGGTAGGTACCTAGCCCTGGAGGTACGGATATACTTAATAAGCCCTTAAAGCGGCAATATGGCCCAAATAGGACTAGTGTCTCCATCTCGTGCGGCCTCTGAGTTTTCCAGAACCAATTGCTTTTGGTTCAACTTTTTTTCCTTCAACCTCCCCCTCAATCTTCCGTTCTCTCTTTCTTTAGGGAAAAGTCGTCCTTTTCTTTTCGAATCCTTACGAAAGATACAAAATCTCAAAAAAACACGAAAAACCCCAGAAAAAACTTTTTCACAGTTATCTTATCTCATCCCCGATTGTGCGGTGTGTTGTGTGGAAGATTTTCTTTCAACGCCTCCATCGTCTTCATTTTCACCTGGTTAGTGATTTTACTTTTGTATTCCTCTTTGACCGAGTCATCTCTGCTTCTTCTATCTCTCTCTTGCGCATGCTATACACTTGAGATTTCCCCTCCCCGCTAACCCGCTATACAGTGCTCTCTGCTCAAGTGAAATTTCTCTCTACCCTTTGTTTCGTGGATACCTTGCTGTATGGCACCCCTCCCTTTTCATTGATCCGCCCCTCGTTCTTCTCATTTCCCCCTTGGTTGCTTGCCAAAGAGACTGCATTCAACTGCCGTGTAACCCTATTTCATATGCCTCCTGGATTTACCCCCTCCCCCTCTCCGCGATATGCTCGGTATGCACATGCTAAAACTTTTTTCTTCTAAGTGAAAACAGCCGCCATCATGTCTGCTGAAGCCCCCACCACCGCTCCCGTCACCGACAACGTTGTCGCCGCCACTCCCGAGGCCAATGGCGCTCCCGTCGAGGCCACTTCCGAGGCCGCCGGTGATGCTGCCAACAACCAGCCCCACTCGGCTTCCCTCTACGTCGGCGAGCTTGACCCCTCCGTGACTGAGGCTATGCTCTACGAGCTCTTCTCTTCCATCGGCCAGGTCGCCTCCATCCGTGTCTGCCGTGATGCCGTCACCCGCCGCTCCCTGGGTTACGCCTACGTCAACTACAACAACACCGCTGACGGTGAGCGTGCTCTTGAGGACTTGAACTACACTCTCATCAAGGGCAAGCCTTGCCGTATCATGTGGTCCCAGCGTGATCCCGCTCTGCGCAAGACCGGCCAGGGTAACGTCTTCATCAAGAACCTCGACAACGCCATTGACAACAAGGCTCTCCACGACACCTTCGCTGCCTTCGGTAACATTCTCAGCTGCAAGGTCGCCCAGGATGAGTTTGCCAACTCCAAGGGATATGGTTTCGTCCACTATGAGACTGCCGAAGCTGCTAACAACGCCATCAAGCACGTGAACGGTATGCTGCTGAACGACAAGAAGGTCTTCGTCGGTCACCACATCTCCAAGAAGGACCGCCAGAGCAAGTTCGAGGAGATGAAGGCCAACTTCACCAACATCTACATCAAGAACATCGATCTCGAGATCACCGACGATGAGTTCCGCACCATGTTCGAGGCCTTCGGTGAGATCACCTCCGCTACCCTCAGCCACGATCAGGATGGCAAGAGCCGTGGCTTCGGTTTCGTCAACTACGCCAACCACGAGAGCGCTGAGGCTGCCGTGGCTGAGATGAACGAGAAGGACGTAAAGAGCCAGAAGCTCTACGTTGGCCGTGCCCAGAAGAAGCACGAGCGTGAGGAGGAGCTGCGCAAGCAGTACGAGGCTGCCCGCATGGAGAAGGCCTCCAAGTACCAGGGTGTCAACCTCTACGTCAAGAACTTGACCGATGACATTGATGACGAGAAGCTCCGTGATCTTTTCGCTCCCTACGGTACTATCACTTCCGCTAAGGTTATGCGTGATGCCGCTGAGCGCTCCCCCCTCCCCGAGGGCGAGGAGAAGGAGGCCAAGGACTCCGAGGAGAAGGAAGTGAAGACCGAGGAGAAGACTGAGGAGAAGACCGAGGAGAAGACTGAGGAGAAGGCCGAGGAGAAGAAGACCGAGGAGAAGACCGAGGAGGACTCCGAGGAGAAGAAGTCCGAGAAGAAGGTCTTGGGTAAGAGCAAGGGCTTCGGTTTCGTTTGCTTCAGCAGCCCCGATGAGGCCTCCAAGGCCGTCACCGAGATGAACCAGCGTATGGTCAACGCCAAGCCCCTCTACGTTGCTCTCGCTCAGCGCAAGGATGTCCGCCGCAGCCAGCTCGAGGCCAGCATCCAGGCCCGCAACACCATCCGTCAGCAGCAGGCCGCTGCCGCTGCTGGTATGCCCCAGCCTGTAAGTTGCAATTTTCTTCATCAATATCTACTCAGTCACACTAACTTGAATTAGTTCATGCAGCCTGCCGTCTTCTACGGTGGTAACCAGCAGGGCTTCATGCCCCCTGGACAGCGTGGTGGCATGCCTTTCGCCCCTCAGGGCGGTATGCCCATGCCTAACATGCCCGCTGGACGTCCTCAGTACCCCGGTCCCTTCCCCCAGGGTGGCCGTGGCATGCCCCCCAACCAGCTTCCTCCCAACTTCCAGGGTATGCCCATGGGCATGCAGGCTCCTGGTGGTATTCCTAACGGCATGGGTTACCCTATGCCCCAGGCTTTCGGCCGTGGCGGCGGTGGCCGTGGTGTTCCCGGCATGCCCATGAACATGCGTGGTGGCCCCGGTTTCGGCCGTGGTGGTCCTCAGATGGGTCGTGGTGGTGGCCGTGGCCAGCCCGCCCCTGGCGGTCAGCCCGCTGGTGGCGAGCCCGCCTCTGCCAACCAGGCCCTCCTCGCCGCTCCCCCGCTCAGCAGAAGCAGATGCTCGGCGAGGCCCTTTATCCCAAGATCCAGGCTCAGCAGCCCGAGCTTGCTGGCAAGATCACTGGTATGCTTCTTGAGATGGATAACGCTGAGCTGCTTGGCCTGTAAGTTACAATGCTGATTATTTTATGTGTGATATGATTTGCTGACTTTTTTTTTCAGGCTCGATGATGAGGAGGCTCTTCGCGGCAAGGTCGATGAGGCCCTTAACGTCTATGATGAGTACATGAAGAACAAGGGTGATGGCGAGACCGAAGCCAAGCCCCAGGAAGCCGCTAAGGAGGCCCCTGTCGAGGAGAACAAGTCTTAATTGATGTGTTCTCTTGTCTTCTCGGAAATCTTGGACGCACGTTTTTGACGACTTTTCCTTTCTATCATTATTTGTTCCTATCTTTTACCCTTTCCCCCTACATCTCCCTCTGATCCTGATATCCCTCGGTTCGAAAAGTTTGTTCTTAGGCAGTCACCTTCCTGGTGTTTAGTGAATGCGGTATGACATTCGGATTTTTTTTCCCTCTTTCACGGTTTCCCTATAGTATGCGACCTATTCCCCCTTTAACTCTCATTCGGACTGGGCTTTACTCAATGTCTCCGGGCGATATTGGCACTGGTAAAAGTCTTTGCTTCTAGGCGCTGGGTGTGGTTCCTTTGACAACATTTCGCCATCTTCTTTTCTCTCTATTTTATTATTTTATTTTTGTCTCAGCTGGGTGGAATTCGTGAACTTCTTGTTCCTTTTCACATCTCTCCTTTGCTATATTCTCTCGTTGTGATTCACTCAATTCGAGTGTCAGATAGATTTATGATTTCCTCACGGAAGAGTCCGGTGGTCCTTGTGTTTGTTCTCGGATACGGGAGAACAACGCCAGATAATTAATAGAATTGCCGTAGCATATTTTGCTTCACCTTCCTTGCGTAAGACGAGAGATTTCTTAACCCTTTGGCCACTATTACCCGGGGCATATCAGATGACTCAGCATGTCTCGATCACCAAGGTTGAAACGGTGGGTGGATGATTTCTGTAGTAACATCGAGCTCTAAAGAACATCTCATTCGCACGAGATGATACACGCGCAATGGCATCGGAATATGTACCCGAGACATCTGAAATTGGTTCCTTGACGGCACATTCGAACGAGCACAGCCAGTTCGTCGGTAGCTCGAGTGGCGTCTATTTCATCAAGACAGTGAAACGTGCGTTCAACGGCCTAGATGGGCCGGGTTCATCCGATTCCAATTTTCCTACACCAGAGGAGACACTTGTAGGCGCTGAAAACTCACCTCATGATAAGCGCCAACGCACCTCATCCGTCAAGGACACTGCTTCGTCCTTGGTGGTCGAATCTCCCACAGAATGGACCTACGACCGATCATTAAAGGCGTCTCTGGGAGCTCTACCATCCCCAGATGTGGCTAAGAGCCTGATGATGATTTATTTCAAAGTCTGGCACCCTCTATTCCCATTCCTGCATGGACCCACCTTCCTGCAGGCGATGGAGAAGGTCTACTTCAGCGAAAATCAACCTGAGAACCCACAAAAACCCTGTATAGACCACCGGAGTACATGCTGGACAGCAATCTTCCAATGTGTCTTCAATCTAGGCAGCCTGCTAGCGCCAGACTTGGACCTACCGTCCGAATCGAAGATCCAATCACCGAACAGTTTCAACGCTTTGCTCGGGACTCTCTCCTCTCGACATGATATCGTCTCCCTACAAGCGCTTCTAGCTATCCAAGTCTATCTTGTCGCGATCATGTCACTTCGACAAGCATCGACTGTTGGAGGTTGCATCCTACGCTCGATGCTTCATGCCGGTCTCCACAGGTGTCCCTTTCGATACAAGCAACTCTCTACCCACGACCGGCAACTACGGAAGCGGGTATTTTGGTGCGCCTATGCGATTGATAGATACCTGAGCCAGGCTTTGGGATTACCGCTTGGCATACAGGATTCTGATATTGATGTGTGTCTGCCTGCTGCCCGGGAAATGCATTCCCCTCGGAGCCAGGCGAATGAGTCCGCTGGTGGTAGGTCTGTGTCGCAATATGGTAGTAAAGGCGACTACGGCAAGGAAATTATACTTGCTAGCTATGTCCATTCAGGTACTCTGACAGGCCGAGCATTGGAGCTCTTCCATAAATCAATCTTGGTTCGATCTGTTCGTCGCAGTTCCGTGTTGTTCCTCGTGACAGACGTGCATAAGTGGTGGAATGGTCTTCCCACCGATCTTCAAAGAAAGAGAGCGGGAGGATCTACAACGGCAGACACTGCGTTTGATTTTGCTCCTTTTTTCACTGTGTTGTATCAGCATCTCATTCTGATCATCCATCGGCCTTCTTTGTCGCTGGATCCGTCCACTGCGGAATTCTGTTCTGGTTTACAAACCTGCATCGGCGCTGCTCGGGCTATTCTGTCGGCCCTCAGAGTACAGGTTGATAGCCATCAGGCTTTATTCTGGCCTGGATTCTTGTCGGCGGCGTGGATGTCTGGGTTGGTGCTGGCATTGGCTTGCCAATTGAACCAATATGTGTTTACAAAGGGTCTTCAGTATGTATCTTTTCCTGGTAGTCTTCAATTGATCACTATGTACTGACTACCCGACAGGGAGATTGAAGAATGTTCGAGATTCCTGCGTTTGATGTCTACTCAGTGGGAGACAGCCAAACACTGCCACATGTCGCTCTCAGTGCTGGCCGCGAAAATCCAACAGTCAGAAAGCGGTTCCAATTCAACAGCAGACTCCCAAGGATATGTGATGAGAAGATCTGAAGGAAGTCCGACGTTTGTTGAATCTTTGGATACACGCGGAGAGAACAGACGGAGATTTAGTCGTATGTCACACTCCCAAGAAGAGCCGGGATTAGCCGCAGAATCATCCGACCTTGAGAAACGCAATGGTATATGGGGAGAATCTATGCACAAGGGAAATGATCCAACCTTGTTCCCTTCGGCGTCGACACACCCGCCACAAATGGAGGAGCAGGGAATCCTAGCCGATACACACTCTTCACTGCATATGGACTTGCAGGACACGAATCCCGCACAGTTTGAGGGGACCTCGAATTTCGACTTGAACATGGTCGATTTAATCGATGGCGCTAACTTCGACAGTCTGTTCGATATGATCGGACAGCAATTTCCAAGCTTCTAAGACCACCCTATTCACTACTAATTCAACATTTGAGAACACCGACCAATCTACAATCAACTCTACTTTCAGAATACCAACAAGCCAAGCCAAAATTATCATATTATTCACGCAGTGAGTATGGGTATCTCTCTCAAACGCTCCTGTATCATAATGGGTATTTCCTGCTGTATCAAATGCTCATGTATCATAGCCCAACCGGGCAAACCCCTCTCCATCGCATCAACGCCGGTCTTGCATCTGACGTCTGAAAAGCAGTGCTCGATTGATGCGCACTCTCCCATTTCGAATCTCCTGGCAATAGTAGTCAGCCTGCAGCTCGGCCGCCGCGAGAATAGAGGCTTTGCTGGAATGGTAGTCTCCGGGCACCTTGATCGAGACGCACAGTGGATGGTCGTGGTGCTTGGCATGGACAGAGATCGAAGCGGTGCTGGTTCGAATGTATGCGGCGACTGTGCGCATGAGGGTTTCGTCGTCGGAGTCAGAGTCCCGTGACTTGATGTAGACGTTCACCCAGTTGCTGACCTGACGAGGATCGTACTCGGGCTCCGGGATGAGCTTCCCGTCGAAGTAGAACATGCTCTGCATCTTTTCGAGGTTGGAGTTGGGGGCAATCATGTCTTGAATATGGGGCTTGTGTTTGAAGTGGGCAGATGTGGTTGGAAGGAATGGAGGGAGATGGGAAGGAGGAATAGAGAAATAAGGGTTCGAGCTCTGCTTTGAGAATATATGGGCTCTGTTTATACACTCTCTATCTAGTGACTTATTGTCTATAGGAGGCTAAACAAAGAAGTTATGATACAATGCTACCCTCAAGTCTTTCATCTATTCCAGGATGTCTTTGTGTGGTGTTTATTGAGTCTTCGGGAGATCTCCCAATTTGAGATCTGCCTAGTTTATGACTCGAAGAAAAATGTATTTCTTCTGCCTACTCTATCATGACTCTGAACCTTCCAGGTTTAGCTTGGAAATTCAATCTATGTAGGCAGTAATATCAACTCTCGTCTTTGTGCTGAGCTAGACAGATTAGACTAACCGAACTTATACAGCATAGACATTGTTGGCAGCATAGAGAAAAAAAGACAGAAAAGTACTCCAGTTCCTCCCTTCTATCAAATACACAGTCTAGATAACATAAGCTGCTTCAAGCATCAGAAACTTTCTATACCAGAGACTCCAAGAACAAATCACCACCAAAAGCCTGTTTCCCCAAGACCCAGAGGCTAGCGCCTATCTCCTCCGAAATAGCAAAGCCCGATTGATATGAACCGACCCCCTAGCAACCTGCGCACTCAAATACTCTGCCGATAGCTCCGCGGCAGCAAGAATTGACTCATCATCGCCATGTTCTCCAGGAACCTGGATCGAGATGCAGAACGAGATATCCTGGTGCATAGGATAGTCAGTGATGCTGACGACTCTTGTACGGATACAGGTGACGACTGTGCGCATTATCGTAAGATCATCGCATCTATAGTCGCGTCCGTTGAAGAAAACGTTCACCCAGTGTCTCGCTCGAGGGTAATATTCAGGCTCTTGCATTACTCTTCCGTTTTGATAGAACATCCTTTGGGTAATGTTAGTTATGTTGATAGGCTTATAGCTGGAGGACTAACCTTGCTTCTCAGTTGGCCTTGTACCTGTAATGATTGATGAATGGCGAGGCAAGTTGATGGATTCGAGTGGCTTTGGTTTGTCTGAAGGTCTATCTGACGACTTTCTGAGTGCTGGGATGCCCTGATATAGGGTGACAAGCCCGTTTAAATGCTGGATTCTAGTTGGACACTAAGACAAGAACATACTCATCTTGTTTCCATTCTTTCTATATGAGGAAAACAGGTGTCATATTGCTATAATGGCATTTTTGGTTTTCTTAGTTCTTGGGCTCCTGATCTGTTCCGTCTTGTGCGAGATGGCTTTGATATTCTCTTTATGGGTCTTCATACAAATTTACAAGTGATATTTCTAGAAGAATACTGAAGAATGTGTTGCTCATTACTTAAAAGAAAGCGTTCTTCACGGTTCTCTATTCTGTCTGATATTCAAGGGTCAACTGATCATTCCATCCAAAGTGTTATTGGCGATGATATGAGACAGAAAAGAATATGAACAAAGAAAAAGAAGAAAAGAAGAGGAAAGAAGGAAGACAATGAATTGTCTCAGACTCTCAACCCAATTTCTCAACCTCCAGACAGACTGCATCCACAACCCCTTGAGTGTCAGAGGTCCCTCCAAGATCGGGAGTCAAAATACCTGCAGCACAAACTCGTTCAACACAACCCATCAATTGGGCAGCAGCATCATTCTCCCCAATCCAGACAAGCATCTCTGCAGCTGACCAGAAAGTAGCAACCGGATTCGCAACCCCCTTCCCAGTAATATCAAACGCACTACCATGAACAGGCTCAAAAAGCGATGGATTCTTCCGGGTAGGATCCAGATTACTGGAAGGCGCAACACCAATCGACCCAGCCAACGCCGCAGCAAGATCCGACAAAATATCCATATGCAAGTTCGTCCCAACGATGGTATCGACCGAGTCTGGCTTCGCCACCATCCGAACAGTCATTGCATCAACAAGCATCTTATCCCATGTCACATCGGGAAAGTCCTTGGCAACAATCGCAGCAACTTCATCCCACAACACCATCCCGTTGCGCATGGAGTTGCTCTTCGTAACAACAGTCAGGAGCTTGCGCGGTCGCGATCGAGCAGTCTCAAACGCGAATCGCATAATCCGCTCAATACCCACCCGCGTGAATACGGCGACTTCCGTCGCGGCTTCCCATTGCTGTCCGACATGAGACCGTCCGCCTTGTCCTGCGTACTCGCCTTCCGAGTTTTCCCGAACAAGCATCCAGTCGATGCCGTTTGTTGTAGTGTTAAGGGGACATTTAGTTCCTGGGAAGGTACGGACTGGTCGGACGTTTGCGTATAGCTGGAGGGGGCCGCGGATGGCGAGAAGTAGGCCCCAAAGTGAGATATGGTCGGGTACGTCTGGTCGTGTTAGTATTGATCTTTACTAGTCCGGTAGCTGGTATGATGCTATGCAGTATAGAGGGCATACCGGGTGATCCAACGGCGCCGAATAATACGGCATCGTACTTGCGTAGAGTGTCGAGACAATCTTCAGACACATATCGGCCAGTCTGCTTGTAGTACTCGGTTCCCCATGGGATATGCTCGAAGTTGATGTTGAATGTGCCGAGGGTCTTTGCGAGCTTCTCGACGACCTGGATCGTAGCACTGACTACCTCGGGACCAATGCCATCGCCTGGGATAGAGGCAATGCGGTGTGATTTCTTTGAAGCCATATTCAGGAAAGATGTATGGAACTAGAGAAGATGTGATGATGATTTCGAGAAAGCCAAATGCAGGTCAACGCGCAGACTATAAATATGGCTGCGATCAACGATCAATATGGTTGATAGTTCATCCTGCCATATACATCCTTTGGCCGAGTGGCCGCTATTGCAACGAGATAGACTTCGGCAGAACTTTCAGGCGATGGGATTTGCCGTTCGCCACTGTATGTTGCATCACACTCTCGGCATGTCTTGATCTCGCACACGATTAAAATGGCATCGAGATCAAAAGAAAGACGACCGGCGCGCATAACAATCGCATGCAACATATGTCGCTCGAGGAAACAAAAATGCAGCGGCCTCAAACCCGTTTGCGAACAATGTCTTGAGAACAATCGACCATGCAACTGGCCCGAACAGCTCCGAAGAGGACCAGAGAAAGGATATACCGAAGCACTAGAGAATCGACTTCAGCTTACAGAGAGCCTTCTTTTGAGTTTGCTCCCACATGTCTCAGACGAGCAGCTCTCGGCTGCGATTCCGCGCCGAGAGAATAGCCAAGATCACGGCGCTGCCTCGTATGTGCCATTCCCCAGGCTTGAGAAGAGGGGGATTGACAGTTGGTCGCAATTCCCTCTTGATACTTCTCGCGGTATCCGAAGGTGGCAGCAGGCTTGTCCTCAGCCTGAAAGGGTGGGCTTAGAGACATATGGCTGTAAGAAAAGGCGTTTGCAGAATGAGAGGCCAGATGTTTCGGTCCCAATGTCTACCACAAGTCAAGAAACCGATGGAAGTTTCAATGAAACACCGAGTCGTCTGGTCGAGTCGTCAGGTAATGCACACGAAGAGAGTGCACCGGTGGAGAGAATGAGTTCTTGGCAGGGAGCTCCTTCAGTTGAATTTCAACGTCGATTTCTCTGGTGAGAAAGCAGAAGTAGGCTTCTTGATTCATGTCTTTTCTGTATCATTTGAAATACCCCATTTTCCTTATAGCGCCGAGATCAGCTAATAAAGGTCAATATTTGATCACAAGAAAGTCTACGCCGTAGTCAATTAATCGGATAAAATATCGGCTTTTTACTCCTTATCCTTGCCAGGTCCTCACACGGGTCTCCGAAACTGTCTATGCTCATGGCGACGAATCAATGGGTTGATGAAGGCATGGGAATTCTGTAAGCTACCTCATGTACCATATGAACATCTCGAACACAGAATATCTATCCACTCCGTCTCTTCCTACCTCCATCATTTTTCGGAATCACCTGTCATATTGATTTGGCCATTTTCGTGGCCCAGGATCTGCCTCCAACTCATTTTCGTACTGCCCATGCGGATCCCCTCGTGGGTATCTGCTGGTAGAACCCTGTCGCTCCTCGAGGAATTGTACTCGTGGGGGATGTTCATTCGCTTTTGTTTTTACCACCTGCATGCGCAGTTTCCTTTTGATGGTCTGCGAAGAAAGCCGACCGCAGCTTTTTGTGTTGATCGTTGCTGTATCGACTCACTAGATTGGCATAGTAACATTTTCCGTGGACACGTTCTTGGACGGAGTCGACATTAGGAAAAGAGGTGTATGGGAATAAGTGTGCAGCCTCTCGCACGAGGAACGCAGTACATTGGGTACCGCGGTCCAATTGGAGTGAAGTCTTTCCAACTGCGTTCTGGGTGTAATAGCGAAGCGGGTAAACTTGTTCCCTAGCACGCGTCGAAGTAGAACAATAGGTCGGAGACTGCCTCCTCGTCCCATGCGCGCATCAGGATTCGAAGTGCTCCAGTGATAGCTTGACTGCTGAGATCAGTCGCCCCAGCATGGGTCAGTTTCGCCTGATTCCTGATTATTCTTTCAATTTGTAGGCTTAGCTGCCCCGTTGCGAGATCTTCTTCGACACTTCACTTGACAATGCGTTGTTGTCATCACCGAGAAGAAGGTACGTAATGCGCACCAAGGTCCGGGTTGAAATTTCAGACATGTATGAGCGGGAGAAGAGAAATGGAGTCAGTTGGGTCCCAATTTCCAGGCGAGAATTGGAAGCGTCAGTCCATTTTGTCGACATTTCGGGAGGATTCTGTCTCATGGTACAGCATCAAGAGCCCATATCCTTCAATCATAGCTCTTTCATATGCTTCTAGCCGTGGGTAGCCTAAGATCGCCTTTGCATTAGTAGGGAGCTTCCGAGAGTTGGTCACACATACTGTTTTGACGCACTAGCAAAGCTACTCGCGGTTGAAATTCTTCTGAGGGAAATTTGAAGAGAGCCCTAGAAATGGTCTAGAAGGTGTAGAAGAAGTGGGAAAGTCGCCCACTGATAATGTCTCAGCGCAGTCCAACGGGAGAAAAGAGCCAGAAAAAAAAGAGAGAAAAAAGAAGGGAAACCCAGGTGGGTTCGAAACGAAAGATTATTGGAGATCCTCAAGTTGGGGAATATCCCTGATTTGGTGCAATCGTCGGTCGACCGACAACCATTTTTCGGTTTTTGCTGGGGGAGAGCAACTCCCCCACCCCATCGTGGTGCGCTTACGCTTTCCCGCAAGGCTGCAGCCACGCACAGGGACACTTCTTTGCCTTTACCCTTTGTGATATACTTGTCCTCTCGATTCACCTTGCTTTTGAATGTGAACCGAGGAGGTATGTCTAAGTACTCACAGTATCACCAAAAGAAACAGATACTCTGGCACTTTCAAGCAAATTGATATACAATGAGCTTTGGAAGCAAGCGGTATAATACTCCATGGAGATGAGAGACCCTGCATGACTCAAGCCTGGAAAAGAGTCTAGACTATGGTTGTGATGGACGCTGCATCTAAGCCTGTTTGTATGTCTTAAAGATTGGATTCTCACCTGCAATTGTTACTATGCATATGCAAACGAATAAAAGACTACTGAAAAATGATTGAAAGGCCTAAGCAGTCAAGTATTGTAGATATTGATTTCAGACAGAGTCAGGAAGATACACCTAAAGTCTGGCCTCTTTCCCAGAGAACACAATCTTTTCCCCAGTAGTCAAACTCCTTTGCAAAGCAGAACCAATGATAACTGCCTTCACCGAGCTAGAGAGTGACACTGGCGGAGTCGTGTTATCCAAGCAACAAGCAGTGAACTCATTAGCTTCCGTGAGGAAAGCTTCTCTAAAACGCTCATAATAATGCTTCGGAAGTTCACGTCTGGCTCCCTGGCCATCATGAATCTCCAGATGGTTCTTCCGACCTTGCATATTGACTCTGAGTGACCCCCTCTCGCAGATGATTTCGGTAGTATCTTCCTGTCCAGCAGCCATCATACGCGAGCAGAAAAGGGTAGCAATCTTGCCGCTCTCAAACTCGACCGTCGCTACCGCATTGTCGCGATCCTTGCTCGGATCCAATGCAGTATGAGCAGCGACGACTCCAACGGCTTGCAGACTTTTGATATTGGTGTTTTCCCCAAGGAACCACAGCATCAGGTCAATGTCATGGATGGAGCAGTCCAGAAATATTCCACCGCTCGTCTTGGCGTAATTCACAAATGTCCCAGTAGTGTCGAGCATATCTGCGGTCTGGGATCTGAAAACCACTGGTCGGCCGTGTTGGCCCGAGGCCATTCTTTCATAGGCTTCGCGGTAGGAAGCATCAAAGCGGCGCGAGAAACCGCACATGACCTTCTGGTTAGGACTTGTCTCGAGCGATGTATTGTAGGCATCGAGAACGGATTGAGCCTGTTGAAGTCAGTATGGATCTGCATATTTGGCCTCATGTAGCAAGACCTACGATCGTGATGTCAAGGGATAACGGCTTCTCGCACATAACGTGAAGCCCCTTCTTGATAGCGGCAATAGTATGATCTGCATGGACCGCAGTAATACCAGCAACAACTATGGCATCCAAGTCTTCTTTCTCGAGCATTTCATAGTAGTCTTTGTAAACTTTTGCTCCTGTAAGGTTTTCTGCTGCCCATTTGTGCTCGCTGAGATCGGGAGAACTTGCTGCTACCACTTCAGCACGAGGTGTGAAGAGATGGTAGTTTAAGGCATGCCGTTGGCCTGAGGTGTGTCAGCTCAGTCTCTTCCGGAACCCAGGTATTGGAATAATCTATACCCATTCGGCCAAGACCGGCGATACCGACGCGCAACTTCGGGACTGACATCTTGCGATGAAAGGGGCTTTGTATTGAAGTGAGGGGGAATCTTTAGAAATTCTGAAGCCCACTTCTCGAGAGTAATCACTTTAGCATAGGCTTAGTCGGCTTTATATACACAATCGTTGTTCCGAGTGGAGAAAACACCTGGTCGGGAAAGGGTTTCCAAATGGCTCTTGGAATGATTTGCTGTATAGAAGCCCTCCAAATCCTCACTGATAATAGCCAAAAATGAGAGAACAAGTACCAGGTGCTGAAACAATCCTAGATTGAAGTCATTTTCCCTGTGAACTTTGCAAAACATGGCGAGCAGGGTCTTTGCAATATACGCAAGAAGTATAGTATCAGCACGGACCACTCGTGTGAGATTTATATTGATATTTGAATCCAATCGAACTAAACTTCTATGATAGAATCAATCATATCAAAACCCCTGGGGTATACATCGACGGTACAGCCACATCGGGTTCTGATTCCCGTCAGGGTTGATCTATTCCCAATTAGGTTAGATCCACTACGGTTATACCAGCGATTGGTCCAAGGAACGCCTAGAAAGGAAGTTAGGACGACATCTCAGGGCTATGACACATCTAGGATTGAAGGTCCCATAAATACAAATGTGCAGATTGGTGGCGGGTATAGTTCGGATTAAAAATTTCCCCATATCACCCCGCACTGACTTAGATCCTTCAACTCTTGATATCTCATGGCACCCTACGGAGTAGAAGGAGAACATGTCCCAAAAGAGGAAGCACCACGCCTCCATGGCATGCATCTCATGTCGGGAGAGTAAAGTCAAGGTGAAGATCAATTGGCCCAGGGGTAAATACAAGCTAACACCAGCAGTGTGACGGCGGTAAGCCCAAATGTTCCAGCTGCATGAACAAGCATCGGGAATGTCGATACCAGGTCGTAGACAAGAGAAGGTAGGTGACCCATCAAGGTCATTACATAGAAGAGAGACTTCTAGTTGGATAATAGCGCTGATCATGCGAAGACTTCCACTACGTGTTGCTATAGAGCTTCTATCAAGCAGAGTCGACCAGCTCTGTCTCTTTATTCGCCAAAATGGATTAGAGGCCCCGCCTATGCCAGAAGAGAAAGACACGGCTTTGGTTAAAGTACTGGATATTCTTGGATTGACTGAAGTCCATTCAGCTGCAGTAAACAATCAAGCTGACAAGAAATGCTCCAATCCCAACTCCACGTCCGCAGTCCAGAACCCGCTTTCTGATACCTCAAACTCTCTGCTATCTTCTGCCCCCGGTATAACAGATGAGATCGATAGCACTTGGGCTCAGGCATCTCCGGACAGCACATCGCAAAAATCTCAGTCGAATATCACAATGCTTTCAGACCCACATTCTGTATCGACACTGCCCATGATCGATACTGAAAATCTGGATATCTCAACTACACAGCACTGTCCCCCAACGGATGAGCACTCGGATGCTTCATTGGCAAACTGGGACTGGACCTTGGACTTCGGAACATACATCACACCATCATCCCCAGACATTCCTGAACAAAGCACAGAGCTACTACAGCCTCCAGTGGAGCAATTGGAGAGGCTACCTGAGCCCTTTGAGCCTGCCGTCCTTGAAACCCCACCCAGCCTAGACAGTGATACTAGGAGCACAGAAGAAATCGAAGACCTTATCGACGAGCTTTCTGATCGCATGGGTACATTACGCTTCGGCCCTGGAGGGAAAGCTCGCTTCTATGGCCCAACATCGACCTTCAACCTCGCTGACGCTCCAGTATCTACCAATACTCAGACACACCGTTCGCTTGATTATCTCGACGATACAGATTGGGATAGACAAGTCCCATTATCTCTTGAGGACCATCTTCTTACTCTCTATTTTACCTGGCAAGATCCATCATTCCACGTCGTCGACCGAGAATTGTTCGAGAAAGGAAAGACAGCTTGGTATAGGAAAGCGGAGACCCCGTTCTATTCAGAGGCACTCTGCTATGCAATGTAGGTCCATTGCAATTTCGTGGGTTGACACATGAAATAACATTCGTAAATAGGTGTTCTCTCGGCGCTGCTTTTGAAACTCGTTACCATCCATCCTTTGTGACATTCCCGAAATCACTCGGTGAATTCTTCGGGGACCGCGCAAAAGAGCTCCTTGAAATTGAACTCGACTCTCCATGTGTGGCAACAGTTCAAGCACTGGTGATCTTAAGCAGCCATGAAATCGGTGTGGGCTCAGATACACGTGGATGGCTCTACAGTGGTAAATCCTGTCCAAACTTCCTGGTTTCCTTATCTTACAATTCTAGGGATGGCTTTGCGGCTTGCTTTTGATCTTGCCTTGCATATCGACCTCTCTCCATATGTTGCTCGTGGATCTGTCACCGCTGCCGATGCCGAGCTACGTCGAACTGTCTTTTGGGCTGCATACATGGTTGATCAGTGAGTTCCCGCATTGTTTTCGTATGCACTCGGGATATCTCTAATCTGCTGAAATGCTAGTCTTGTCGGCTTCTACCTCGGTAGACCCTTTTACACTAACATGGAGGATGTTACTGTCAAAAAGCCCAACAATGACGTCGACCATCGAGAACCTTGTAAATGGACACCATACGCGTCTCCCATTCCGTTTGACGATAACTCCGAGTTACTTGACTGTATGGGGGCCGTCAGTCAGCAGGAAGTCACATTATGTGAGCTTATGGCACCCTGCGGCTACTTTCTGTAAGTTTTCGTTCTCAATTGTTGTCGCTCATCGGGATCAGTTGGAATCAAACGAGTTACTTCAGCTAACGCTCACCCCAAAAAAAGATATGGAACATCAGGTATCCCAAGAGCCTTGCTCCAGCAGCTCAATGAAAATAATGTCGCCAAGCTTCTCAACTGGAAAGCTCAGTTGCCCTCATATTTACAAATCAATCTCAACGATCATACTTCTCCATATCTTCCACATGTGTTGCTACTTCAGTGGGTTGCTACTATACTTTACTTCACAAGTCTCAAGCCATTTGCTAACTCATCTTGAAGCATGCAATATTACCAAAACCTCATCTACACCCATCGACCCTGGATGTCAAAAGGCTACCTACAGCCACAACCCCCCAAAGGACCTGGCTCCTCCCACGCTCGGGAGATGTGCATTAATTCCGCCATCTCCATAGCTAAAATCCTCGTACTGTACGAGACCAGATATACCCTCCGTCGTATAAATATCAAAGCAGTCTCAATTACTTCCTCCGCCGTGCTACTACTTCTCTTCGCCGCCGTCTCCCAGTACAAATCCGAAGAAGAGAATATCATCGCTCATCTCAGTACCTGCTTCAGAGCCCTCGATGAGTTCTCTCTATCCTGGCAGAGCGCAAATCGTGCAAAAGACCTCCTAGTCAGACTACAGCACAAATGGGAGGTTCGTACCCGTGCTACCAAGCCGGACCGTGGGCCGGACGGGGCTGGTTATCCCCCAAAGAAGAGATCAAGAACGCTTAATGGATCTGACTCAGTCTCTAATGGTGGAAGGCTTTCTAACTTACAGCCTGAGGCGCGCGATTTCCAGCTGGAGTCGGGCTTAGGTTGGATGCTTATGCTCAGCGGTCAGCTTCCGTCGGATGGAGACGAGGATCTCTATTCGTTTGTCGCAAATACAAATATCCCTGAGTCTGAATATGAGACTATATAGCTATGTCATTTTGAATCTATTTCAAATAGAATGCCAAATCCGCTCCATCTTCTCTCTCCCACTCCAGTTCTCCATTTCCAAGGTAGGAAAACGGATCCGAGCTGTTGTTGTGCCTAATGTCAAAGTCTTCGCCGCGAATATCCTCGATAGCTTCTGTTATCAAGTCAGTATATTAACATACGATATTCTTTCCATACCAGTTGTCAGACTTGCCTTTATAATGTAACACACTACCCGGGTACATCGCTGTAACAGCTTTTCCGTTGTTATACCAAGCATGACAACCCTTACTCCAAACGGTGCGTCTGAGACCCGCTTGGGCACGACGGTTGTAGTTTCGAACAGCGGAATCGGTTACTGCGATGGATCTTTTTGAATGTCAGTTGAGAGGCCGTATATAACCTCATTTGGGGAAACACTCACTTGATATCCTCCCGGGCCATCTTCTTCATCCATTTCAGCATATAATCAGCCGTCCAACCAATCATCTGGGGCACGCTGCCATGGCCAATGGGACAATTGGGTCCATTGAAGATGAAGTAGTTTGGCACTCCACCGGCACAGATAGAAAAGTATGCTTGGGGTACATCCTTCCACTGCACATCCAGTCGTCGACCTTGTCGGGCAACTAGCTCCCACCCAGGAATGAAAGTGGTATCAAAGCCAGTCGCACAAACAATCAAATCAAACTCCTCTTCACCTGCTGTTGTGCGAATACCGGTCTTGGTGATCTCTTCGATGCCTTCAAAGCACCATTTGGCATTTGGTTCCTGCATCGCTTCGAGATATCCATCACCAGGACTTAATCTGCGACATCCGATTTCGTATTTTGGGATCAGTTTGTCAATCAAATGGGAATTTTGACTGAGACGCTGGCGCATAAGTCCAGAAATTGCATCAGACAGCCCTTTGTTGTGCTCCGAGCCAGATAACATCAGTCGGTAGACGGTGTTGACACTTTTGGTAATTAGTAAATACTTAGTCCGATTCACATAGAAAAAGGAGTGAGAAACCTACGAGCAGTCAATTTTTTTCCTGTACTCCAGGAATGCTTTTGGGTCATCTCGGAACATCGCTTTCTCCTCCTCGGTATATTCAAAGTTCGTTCCCATTCCATCCTTCGTGATGTCCGGACAGAGATTGACCGACACCCAGGTCGGCTGACGAATGTAATTGACAATTTTTGCAGCCTTGGGCTGTAGCGCAGGAACCACTTGAAGAGCAGATGAACCATTTCCAATGACTGCGACCTTCTTATCAGTCCAGTCGTAGGTTTTGTCCCAGCCAGCCGTGTGGACAAGCTTGCCAGCGAACTGGTCCAAACCAGCGATATTCGGCATGTTCCACTTGTTGAGAATACCAGAACCGTCAATGAGAATATCTGCTTCATCTTGGATAGTTTTTTCATTCTGTTTCAACTCGAGCGCCCATTTGCCTCGCTCCTCATTCCAAATAGACTTAACGAGCTTGGTATCAAACACAATCGGATCCTTCAATCCATACTTGTCCACCGTGTCGACAATGTATTTCTCAATCTCGGCACCACCCGCATAACATTTTGACCAGTTTGGATTCGGCTCAAATGGAAAGACATAGCTGTGGGCAGGAACATCGCATCCAACACCAGGATAGACGTTCTCGAGCCATGCGCCTCCAACTTCGGGGTTCTTTTCGTAGATCGTGAAATCCACGAACTCAAGTGGCTGCTCATGTTTCAATTTATGAGAAAGAATTAGACCAGAGAACCCTGCCCCTATGCAGATGACACGGAGCTTGCGCTCCTTGAATGCATATTGACCGGGGTCTACATTGATCGTCTCATTGTAAAGCGATTCGTTGGACGGCATGGTGGGTTTTGCTCAAATAGTTGATGGTTTGCTTTTTTCTTCTTTTTTTTTTTCTTCCTTGACTGTTTCTTTTCCCTCTCCACCATTGGGACGGGAAACGGAAGACCCCGGGTCTGATTCCTAACTCAGGGGCTGTCTCCATAGCTCTAACCTTGACGTGGTAGTACTAAGTAAGTAGCGTTGACCGGCGTTTGACCTGGATCGGAAATCCTTCTCGGGTAGTATAAGGAGCGATATCATAGGTGGATGTGTTAAATGCGGTCCCATCGGGGGCCAGGCGTAAACGGGAAGAGCACAAAGTGGACCTCCAATTGATATTGGCTGGGGGCCATCCTTGGCCTTGACATTTGTAAGAACCTTAGCGAAAATTTACAATGTCTTGGAATTCAAAGACACTACGGAGTACCGTACCCTACGATATTTTCACGGATGTGAGAGAGTCTTCTCTCTGATGCAAATGTCGCTCAGTCCGTTCGGGGAACCTCCACCCGGGACGGATCTATCCGCCGATCACGGCTCACGGAACAATGCCGCTGTGATCACAACCTTTGTCCTGGCAACAATAGCAGTCGGGCTTCGGTTTTATACGAGATATCGAGTTCAATCTGTGCGAGTAGCTGCAGATGATTGGATGATCGTGGGGGCCTTTGTATGTCACCATCAAATCGGTCGGTGACTGTTTCTGACAGACCTATAGCTGGCCGTAACTGCAAGTCTGATTTTGACTGTACTTGGTATGTATGAAATCGTGGACGGTGCAGACTGACCTCAATTCTGACCTGTATCACAGGTGGATATCATGGCCTCGGGAGACATGTATGGATTGTCCCTATTGCCGAAGTCGTGGAAACGATGCGCATTCTCTTCGTCTACGTCCTGCTTTACGTCGTCACCGTTCCACTCATAAAACTATCCATTCTACTCTTCTACCGACGCATATTCGGCATGACTTATACAATATGGTTCTGCGTGTTTTTGACAACCGGATATTTCGTCTCTTGCATAATCGCCTTTTTGGTTTGCTGCAGACCGGTCTCATACTACTGGACACAATATGCAGATCCCAGTGGAGGAAAATGTATTTTCGACCTCTACCCATTCTATATCGGTAATGCTGCAGCAAATGTGGCCACGGATGGAATCATTCTGTTGGTTCCAATCCCCCTCGTGTGGAAGCTACAAATGCGAAAAACACAGAAACTCTTGCTATCCGGCATCTTTTTGCTCGGAGGATTGTATGTCGCCCCCCACTCCAAGTACATCTGGCCCAAGCTCAAATATTTCAGTGTCTGCATTGCGAGCATTATCCGGATCTATTACATGACTTTCCTCAAAAACTCCCCCGACGTTACCTGGATCATGGGCGACGTCTTCATCTGGTCCAGCGTTGAGCCCTCCATCGGCATCGTATGCGCCTGTCTTCCAACATTACATCCGCTACTTCGCTCTTTTATCGCTCGCGTGCTTGGAAGTAGTACAGGGAGATATGCTGAGGCTTCGAGCAACCAGGAGTCAGTGAAGAAAAAAATATTTATTCGCCGGCCAACGCCACTTGACTGGGACGAGTCCTTGTTGAGTACACGTGACGTGCAGGTCGAGATGAGCGGAGTCAGGAGGAATCATAGCGACGATGGGAAGATTACAGTGGATACGGACTTTCGAATAGCTGAAGAGAGCAATCAATTGAAGTAGGATAGCAATCTATTGCTGCTAGTGCACCACTTTATATCTTCTTATTGCTAAGATTGACTTCCTTCATATCATGACTTGCATACCCTTTTCCAGTAGACTGTTCCTTGCCTCTATAGCTAAAATGATCAAGAGTTAGACGTAAATATGGCTGGGGCAACAGGATAGCAGCCAGCCATTTGATAGGCGAACCAGGAGCCTATCCTGCCTTGGAAAAACCGTGGAAAAATCCTGCAATGTGTATGAAGACTAGGTAACGGTCTCTTCTCTTTTCCATGAAGTCTAGCGACCTGCCGAGCAGCATGTCCCAATTGCTTTGACTGATTTTACCACGCCCGTAGGTACTTCTTCGGTAATATCAGCGAAGGCTTTCACTTTTGCACTTTTTGTCATTCTTCGCTGTCAGAGCTCGGAGTTTGTGACACGCCTTTCGGCGTTTTTGATTTTGTCATGGTGAAAATCAAATCTCTCGCACTACAATATACGTAGAAGACGATTATTGAGTGGATAAAAGAGATAGGCGGTCAATTCCGTCAGAATCAGCGGCCCTGTGGGTCGAGTGGACCCGTGTTTGCTGACTAATATACTCCCCTCCAGGGCTTTTCTGGGGCAAGGACGGAGTACATACTCCGTATCGTATCTATGTTTTTGACAGCGCCGTGATGGTGTTAAAAAATGTCCAATCTGTTCGCAGGTGTTCAAAAGAAAACTGAACATCATAACAGACATGAGTGGTCGTGTCAGTCACGTCGAGCTCTTGCCAGAGCAGCAACCTAGCATGCAAAACAGACACTACCGAACGCCCATATGAATGCAATGTCTATCACAGGCGTTTTTCTTGAGGTTAGGTTTCCGTCGAAAGCGATTGTGCATTGTAACATGATTCAATCCTACCTTCGAATTCCTAAGTTGAAGGAGCATATATAATACACAATGAGTGATGCTCTTATGGATGTGGACTTATGGTGTGTCGATTGGGATTGGCAAACGCAATATTATTTTCTAGCGGTTGACTTATCTTTTCTTCGCTTGCTTGATAGAGTTACATTAGTTATCTGATTAGGTGAAATAAACCCAGCCAGGCAGGGACATACTCCTCCCCGTTGACTTTATCATGAGCCCACCATGGCGAATCTCCGAGAAGACACTTGGTATTAAAGGTCTCCTTACCAGCCACAATCTCCTCCCAATGTCGATCCGCATTCTCAGCCTCACGCCAGAGAATATGGACCTGTACAAGCTCAGGGCCTCCCTCGACGGGTAATGAGAGACAGCATATCTGCTTGTGATGCTGGGGCATATATGTAATAGTGGCTACTTCGGATCGACACTGCTCGGCCATAAGATGCATCATGCTCTCGCCGCTACTTGGCCTAGCTCATCCACCGAGCTTGGTGAAGTCTACTGTTTCCCAGTGGAGGAATTCCTTTGTGCCGGTCTCGGGGACGTTGGTGCCATCTGGGCGAAACAACATACCTAATGGCATTATGGAGATGGGAAGTGTGGGTTTAATTCATGGATATGAGAAGATGTATAGATGTGATGGCTGGTTTGAGGTAGGATCACCATAAGATGAGTTCAGTTGATGGGAAGGTTGGTCTATTAAAGATTCACTCCGGTTCATAGTGTCGAGTCTTTGTTCAAAAGCAATTGCCTTTATTTTCTTCCATGCCTATATCCGAACAGCAGTAATTGCCTCTTTGTCAATATTTAGCCAGTCTAGTTCTATTTGCTAATTATAAATGTCAAATGAAGGATAAGTACTTTTATATAATATTTTTATAGTTCCAAGGGTCACATACTTTTGAGTTATCGTGATCCGGCTTCGGAGTCGAGTACCCGAGGTCATTCCGGGGGGGGACTTCCTCCCGACTTTGGAAATTGTCCCATCGCAGATTGCTGGTCAACTGCTCGATATGTCTGCACGTGCTCTTAGGCAGTTTAAGCCTAGAAACAAGCTTGCCACTCGCTGCTTCTCCACCACCCGACCTACCAATGCGGACTTCACCCATGCGGTACAGTGCACCTCCGAGATTCGAGACAGACCCAAGGCTAATTCAAATGAAAGGTAATTGGCGGGGGCGTCGTCGGCCTTGCTACCGCACGCCAACTCGCAGCTCGCGAAGGCACCTCAACAATTCTACTAGAGCGACATGACGCACCAGGGACAGAGACGAGCAGTCGCAACTCCGAAGTATGCTACACAAGCCCCAATATCTGGCACCAGACAACGCATAGCCCAAATTAACCCCTTACCAGGTAATCCACGCCGGTCTCTACTACCCAGCCACCTCTCTCAAAACCCGCCTCTGCATCCGCGGCCGCAACCTCCTCTACGACCTCTGCGCGCAACACAACATCCCCCACCGCAACACGAAGAAATGGATCGTAGCGCAAACCCCCACACAATGGGAAGCATGTCTGAAAATACACGCGCACGCACAGGCACTTGGCGACGCGCCGACACGGCTGGTGGGACATGAGGAAGCACAACAGCGCGAGCCAGACGTCAAGGCAGATGCAGGCATTGTCGAGAGCGAGACATCCGGTATTGTGGACAGCCACTCGCTGATGACATATCTGCAGGGCGACTTTGAAGAGCGCGGGGGCGATATTGCGTTCAAGACGCGCGTGACGGGCGTGGAGGCTATCGACGGTGGCCGCGGCGGGTATAAGATTACCGCTGTTTCGGATGAGGATGGCTTGGTTACTTCTATCACCGCTGAGACGCTGGTTAATAGTGCCGGTCATGGTGCCTGCGCTATTAGTAACATGCTCCTTCCGCAAGAGCGTCATTTTGTTCCGCATTATGCGAAGGGCACGTACTTCTCGTATGCGTCATCTAGGCCCAGGACTTCGGTTTTGGTTTATCCGGCTACTTTGCCGGGGACTGGTGGACTTGGGACGCATTTGACGCTTGATATGGGTGGGCGTGTTCGTTTTGGGCCGGATGTTGAGTGGGTCGATAGTCCTGATGATTTGGTGCCGAGCGCTGCGCGCTTGGAGCAGGCGTTGCCGGAGATCAAGGCTTATCTGCCTGGTGTCGATGTCGATGCCATTGCATTGGATTACTGTGGTATTCGCCCTAAATTGGGCAGAGGCGGTGCTGTTAATGAGGGTAAGGGGTTCCAGGACTTTATCATTCGGGAAGAAGAGGGTTTGCCCGGGTTTATTAATTTGTTGGGTATTGAGAGCCCCGGCTTGACGAGTTGTTTGGCGATTGGTGAGATGGTAAATGGTATCTTGTACCGCTAGATATCCCTTGCGTTTTGACTTGTAAATACATGAGTTAGATGGTATATAGAGATACATATAGGGTGCAAATACTGTATGTAGGCCCTTGGCCATATCATGCCATCATTGTTCTACTGAATTCCGCAAAGAGCATCGACATGCCATGAGCTTGCTAAATTTAGAGTCTCGAGGCTTAAGGACCAATGACATCGAAGCCATGAGGGGAGAGGTGAGAGAGGTGAGATTTTAGTTCGATTGCTTATATAGACGACCCCCAACTTCTTCTTACTTCGCAACACCAACATCCCAATCCAACATCCATCCCAAATGGCATCCCTAGGCCTCGGTGCCACCCTGAACCCCAACCAAAATCACGGCCCCGTATTCCTAACATTTAACTTCATCCTCGCCTACGGCCTTCTCTCCTCGCGCACTTTGAAACAATGGTACGGCCTCGATCACCAGGTCTCGCCTCGCGAAGACCTAACCAAATATGGCGAGACCGCTGTGCGCGAAGGCAAGATCACACGCAAACAGTTGGACATGCTGAAGCGCAATGAATCGGCGCACGCTAATGCCGTAGAGAACTTCCCACTACTGGTTTCCGGTGTGCTTTTTGCGTCGTTGGCTGGTGTACCCGCGCAAAAGATCAATGCTGCGGCGTTGTCGTACACTGCTGCCCGGATTGTTTACGGGGCGGTTTACATTTTGGTGGATAGTCCTAAGTGGAGTTGGACCAGGGCGTGGGTGTGGTGGTGGGGGAATTCGAGCTGTTTCTATCTGTTGTGGAAGGCTGGGGAGTTGTTGAATTGAGAGGGAGAGATTTATGGAGATTGGTGTATTATTGAGTGTACTGCATTCTTAGCAGAATATAATGCTAGAGTAGAACAACGTGCAAAAGGCAAACGCCAAAGAAACTCTCTCAGTCATCAAAACTGGATCAACAAAAGACATAACACCTCGTGTGCGATCCGCAATGGGAAATATGATAGTACCAGCAACGCCACAAGATGAAAATCAAAATAAAGCAAAAGCCATCCACTTCGCAAACAACGTCCAGCGTCTATGTAAAATCCCAAACACCACAACGCAAGTTCTGAGCAGTAAAGAAAATCACTTCAAGCCAAATCCTTCGCTATTTACAACTGCATCCCAGAGCAGCTGCTGGAGCTTCTCCCGTGTGGGATAGCGGTAAAGACCCAGCGTGTTGAAACATGTACGCGCAATCGGGTAACGGTGACAGTCATCTCCAAGACAAGCAAGACGGATGATAAGGCTTGTAGCCCCCATGGCTGGGATGCGATCACTGCCAGTAATGAATGACAGGATCTTGCGTTGCGCTTGAGGCTGCGATCTCTCGAAGAAGTCCCAGAACCATCGCACCACGGGTACGGACTCTGGTCGTGGATGCGACCAGTTGTCATAGGTGGCCACGGCCCGGAGAGAACTGACATCAAGTGGTTCATCTGAACCGCGGACTAGCATTTCGATCTCTTCTGGTCGGAACAGCGATAGCGCATTGCCGCCGCAAACCGTGAAGAAACCACGCTTGAAAGGTTCAAATTGTCGAGCCACGGCTGTGTCTAGCAGGTATTTGACATACAAATCCACAAACTCACGCTTGTTAGAATTGGTCACCGGCCGATTCTCGCCATTTGCACAGAGTGGCACACTGGTGGTCTCGCCATAGCGATCGACCTGAGCAACGAAATCGTAGCAGAATGTCTCGGCAACATTACCTTCGAATTCCAGTAGACCCCGGAGTCCTTTGGCGAGAGCTGGCCGGTACTCTGCAAGATCTTCTAGTGTACATTTGAAGGGCGAACGCAAGGAGGTAGCTCCTTGTGGCCCACTGGCGTGCGGCGCCGACGATAGCAATTTCTTGAACGCAAACGGCGGGAGATCAACATCAAGTATGGTGGAGTTGTAAATAGCAAGACCTAGAAGAACCCCAACCAAAAAGAATTGTTCGGATGACTCAAAGCAATAAGGATTGAAGTAACAGTACTGAGAATCATCATCGTAGATGAAGAGGCCTATTTCGGATTAGTCGGTCAATTAATGCTTCAGATCAGAAAATGCTTACCATGAAGCGGATCAAAGACCTCTCGGACAAGCAGAAGGAACCATTCCTTCCGCAGGCCACCTGCGTCAATGCCTTCTTCGCCCAAGAATTCGATCCGGAGACCCTTTTTGATTTCTTCTTGTCCAGTACCAACAACTTCGCTCACTCCCCTGAGGCTGTCTTCAATCAGACACTCGCGCCGTACCTTCAGCACCAGGTACTGACTAGCCGCACTGTGGTTGAGGACACTGTTAAAAAATGCATCGCGTGCCTTCACTTCCATTTGACGCCGTGCATCATGCTCCATGATATGAATTTTGGCCCAGATGCTGAGGAGGAACGGGTACTGACAGAACGAAAACTTTGTGAGCTTAGCTTCCCAAGTTTCGAAGTCCGTCACTAGATCTGAATAGTCCAACAGCGTATTGTAAAATGTACTGATCGGAATCATGTGTCCTTGACGAGGGCCTGGGTTCTTGGGCATCTCAAGACTGCGCGGGGTTCCATCAGATTTTCTCGTTGCAGCGGAAATGTTAGCTGTAAAGAACAGCGACATTACTCTTGCCGCCGCTCTGATCTGCCAGTCTTCGGCGTATACTATGGGGTCTTCGGTTTTCTTGCCAGACTTCTTGTTCGTGTTGCCTCGACTAATCGCAGCGTGAAGTTCAGCAGCCGTATTTCCCGAAGCACTGGCGAAGCTTGGTATTAGATCATCCCCATCTTGAGGGGTTTGATGACGCTTTCGCCCATGTTGACGACTCAAACGGTAAGTGAGAAATCCACCGACAAGTTCTACCAGCCGCTCGAAATGTCTGACAGAGAAACGGGAAGCCCAGGACACGAAGTAGTGATGGCAGTCATTGGGCAAGTTGGACATGAGTCCTAGAATCCGTTTGATAATTCCATAGTGGTGACTGGAGCCCTCTGGACGAGCAGGGGCTTTGGGCAAGGCTTTGTGTGAGGGTTTTCCGTCTCGGTTTGCCGACTTCGGATGGTCTGTTGGGTGCGGGGGGCGTCTATCGTCTCTAGGATACGGTGTGACCGGTGTTGCGGGCGTGGCCGTTGGATGCCGGCTATATGACGCAGGAGAAGACAGGATAGGGTTTGCTAACAATATGAACAAGAACCTGGTGTCTTCTGGCTTCTTCAGAACACGACGCGGGCGCTTGAGAAGACCCTCGGTAGCTTTCAACAGTGCCCGTTGTAAGTGTAAACGAGAATCGCTGATCTGTCTCGCAATCAAGGTTGGGTCAATAGACGCCCATCTCTTAGCTCGTATCGAATCCGCTTCTGATCGTGTCGGGACGGGTTTTTTGGCCGCCCATAGCTCATTCCAAGAACTCCCCGCAGACAAAATGGAATGATACCACTGGGCTACCTCGGTCCAATTGATCCGAGGACTTCGCGATGATACCATCCGAGACTTTGGGGTATTCTTCTCTTTGGAATACGCGGACTTCTGCCCTTCAGCCTCAGCCCATTCATTCATCCACCAAGAAGAGTTCTCGGTCAGATCTCCCAATAGAAGAGTTTTCGCATCCGGTTCAAAGACAGGAGTTTCATGTGATGGTTGGGGTATCGTGGTCGGTTCCACCTTCATTCTCGGGGGAATACCACTACTGGCTGATCGAGCTGATCGAGGAGGTGGGTACGTGGTGAAAGATTCGTTGAGATAATCACAGCCTTTGAAGGCAGTGGCAATTGCATTTTCCAGCTGTTTGAAAATGTGTGTCCGATTGTCGCAATTTTGAGACTCCGGGTTCCCAGCTTGAGAGACACCTTGCGGGCTGCAGTCTAGCTTTGGAGACGGTGGAAGATCTGAGTTTGCTCGGATTCTGACAGGTATTTCATTGCCCTCTAGCCGAACAGATTGTGGTGTCGAGCCACTCGAGTTCTCTTTTGATGCCGACAACTTTTCCCGTCCACTGGAATGGGAAGCACTACGGCCCCGAGAACTCTCAGTGCGCGGGGGTAAGAGATTGTTGGAACCGGAAGCATGAGCCTGCATTAACGGAAGATCAGGCAGGGGTTTGTTCTTTCTGTCATCATCTGGCGGCAACCATGACCGGGAGCCTTTATCCAAAAGGTTATCGAAATACACGTTTAGGCACGCCCCGATCATACCACGGGTTTGGTTGGCCGTCAAAGGAAGCACTGTGGTAAAAATCAGTATCTTTTACAAAATTATGGAGTAAAACTAGCATTGGGTATAGTGTTACCTTTGTTTGCCAACTTGGACACCCCACCCTGAGACCCTTGTGGAGGGTTGTCTGTTGCTTCATGGGAAACTGGCTCAAGGTCTGTGACCATCAAGCAGTCGGTGCATCTAAACACCTTTAAGTGTCGTGGCCACCGGACGGTAGCATCACAAGTCTGGCACTTTCCCTCGACGATATCATTTCCAAGTGCTGCACCTTTCCGGGGACTTGACGTCTCGGGCTCCATTGGATAGGTTGCATCATCATCGTCGTCATCTTCAGAGTCCCAGATCGCATGTTTGCCGACTGTCTTGTCCCGTTTGCGCCCAAACCCAGCGAATGGATTGCTTATCGAGCGTGAATGTCCTCGATGGGACGAACTCTTGGGCATACTACCGTTTGACGGTGGCACGATCGAAGCATCGCGAGGCCGAGCCACGCGGCGTGGACTGGTTTCCAGACCAGATATTTGAGAAGCGTGTGGTGGAATGGCGGCGGTGCTAGAAGTTGAGCTCGGGGGGATGGGCGGCAGGTGACGTTCAAAACGGGACGGCATGGAGGCACATCAACTTTATTGGGTTTAATTTAACCAAATTCAACCTCTCCAGTATGGTGTCCAGCTCGTGGAGCTTGTTCTTCGTGCCAGACACATGCGAGTAGATCGTGGAGGACGGAGTGGGGGTAAAGCAGTCGAGTAAAGCGACCTCAGCTGTGCTTCTTTGTTTGGTAAATAACAGGTTGATCTAGCGCAGGGATGGCTATTCAGTAAGCAATTCAGGTTTCACCAAATGAAGAACCATCTCACCTTGGGATCCAATAGAAGAATGATGGATCGTTACAACAGCATTTCATAGTCTGTGGACGGATTGGGAAAGCGGCCGGGGGTAGGGAGTGGTTCATGCCTCAGGCGGTTGGTTTCTATTTATGGATTAGCCGCCTGAAATCGCAGGCGACAGATCTATTTTTGTGGGACAACGCATATCTCGAGGATCGTTAATCAAAACAGCAATCAAGGTGTAGAGATTTTCAATTTGAAAGAACCATACGTATAGGTTTTCGGCCACAAGTGGACTAGAGCACTTAATAGCGATCCGCTAAGGCAAACTACTATCCGACGACGGTTGGGCCCCCTGGGGCCACAAGTACGGCACGGAGAGACGAAAACCAGTCAAATTTCACGGCAGACATACATACACCGATAAAATAGTACGAAACACTACATCATTGAAGTCTACGTATTCTTCAATACCAGTGGCATGGAGTTGAACCAGTCATACTTCGTTAATAGGGGAATTGAAAATAGAACAAGATGGCTTTTTGGCTAACAACAGAACCGGCTGGCCTGCATTAAAGTTGAACCCAGCGTGGAGCACACTGTCTGGTAAAGAAGTGCTTCAATAAATGACCACATGCCGTAACCAACACTTTCCAACCGAAACCACTGGCAAAGTGCACTACCGCACTTAACGGTAACGCCAGTAGCTCTGGGTGTTCTGGCGCTTCCAGGTGTGGCGGCGACCAGCCTTGGTGTTGTTGTAGCGGTGACCCTTGTTGATACCACGGGACTTCTTGCCGGTGGCGGTGAGGCCACGGGACTCGCGGTGCTAGAGAAAAAGGCCTGGTCAGTAAAGCTCTTGGGCATTGTAGTCGGATTCTGAGCTAAACTCACCTTGTGGACAGAGTTGCAGATCCAGTTGATGCGGGCATCACGACGGATGGCCTTGTGCTGGGGGTCGACGAGGATAACCTCGTAGTACTTGTAGGTGGAATCCTGGTTGATCCAGTAGGAGTTCAGGACGCGCAAGTTAGCAGCGCGGCGGCCAACACGCTCCTCGGCGGTGGACTTGAGAGCACGCTGGTACTTGAGCTGGTTGACACCGTGGTTGGTGGGCTTGCCTGTTCACACAACCACACATTAGCCAAAAAATCCTTCAATTCCCAGATTCCAGAAAAAAATCCGTGATCGACAGGAAAAATTCGTACCGAAAGTGGCACCCTTGGCGACAGGGCGTTTGCGGCCACCGCGGCGGACACGGGCACGGTAGATAACGTAACCCTGCTTGGCCTTGTAACCGAGACGACGGGCCTTATCGGGGCGCGAGGGGCGCGAGGCACGGTGGATGGCGTTCAGCTGGCGGAGCTATATTATGCACTCTCAGCAAAGTTCAACGAGTGTATAGCAAGACACATGAAGCCCAAAAAGGTTTTCTTGCGTGCCACAATCATTTCCGCCGAATGACTTTTTTTCAAGCCGCCTAGCAATACCACAAAAAAACGGCATATCCTAAGGCAACGCTCACGAGCGCTCGGCGGAGATGTTAGGCAATCGAGGGGCGAAGGGGTTTATCTCACCTCCCAGCATCGGACGCGCAGCAGGAAGCGAATCACATCGGACTGCTTCTTCTTCTGGATTTCTTCCACGTACTTGAGGGCACCCATCTGTACGGTTTTAGGTCAGAGAAATGCACTGGCGGTTGAGATTGGATTGAATGAATGATGATCAAACGTACCTTGTCGGCTGTACGAGGTCGTCGGTTGTCGTTGTCGCAAAAAGTTCGAGGAGGAAAACGTCTAGAGGCAGAGGTTGTGTGTGGGACGCTAGCGATTAGCGAGTTGACCCACTACAACCAATCACGGGAGGGAAAAGATTAATGCCTTGGAAATCAGGTGTTAATATCCCTCTCCAGCCTCAGGCAGCAAATATGTGAGCATTGACCAACGCAACCTACTGATAGGTCAGAGTCCAGTGGTAAAAGTTCTGTTCATTTTCCTACTTTGGCATTGTTCAAGAAAAACAAAGGGCGAGGAATGGAAGGGGACTTCTTCAAGCATTATCCATTTCTACACGCGCGGCTTATATCATAGAATTCCTAGAAGTAAAAGCAGTCACACTAAAAACCAACAAGTTTCCAGTGACCAACTGATCTGTAATTCTATGATTCAAAAATTTTGTTTCAATATGATTGATTTAGAGATACGTTCTCTAGGTACTCGATCACTATCAGAATATCATACACAAGCATCAACATCGTCAAATCACCACGCTCGCTCAGTAAATGCAAATAATGATTCCCGCTCCCTCCATGCTCGCGTAGAGGTACAATCTTCCAAAATCAAAAAGAAAAATCAAACCAAGTCAAACCAAGTCAGACCAAGTCAAATGAGCTAAAACAAGCAAGCCAGTCTCATGTGCTGGTTATATTCAACGGCGCCTCGAAAGATACTCTTGTTCTACCATTTCATTGGTCACAGAGATATAGTACGAGCCCGCTGGCAAAACGGTCTTTTTGCATAGAGGGCAAAGGCAGCAGTTCTGAGTCAGGAATGGATCGATGCAAGCTGAGTCAAATATGTGTCCACACGGCAGTTCGCGAACCGTAGATGACCCAACAACAAAATCGTCGAGACAGATAGCACAAGTTGTTTGAGTGTAGCTCAGGCGGTACTTGCCTCTGGAGGAATCATTCTGTCCAGGTTTAATCACTGCTGCCTCTGGCTTCTGGATGCCAGCCTCTTCATGCGCATGGTTGTCTTCGTTGGGCGACAGTGAGTTGGTCTTGTCGCCAGAATCCGGTTCTATTGGATTCGGCGATGTATTATCTTGTGGAAGGGCTGCCTCTGTCGGAGGAATGACCTCCAAGTATGTATAAAGTGGCAATTTGTTGACCACCTCCTGAGGGGCCATCATTTGGTTCAATGCCAAGGCCTCGATGTCGACTTGACCTGCATTGATACGTCTCTGCAGCTGAGCCCGTCTTTTGCGCAGGACAAGCCGATAAATAATGATTAGGAGGATACTGAGTATCAGAACTGTTCCTGCAATTGCAAGTACAAAGCTCCAGACGCTCGTAGCCGGTGTAGTCTCTTCGCCTGCGATGCGTGAGTATAGATCTGGACATTGAGGCCTCTTTTTCTACCTACCAGTTTCAATCCTAGCAAATAACCGACTAGTCTTAGTCTGTAACTCAAATTTCTCGGTCAAGTTTTCTCTCTTGTTTTCTTGTGTCTTAGCTGAATACCATGAGAGATCATTGATCAATGAGGTTCCAGCTGGCCCTGGAATAGCATACACCGGGTAATTGTTGTCCATTCTCCATTTATCCCCGTCGTTGATTGCCCAGCGGGAGTCATTTGAGTCAGGTGGTAAGCTGGTCTCGTTGTCTGAGGGCTGGAAAAAAATCATAGCATGCGTGCCGACTTTTTGAGCGGCAGAGAGGAACGATAGCGAACATTCGGCGGTTACCCATGGAGCAAGGCCAACTAAGGAGTATCCGAAGTCTGACACGTCTTCATAGCGGGTAACGTTTGGCGGCACAGACGAAACGGTAATATCATAGCACGGATCATGCGGCTCCAGACTGGGTACAAACAAGAGGCCTGATACCAATCCGTTCTCGGGAATGCTGTTGCTTGATATCGTTTGAACCTTGCGATCGAGAACAAAGCGATAGGCGACATTTTCCTATACAATTATACGAGTTAGGATCGACTCCGGAGGCTGTTGTCGACTTTTGGATGAACGAATTTCATGTACTTACTTCGACTGACGACGTAGAATTCGAGGCTTGCCCTTCACCTGCCCAAAGTGTAGCCACTTTACCTGCCGAGTCATTTCTCGTAGACATGGTAGCAGCTGACATGATGGTTTGTCGTTTGTTCAAGTCAATAGTGAAGATGAATGTCAAGTAAAAGATATACTAGAGTCTAGATGGTGAAGACCAGTGAGGAGGGTGTGTGCATACTAGTAAGGGAAACAGTTTGTATATGAAAGAGAATTTGAAAATGGCAGCCACTATGATTTGAGGCAAAGTCATTTGAGACGATACTCAGCCCTGAAGCATCCCATACATCCTGCTAATTAGAGCTCTACGGCGGAGGAATGCAAGAGTCAATCGGGACCGTCACAAGAATGTAGAATAAGCCTGGTTCCAACCACGAGGCAAGAGGCAAAAGGTCTTGGCTAAATTTCACCGAGTTTCAAATTTCGAAGAAGTGTCCGTGAACGAGTAAACAAGCGAAAATGACCGAGGGCATGGTCTACATTGTATACTTCGCTAAACATGGCCGTTCGCGGTAGACCGTTTGGGGAGATGATCATCAACAGGCAACTTTTCAAGCTTTTGCACTTGGCGTGGGGAATTATGTTGTTTTATAAATAGTAATTCTTCAGCGCTTTCAATTCACAAAAGATCCGAATTACTCTCTGATGCTCATCCCTCAAAATGCGGCCAGAGTAGCCGACATGGTTCTCTCCGCAGAATGTCAGAATAAGGATGCGTGTCAACATTTCCGGGAGGCCATGTGTCGGCTGTCATCCGGTGAGGCACAAGCTGTATGTTGCATTATCAAGTGAAGAATGACAATTGAATAATCTCAAAGCCTGCATATGCCTGGCTCCAGTACGGAGTAATATACCCATGGATGTTCATTCCCCGTACTCAGGACCAATAAATTGAAGATGGCGCACGTGATGATAGGAGTCATATCGCCATCACGTGGATATCTCTGGCCGACCGCCAACGATCATTCACCTTGGGGAAAGTCAATAATTCATCCGTGATTGAGAGGACTTCTGGCTCTGTATCTGCTTTAGCTCGGGATCAGGCAATTTGAGGGCTATTCAACCCCCTTTCATTCTTCTTCGCTCCCAGTGACCAACGACAGCATGTGTCTGTCTAGTCCCATCTACACATAGTATCCTCTCTGTCAACCAATCTCTCTTTTCGTTGAACCTGTCTTTGGTGTCTGAATCATTCCATCCGTTCCTTTCCCTTCATCAGATTATCGGTCTGAAGAAACACCATGCCGTCCGCGTACAAAGGCAAAGGCAAAGGCCGCGATGCGCGCCAGTCGCGTAGTCGCAATACCACCCCGTCCAGCGCTAGTGCTCCCTCTATTCCATCCCTCCCCATTCAGAGCTACTTGGAGAACGATGTCACCAAACACATTGAATTGGCTAGTGCCCAGTACTCCGATGTGTTGGATCTGGTATCTGCGCAGAACATTCCAGATTCAAAAACACTTGAGGCCTTGGTGGAGCACCTGAAGGGTCTTAGTGACATGGCCGATATTCGGGGCGAGGTTTGCAACGCTGGAATGCGCGAAATGTCTCAAAAACGCAAAGAAGTTGAAGATCAGGAGCTTGATCGTGAAGTTCGGGATCGCTCCAAGTTGAAACGTGAAACCGAAGAGGATGACGATATCCATAAGGGCGGGAAGCTGAAGAAGCGGAAAGAGCGCCCAAGTGGAAAGGAGGAGCGGCCATTAAATCATGGCGCACATGAGGTAGCGCGTCAAGATGGAGCCGAGACTAAGGTTGAGGGAGGTAAGAGATCCAAATCGGCGCTTTCTTCCCACTCTTTGTTTTTACGGACCCATCTCCACAACTTCGATCTTCTTTCGGTTTCCCCACCGTTCAACCTTCACTAACCATCAAAAGGGGCTTCTCCAGCATCGAAAAACTCCAAGAATGCGATATCAGATGAAAGCTCCTCGCTTTCACCTCCATCGATGATGTCCCCCAACGGCACGACCACTGCGGGCGATGGCCCTCCCCCCGGGACCCCCGGGTCTGAAACCAGTACCGATTCCCATCAACCTGAGCCCCAGCCTGCAATTCCTCATATACAAGTCTTTGGCGAGAACCCACTGAAGTTTGATGATCCAACCATTTACAACATTCGAGATGTTCTCCCAGGCATGACAGACGATGAAAAGAAAGAGATTTACAGCGTTGCTCACTTCCCAAAAACCGATCTCGCACACATGGCAGCCGGTGTGGCTCCTGACAAGGACTTCAGCAACGCCAAACCTGCCAACCAAGTCAGCGCGAATACTTTCCAGACTTATATTGAACCCTACGTCCGGCCTCTTACCGAGGAGGACATTGCCTGGTTGAAGGAAAGAGTGAGTCAATTGAAGCTACTCTCATGTCAACACAAGCTGACCTTGTCACAGGGTGATCGCACTACCCCATTCATCATGCCCCGTCGCGGAAAGAAAAACTATCGTCAAATTTGGGCGGAAGAAGATGGAGTGTCATACGACTCGAGCCAAGATGACAAGGACCAGCTACCCTTGAATCAAGGCCGTGGCAGCATTGAACAGCTGACTGACGATAAAGCCGAAACCAACGAAATCTCGGTTGGACCTCTCCTCAGCCGCCTCTGCTCTCTCCTTCGTTACGAGCATCGTACCTTGCCTGAAGATTCCAACCCAACCGCAAATGGGGATACTGGTAGTGTGAGTGGACTAGGTGGTGATGCAATGGATATCGACCAACCCGTCGTTGAGAAGGAGAACAAGAGCGAAACTAAGCCTCTGCCTGCTGCAACCACCTTCCGCGACGCAGATCCAAACGACTTCAAAACTTCGGTCGCAAAGCTGGATCATGCCCAACTAGACGAACGCGCCAAAGCCGAACTGCGATTCATCGGTTTCCTCGGTGCGGATGATAACCCAGACTACGACGCTCACTACGATGATGAAGTTGCTGAACGACTCCGCCTACTTCAAAGCGAGCTCAAGAAGCAGATTGTCACCAACAACGCGCGCAAAGCTCGCATCCTAAAAATTGCCCAGGAGCATATGGCCATGCTTGAGTTTACTACCATCCAAGACGATCTCGACTCCCAGGTCCAACAAGCCTATCTCAAGCGCACCCGCACTATGGGCAAAAGTAAGAAGGGCGCTCAGCCCAAGCACCGTCCTGGGGGTGCAGGCGGCGGCAGCCATGTCGCCGGTGCTGCGGGAGTTTCGCGACCTGCTGTCGGAGACGCTGCGAAAATTGTCATGGACCGTCGTCGTCGCTGGAACGAGGCATTCCTGCCTATCTTTGACGACATCAAGACTACCATTCCCTCCGAGGGAGAATCGATCTTCGACCCAGAGGTTATGGCTGAGTATGAGAAAGCTGAGCTTGAGAATTGGGACGAGGAATAAATGCTCCAATTCCATTCTCTTCTGGGTTTTCTCACTCGACGACCCGTTGATTGTCCTTTGGCTGCCTCTTAACCACCTCAACTTTGTTTTTGATTTATTTCCCGCACGATACGATACGAATGCATGATGGACTGGCATGGCGTTAGCAGATACCTCTTCTTTTCTTTTCTTTTTTTTTTTTTTTCTCTGTTCCACCACATGAAATGTTGAAACCCCGGCGTGGCTATGTTGTAGTCCGCTTGAAGATACAAACTGGATCTTTTCCACAACATGTATCTAGCCAGTTAGATGTGACTGTCTGTATTCTTATTCTCAAGCTGTAAGCTGTAAGCTTCCAATGAAATCAAATTCTCCGTTTTACAATTTTCAAATTTTTAGTGGTGCATGTAGCACCTCAATATATATTTCTGATGCCAAAAGGACAAAACGTAGGGTATCGATCAATTCTAACAATCCAAAAACAAAACAACCCCAACTCATCTATGAAGAATTAATACCTCCCAAGGATATCTCTTCAATCTGGCCGTCAACTCCCTCTCACTCATCTCCAACTCCGTACAAACCTGATCAAAGCAATGCGTACCATCAAGATACTTCCCTAAAACCTCATCCCCCACAACCTCCTCATCCTCCTCCCAAAACGTCGACGGCGCTCCTGCACTCCCATTCCCATTCGCATTCCGACCCCCACTCATCATCGACCCGGACCCGGCCCGCTCACGACTAGACTCCCCCTCATAACCGCCGAGATAGGCGCGTCCTCCGACACACTCGACACTGCATAGGGTGTATTAGTTCCGGTAGTCGCGCGCGACGAAAGAGCGGTGGGAGTGAAGGAGGACGCGCGCGGCGGGGGCGCAGGCTGGCTAGTTGCGCATGCGTATTTGTGCACGCGGTACAAGAAGCCCTTTATCACGCCGAAGGTGATAAAGCGACGGATATCGATGTTCGCTAGGGCGCGGCTGTGTGCTGAGTACCATTGCTTCACGCTCTGGCCCTGTTTGAGACTTGCGTAGAGCTCGACCAGCGCGACGCCGTCGACGAGAGCTGGTTTATGGAGCGCGGTTGGGGATACTGTGGAGGTGGAGGTGGAAGGGTTTTCTTCGGGGCCTAGGAGGGGCCAGATTTCTTCGGCGTCAAAGCGGGATTCCTCGCGTGTGAGGCTTGGTGCTGGGTCTGTGTTGAGAGAGCTGGAGAGCGGGGCTGTTCCTGTGCTGCCGTTGGCACTTGGGGTTCTGGCTAGCGTTGCAGGGAGAGGGGAGTCGGGGCCGATTGGTGGGTGTGGTGCGAAGCGGAGGTTTACGTAGCGGGCACATTCTAGTTGCATTGCTTCGTCGGAAGCTATCGTTGTACTGAATTGGGCAGTTGGGGCGTAGATGGCGGAGAAGGAGAAGATGTCGAGGATAAATAGACAGCCGTAGTAGAGGAGGTGTCGGAGGGCGCGGCAGGTGAGGGAGAAATCTGTGTCAGCTAGGACGGAGATGATGCGGACGCTGTTGACACCGTTGATATGTGGTACGATCTGGTAGGTTTCAGCTGTTGTGTTTCTGGCCATGGGGGCAGTGTCACCTTTCACATACCCTTTGCATGGTCAAGTCCCAGTTCTCATCCATGAAGGCCTGGTATCGTAACGTGAAGAGTGGCACTTGCCAGGCCTTGACTGGCGGGGGAGATGGATATATTGGGAAAAGCTTGATGTTCAGAGTGTTCAATTCGTCTGAATAGAATAGTTAGCAGTGGGGCTATGTTATGCAGGTCCATGGACATACCAATGGGTATCATGCACTCGCAGTAATTGTTCAAATCCTCCATCAACATCTCGCAGAGACTATACACCTTTCCCTCACCACTCTTCGAAAAGTCGCGGGACAAGAAGCCATTTTGCTCTTCCAGACCATGCATTAGGTCTGCTAGCTTCTGTACCACGCTCTTGTATGTACTGAAGTCCTCTTCTTCGGCAAGGACTATGCAAAAGTTGAAGATGAACTCATTGCGATCATACCGCACGGATTTCATGCAGATTGGGTAGCCCAGTATCCGATATCCGTTTGTGCAGACCTGCAAAAGGTTTCCACAGAGCTCCTGGCGCGGGATGACGAAGAAGGAGACATCGGAGAAGGTGAGGAAGGGTGGTTGTGAGGGCGCGGTGGGGGTTGGAACAATGGCTCCGTCAGGGACTTGGTGAACGACTTTGGGCCCTGCAGAAAATAGTTAGTCTCGAATTGAAGGTCGATCATGGCGTTGAAGGTCCTTACCCTCTATCGTGTCGAATTTACTGTAGAAGATTGCCTTGATCATGGTGGATATGTTGTATTTTCGGAAGGAGTATATGGGGGCGCAATCTATCGGCCAAATTCAATCAAACACAGAGCTGAAACGAGGCTCATGTTCATGTCATGAACATCAGTTGCGGAGCAGACCTCGGAGCGGAGAGCTTATCGACATCAATATTTCCCAGGGCTATTCCACATTAGGTTAGACCATAAGCATCGTGTTCTTTCTGATTGGCTGAACCCTGTTGGCGCCATAATCACGTGATAGCTCTTTTCCAGCTATCCCCGCACTTTGTCTACCAACTCACCTCGATTCAACAACAGCTTCAGAATATCTCATATATGTTATGTGAGTATTTTGTCCGGCACACTCTACACAAGAGTTCTTTTGTCTGCAAGTAGTTCTCCCCTCGAAAAACGTCTTGCAGATAAGATTCACTAACCTTGGTTGCAGGGACATACCAGCAGCGTGCCCAAGATCAAACCCACCAAGAAAAGGAAATAATATTTCGTCCGTTTTAGCTCTAGATGGAAGACACGATGTCTTCCTCCACCACAGAAGATGGAAGATGTGATACACCCACATTTAGTAGCATTTGCGGTGAATCAATAGACCATTTCCCCGCGAGACACCCGATTGCGACCCATTCCAGGAACTGTCCTTGGAAAGGCAGGTCATTCATCATCCGCGATCCTCTGACAAACCTTGTGATTGGGCTTCAAAAAGGCATATTACGCCTTGTGCCTGAACACAGTGGGCATGGGTGTGGTATTTACTGGTCGTGCGTCGAATCCGACAACATGTTCCTGGGTTTTCAAAACGTGATTTCGGGAACCTTTATCGGGCACAATAACAAGAATAAACTTATCGCGGAGGCCAAAGTTCACAGTGACTGGGAATCGTTTTGTGTGCGAGCAAATCCAGATGGCGGTTATCTTCTCCTCGTGAAACAGGGTAGAGGGTTCTTGCCGATGCGGGTAGACGGGGACAACCAGCTCGTGGTCAGTACTAACAGAGATGAGGGTGTAGCATGGGAATTTATTCGGGTCGACGATGAAGATGTCATTTGAATTCGTCCTTCTTATCCTTAAACATTGCCCAGAATGGCTGTAATGAATATCGAGAGTCTGCATTTCACCTACAGTATCCAAATATTGGATCATCACGAGCACAAGCAAGATTTCATAGATGTAATTCCGACTAAGTTAGAATCACTTTTGCCGTTTGCTGCAAATCCCCCGATTACCACGTTGAATATGAATATCCCCGGCAAAGCAAATGATGAGAAGAGTCAACAAGTCAAGCAACAACGCACGAGGAACAGGAACATGAGGGTATTAGAGAAAACAGGAGACAACGAAATCTATGCGTAAGCAAGGGACTCTTCTGGAGGCATAAATAGAGCAATGGATATAGATGAAAGCAAAAGAGAAACCGGAGAAGAAGAAGGAGCCAGTCCACTTCAGACAATGCGAGAGATATAAGATGCGCCGTAGAAATAAATGCAAACACAAATCATAGTGGAAGTCCTATTTAAAGGGTTTGGTGGTCGAGTAAATCATATGCAGTCATTGAGCCGTACCGGAGGCATGGTTGGATGTAGATGGAAGCGCGTTTGTTGCGATAATGCTATCTGGAACTGTGAACAAGGCCGCCCCTGTGACCACACGGGCCGCACCGCGACCGCGTGGGAGTCGGACATTGTCGGCGACAAGAGTCAAGGGCTGGTTCGCACGAATAGCCTGCAACACCTCGAAGCCGCCGCGCTCTCCAGCCTCCTTCAGCCACTGTTCCCAGTCTTCGTCGAGCGGCACATCCGTGCCTTGATCGCGGGCGGCCAGCGCAGCATGGATGCGGGTGTTGAGGGCTACACCACAGCTTTCGATTTCCTCGTCGCTGAGTTCCTCCTCGATTTCGTGCTCCTCGGTGGACCGGTAACTGGAAGCACGGGAATCGATGGCACGGACCGTATCATTGCTCTGGGTTTCGATGATCTGGTCATCTTCCTCTTCTGTCCCGCAGAAGTCGCAGTCATTGAAGTGGATCTCGATTGAGGGGGTGGGTTGGGGGGACGCCGGTCGGACTGAGTGGGCTGTGGTGTCTCGCACGAGAATCCCTTCTTCTGCCTCGTATCGCTGACGCGCGGACTTGGTCCCTTCCCACCGACAGAGATTCGAGATCTCTTCCTCCGTCAAACCGAGTTCGTCAAATGTCTGGAATAGCTTCCGGTGCCATGGGAAACGACCTAGTCGCATGCGATGCGGTCCATATGAGTAGTCCAGCCCCGGATATTGCGCTTCGATGCAGTCTAGCGAGCCGTAGAAAAGGGATGTTTCGACACGCACTTCTGGGACGAGATTTCGGGTAATGTGAGCCCCAAACGATCCAGGGTCGCTTGTGCGAGGTCGTGTGAACGTGGCGTTATACACAATCTGGCCCACGGACGGTTTACGCATGGTGAAAGATCCCGGATGTGGAGGGAAGAGGTGAAAGAGTAAATGAAGGAGGCAAGGTTGTCCCAGATTCCCTGGAATGTGATTCAGGATATCCAGCCCTGGAGGATTCCCCCTTGCCCTTTGTCAAATTCCCGATGTTTGAATGTTTTGGGATATCTAGGGATGTTTAGGGATGTTTGGGGATTGGCGGGGAACACTAAACAGAGCGTATACAGTTCAAATCGCAGAAATGCTTCAACCTCTGCGTAATCCAGGTCAATATGATAATGTTATAGAAGAATCCCGATCATGTGCCCAGCTGACGTTTCGGCTCTTTGACCCTTGGGGAATTGAAGGTCTCACAGGCGTTCCATTGAAATTTAGAAAAAGAAATAAGAAAGAGAGAAAAAGAAAAAAAAAACAATAAGTCTGGAATAGTCTGAGGAAGACAGGACTTAGCAAGACTTTATAGGTAAGAGTCCTAGGTGTGCGTTGGCAATGGCCACGACTGCCGTGGACTTTGATCGCATATTTACCTTACATGTAGGTCATCTCATCGAATCATAACGCTCTAAATTAAAGAACGATTTCGACATCTTTATTGGTCTCGACTTTTATGTTCCTATCACGTGAAGGAATCCAATTCATCTTCAGGCTTTGGGCATGAATATTGAGACGTTGCCATGTCGACCTTTGATGGCATTGTCGCAGGTAAGACCGATAATTTCCCACGTCACTTCTATGCTAACCCGACAGAGTTTCCGGAGATTCGCAGTGAGCCTCGAGATCAGCCAAAATTACTGGACCTGGCTAAGAAAAACAGTTGACTACTTTCGGAAATGTCCCGAGCGACCTGCGCCACTGGCGTGCTTCCTCAGCCATGTGCATAGCGATCATTTACAGGGCCTCGAGTCCTTTCGAGCACCGTTTATCTACTGCTCACCGGCCACGCGAGAGGTATGCTCATGTTCATCCTCTTGCATATCATTCAACTAACCATGTGCAGCTGCTCCTCCGGATTGAAAAATATCCCCATCGGATGAACTTTAATAAAGGCATTTTGGAGTCACGCCGACTGCACTATAAGCATCTTGCCAAGCTTCTAGTTAGTATACTCTAAATTCTGGAGCGAAACATCAGCTCATCCCCCACAGCGCCCAATTCCACTGAATACCCCAACCGAAATTGAACTCACACCGCGACGTCGTATCAGGGTGACTTTGTTTGATGCCAACCATTGCACCGGAGCTGTGATGTTTCTCATCGAAGGGGATGGGAAGGCAATCATCTACACAGGTGATATTCGAGGTGAGTCAAATGATATCTCATTGGAATTGAACTACTGGTTAATCGCCCCCAGCCGAAACATGGTGGGTGAGCAGCTTGGTCCGTCACCCGGTCTTGATACCGTATACTCTGGGTCATAAACGGCTGGATAATTTGTATCTGGACTCTACCTTTGCAAGCAAGACAAATCCATTCCGCGAGTTCCCTTCCAAAGCCGAGGGACTGTCTGAGCTGCTGCAGAAAGTTCAGGCTTATCCTCACGATACAGTCTTCTACTTCCGTGCGTGGACCTTCGGCTACGAGGATGTCTGGATAGCGCTCTCAGCTGCGCTGAACACAAAGGTGCTGTATATCATGCAGGGCAAATATAACACCGGCTAATATAATGCAGATCCATGTGGATCGTTACCAGATGGGACTTTATCGGTCTCTGGTCCAGACTCCAGGTAACAGGGGAGTCAGCGAAGCTCCTGCTCTCTGTGGCTTTGAGCTGGGAAACAAAGCTGTAGCAGGCTGTCTAAGCAACGATGAATCAAGCCGAATCCACAGCTGTGAACCTGGAGTCTCATGCTCAACAGCTCGCGGCACTAACATGGTCTACATTGTGCCTATTGTGAATCGCACAACCGGTGGTGCCGAAATCCCCGAGGTTGGCGCAGGCGGTGGTATCGGGGATTTGTATCAAACGCATGAGCTCGAGCTGCCAGATGAATTTGCACTAGCCGAGTTGGAGAAACTTTGTCTCAAACACGTCCAGGACAAACAAGCCCTTTCTCAGGTACGAGGTGCCCTTCTAGATGCGTTCAGGTCGAGAAAGAAAGCGCTCTCTCTTGATACATACGGCGTGAAGGACGAGGGCGAAATTTCACTGAAGAATCTGGTGTTCGCTCTAAGCCATGGTCCATCTGATACCGCTAGCCGGTCATCCCAGCCAGATCTGCCTAACACGATAGTAAGTGGTACTGCTTTTTTTTTTAGTCTTCCCTAATGGCATTATAGCGATTCCCATATTCACGACACTCTTCCTACTCCGAACTATGTGAGCTTGTAGCTGCCTTTCGACCCAAGGACGTTCATCCATGCACAGTGGATCCAAGAACTTGGAACGAAGACGTCTCTATCAGACGTTTGTTCGGCCACCTCTGTTCAGGAAACTATTTTTCGCACGACACTCACATGCGACAAACCGTAGCTGAAGATGTTGATGACGAGGGAGATCTGCGGGAAAGAAAAAGGGCCCGATACGACATCGACGTCTCCACACAGTCCACACAAGAGACCAGTAGTGGCGTTGAAGATTTCAGTCTTGGTACTGCCGATGCAGGCCAGCATCATGATCAGAAGCAGGACTCTTTACATCATTTGAATCAAGCTGAAGAGGCGGCCAGAGTTAAGCGCAACGAAATCCGCCAAGCACATCGCTATCTTCAAAAGCATCCAGAACCTCAGCTCTTCCAGGTCAATCCTCTCCCTCCTACATGGCCGACAGAAAAAGAAGACAAGTTCGATCGAGCGAGTGACGAGGGAAGTGAGGAAGAGCTTGCACTCATATCTGGCCAGCCAGATTTAGAACCTTCAGCCACAAGACTCCGACTCATGTCCGAACCAAAAACATCTACAAGAATCATTGATCTGACTGACGATGGTCCTACATCTCCTCGCCCAGCCACCCAACAAACAGAAAGTCAACGCACAGATGTATTTTCTCTCTCCATCTCTGAATCAGCATTTGACTCTCCGGACCAAAACTCCGTTGAAAATGGACTACGGGACCCAGCACGAGGAGAAGAAATACTGAATCGCTCACGCCGTGCACGTGTTGCTGCTTACCTAGCTGCGCGCGAAGGTAGTTTCTCTGCCTGGACAGATGTGTCGCTTGTTTCGGCAGGTGATAATCATGGCGAGGAGGAAATCGAGCTATAGGCTTTGATCTTTTACTCATATCGGTGGGCAGATAGATCTGTTCTTCTTTTTTCCCTATCTCGTTATTCAGATTTGCTGTGTATGATACCCCTTTCTACTAGATTGTTATCAATCTTGTCGTGTCATTTAATATTTTACCAATGGAATTATGACTAGATACCCAGAAGCGGGACCTATTGCTGGATTTTGTTCCTTTCATAGGAATGGCTCACTGCCTCACCGGAGTCTTACAAAAGATTCACGTGCTCCAATTACCATATCTCTTACTTTGGACGACTGTGCCAACAGCAATACCAGTCCATCATTGAGCCCTAATTGGCCGAAGCTGGGCTACATCGTCGAGACAAAACCTGAAACCCTGGCAAATAAGCCATCGATATCATTGATGCCTTTGATTGACATTGTCGCTCCCGTTGATCTGGCTTACAGAGAACAAAGAACTAAACAAGGGCTCAGTGAGCTCAACTTGAAAATACCTTCGCCTGGTATACAAATTTCTTTCAACATCATCGCAGCTTGAAGATATCAAGAACAAAGAGAACAAAGATCCCCAACAATCACTTCTATATCCTTCGTTCTTTTCTCTTAATGAAGGCTTTGTCTCCAGTCTACTCAACCCAACAAGATACAAATGCATAAATAGGCCCCGATGTCTTGATCATTACGAGGTATCATCTACTTTACGGTTTCTTACAACCCACCAGTACAGCAACCTTGGTCTATAATCAATTTCACAGCCTCAGATCTACTCCACTAACCCAACCAGGTAAGCGATACGTCCCATTCATCTACTCATATTCCCCATTTTATATCACCAGAGGGCCACCAGCCTTCCCATCATCCACGATGGTTCAGTCTCTCGCCTCTGCAGTCCTCCGCGGTACTCGAGCTATCCTCAGATACAAGAAGGAGCGTGATATCCTTATGGACAGCATCCGCCGCTATATCGCCACCTTGCGCCAGGTTCCCGAGGGCAACTACCTTATTGAGGTCGCCCTCAACATCCAGTCCCTGAAGGTTCAGGCAGACAAGATGAAGTGGGCTTCCCAGACCCTTGCTATCGATGCCGCAAGCATGAGCTACGTCTCCTCCAAGAGCACACAGTACTACACTGTCACCATTCCCGAAGCTTGCGACAAGGTTGGCCGTCACACCCGCCAGCTCTCCGATATCCTCATGGACCACGTTCACAAGCCTGTTGTGAACACCGAGCATGCCATTGCTGTTGAGCTGGAGTATGCACTTGCTGACCTGAGCATATTTCTAGATTAGATCCTTTTTCCCACTCATCGAGTCGAGGACTCACGTTAGCATTAGCTGTTGCTGGTGACTCTACCTCAGCTCCAGAAACCCCCAGGTATGTTCCAATATTCATTTACATTAACATCTATCATCTCCATCTAGATCTATAATACACACATATAATCCCCTCATTTCTTTCCCATGGCATATCTAAACCAGTCCGGCGTCACAGCCTTTCGCAAGGCCCGTGAGGACCTAGTAACCCTCCTAGAGCAGCAATCGACCTTTCTAAGCCACGATATCGACAGCCGCGTCTACGTAGTCCCAAACTTCCCCCTACAGCTAATCTGACATCTCGATATCGCTACCTCCTTCTCGATGAAGATGGCCATTAACAGTCATCGCCATCCCTAGGCCCTAACCCACCAGACCGGCTTCTACGAGACCGATGTCCCTTTTTCTGTAGCGAGATTGATTGATCAGATTGTGGCTAATTTGTGTTTCCAGATAGGTCTGGAAACCGTATTCTAATGGATGTTAAACTGCTTGATTATAAACTGCTCCTAATTTCCTACTATCTTACATTGTTTTTCCTGTCACGTCTATTGGACGTGTCGTCTTATCTGCGACGTTATGGCTACCCGAATCGGTCCTGTGTCGACTTTCAAACGCCACCACGCGGCTTTCGTCTTCGATCTGCAGAGGCAGGCGAGGGTGCTGACGACGGATCCACAGGCTGCTGGGGCTGTTTCTGAGAAGCTATGTGGCCTTGTTGGTAGAGTGTATCAGCTTAAGGATGCGTCTATGGCTATGGCTGTTGATGCTCGTGGCAATGCTTATGTGCTGGCTAAACCGTACGGGTTCTATAGCTATAATGTGCCGCATGTGTGCAATGATCTTGTTGCTTGTTTGTTGCACTGGGCGGATATTCTTGTTAATACTGATGGGCGGCGAACGGATGGGCTTGTTGCTACTTCTATGGAAGGGGTATTAGCTACTTTATGGTTTTGAAAGAATGACATTTGCTTATTGGCTATATGTGTGTAATTGTAGAGGATAGTAAGATTTGCGTAGATTCAAAGTAGAAAAAAGAAAATCATCGCTTTCGTTGGATCATCAAATCCTATACGCGAGAACCAAACCCCGAGCTCGCTTTCGAGCGACGAGGTATATAGGAACTGTAAAGACCAAAAAGGCTAAGGGTATGAGAGACATAAATGCAAAATCAGAAGATATAATACGCCTGCGTCAAAGGCAGCTCAGAAGCCGGCTCTGCGTCACAAAGCATCCCATCCGCCTCAACAGTATAACTCTCCGGATCAACCTTCATCTTCGGCATAGTATCATTAAATTTCATATCCTTCTTCCCAACAGAGCGGCAATTCTTCACGGCCTCGATGCGCTTCTTTAATCCATACGTCTGCACAATGCCTGCATCAATCGAGGCCTGCGAAACAAACATTATAGATGTGGCCGGGACGCGGACAGCAAACATCGGCCGCATCATCATCGGCTCGACAGTCGGAATCGACGCATTCGGATCCCCAACCTCTGCAGTAACAATCATTCCGCTCTTCAAAACAGACACAGGTTTAGTGCCGAACGATGCCGCTTTCCACATGACCAGGTCGGCGACCTTGCCGACCTCCACAGATCCGATCAGGTGCGCCATTCCCTGTGCGAGAGCTGGGTTGATAGTGTACTTGCTGATGTATCGCTTCACGCGGAAATTGTCGGCGCCAGTGTTGGCGTCGCTGCCGAGAGGTCCGCGCTGGGTCTTGTTCTTGTGGGCTGTGTGCCAAGTGCGGAGGACTACTTCGCCACAGCGGCCCATTGCTTGAGAGTCGGAGGACATCATGCTGATAGCGCCGAGATCGTGGAGAACATCCTCGGCGGCAATGGTTTCAGCACGGATACGGCTTTCCGCGAAGGCGACGTCCTCAGGGATGTTCTTTGATAGGTGGTGGCAGACCATTAGCATGTCGAGGTGCTCGTCGAGGGTGTTGAGGGTGAAGGGGCGTGTTGGGTTTGTACTACTGGGGAGGACGTTAGGGTGTTCGACCACGGAGATGATGTCTGGGGCGTGACCGCCGCCTGCGCCTTCGGTATGGTAGGTGTGGATTGTGCGGCCTTTGAAGGATTCGATGGTCTGCTCGACGAAGCCAGATTCGTTCAGGGTGTCCGTGTGGATCATGCACTGCACGTCGTATTCGTCGCAGATTTCGAGGCAGTTGTCGATTGCTGCTGGGGTGGAGCCCCAGTCTTCGTGAAGCTTGAGGCCTGCTGCGCCTGCTAGGACCTGCTCTCTGAGACTCTTCTTTCCGGAATCGTTGCCCTTACCGGTGATGCCTAGGTTGATGGGTAGACTGTCGCATGCCTGCATCATCTGGCGCAGGAGGTTCGGCGACGGTGTACATGTCGTCGCGTTTGACCCAGTCGTGGGGCCGGTACCACCGCCGAGGAAAGTCGTAATTCCCGAGGCCAGAGCTTCCTCCGCCTGCTGCGGGCAGATCAAGTGGATGTGCGTGTCAATACCACCAGCGGTGATAATCTTGTTCTCTCCAGCAATGACATCTGTACACGAGCCCACCACCAGATCAGGATGCACGCCGTCCATGACATCTGGGTTTCCAGCCTTGCCAATACCAGCAATAAGCCCATCCTTGATACCAATATCAGCCTTGTAGATACCAGTCCAGTCGATAATCAGCGCATTCGTGATAACAGTGTCGAGACACTCGCTCTGAGACAGACCAGACGCCTGTCCCATTCCCTCGCGCAGCGTCTTGCCTCCACCGAAAGAGCATTCATCTCCGTAGCTCGTCATGTCCTTCTCAACCTTAATCCACAAATCCGTCAACCCAAGCCGCACCAGGTCTCCTGTTGTAGGACCGAACATGCGTGAGTATGCCTCGCGCTCCATCGAGAACCCTGCAACAAGCGCACTATCTGCCTGTGGCTCCGGTACATGCGCAAATCCAGCCGTCTGCAGCTTGGTCATGATCTCATCGGCCCGGCTCATATCGACCGGCCCATTCGCCAGCCAATTTCCACCACGGATGACGCGATTTCCACCGATCTCGACAAGCGTGACCGTCTTCGTATCGCCAGGCTCGAATCTGATCGATGTGCCCGCAGGAATATCCAATCGGAAACCGTACGACTGCAAGCGATCGAAGTGCAGCTGGGGGTTCGTCTCGATGAAATGGTAATGCGATCCGACCTGTCAATAAACGCCGTAATTAGCATCACTCTCTCCAGCCTCATTTGTTTTGCCTTCCGCTCTGTATATAGAAAAGAATGTACACACCTGAATCGGCCGATCTCCTTTACTCATAACCTTGAGCTTGATACGCCTTTTCCCAGGACTCAGCTCCACGCGCACTTGCCTAACAGGAATCACCGCACCGGGCATCTTCTCGGGTGTGAAATCCTCTGGGTCCGGGTCTGGGAATGCTTCACGCGCGGGGACGGGCAAGAAACTTCCATATAGGGCGCGCTCGAGATCGCCCTCGTCGCTACTGATCGGGTGGTGCACGGTTACTAGGTAGGTACCGGAGGTGAAAGTTCCCTCGACTTGGAGCTCGACAAGGGTTGCGAGTACGGAGGGGGAGGACATGGCGGCGGCCGAGCATTGTTTTGCCGATAGACATCAGATCGGCAACAGAGTAGTGGCCATCGCGGATTAACTGTGGGGATTTGGGTGTTAGTTTGCGCATTGGATGAATTGGGTACATGGCAGTTCCTAATGCCATAGCGAATGGGATCATACCTCGTGTAGCACGGAGGCTATCAGGGCCTGTCGAGGGATGTGTTAATGATGTCCTACAACCCCAGGATATAAACATACCACAGCTTCTGCATGGTTGAGCCGCACTCCACGTGCTAGACGACGCTGTGCCAAGAAGCCTAGATGGGCAATGGTGAGCTTGTCAAGCTGCAGGGGTCGTTAGTTGTGTTTTGTTTTCTCGGAGTGTGTGACTTTACCTCCTTCGGAATAAGCTGCATGGTTCAGGTGGAACCATGAACCTGGCAGTTCTTGGCGCGCAGGATAATTGGCTTGAGGGGAGGCGAGCTGCAATTTTGAAGCAACTTTGGAAAGAAGTAAAGATGCAAGAGACCAGAGGTCAAAAGAAAGTAAAAAAAGAGGAATGTGGGGGATGTCCATTTCAATGGAATTGCTCTCTGATAAGGTCGATGATAAGTGCCGCGAAGGCCGATTGGGTCGGGGGACGGAGGTTGATGGCATTAGTCAAGGCTTTGATTGATATCGAATTAGTTCACTTTAGTTGAATTTATTTATCTTTAGTGAGCCTTAGTGAGATTTAGTTGATTCTAAATTGGTTGTAGTCTTGGCTTGATAAATGCTGTATAGTGGGAAAGGTTGGACCCGCACCCTCTTGGAACTATACTTGTACAATATAGAGAGGTCACCGCTGAGCCCCTATAAATACTAATAGAGAGATCTAGAAACCACAGCCCATCAGTCCATTTCACTAGTTCAAGCTAAGTAGGTACAGTTTTTCCCCAAACGCCGCTGAAAAAAAACCGGGGGGTTACACATCCAGTCCACCAGGCCGAAAACATCTCATCTGACCCTAAAGCCAAGCGAATCAGAAATCAGAAAGCAGAAAGCAGAAAGCAACTATTCATTTACACCTCGCTCTTGCGCTTCTTGCTCTTGCGCTTGTTGTCAGCAGGCGTCTTGACAGCCGGTGTAGAAACTACCGGCTCAGCAGCCTTGCGGCTGCTCCGCTTGACAGGCGACTTGGCAGGGGTCTCAGCCTCCTTGGCCTTGGGATCGCTACGGCGGCGCTTGGTGGTACTGCGCGGGGGGGTCTTTTCCTTTTCGGGAGAGGGGGATTGCGACTCCTCGGATGAGTCGGTGGACTCGTCGCCGGACTCTGGCTCAGCCTCAGCCTCAACCTCAGCTTCGCCCTCAACCTCGGGCTCGACGTCGGCACCGGCAAAGTCCTGCTGCAGTTGGCTGGCGGCAGGATCGTGCTCCTCGTCAGCCTTGCCGCCGGCCTTGTAGGCTGCCATGTCACGCTTGTACTGATCATAGTTGGCGGCATACATCTTCTTCCAGACCTATGTGGATGTGTGAGCTCTCCATACTTGCAGACAATGGTCAAGCCGGGGCTGCTTGGCTGGCTTTACATACCTCCTTCTGGGTATCTTCCATGCTCTGCCAGCGGCGAGTGCCCTCGTCGGCGACATCCTTGGGGCGCGCATCGTTACCAAGGTCCTCGGCGATCTTGCTGCGGTTGTGCTGCATATACAGGAAGTAGGGGGTCAAGGCACGCTTGGGCGCATTGGGGTCGACGGGCGCGCGCTTGCGCTTCTTTTGGCCACCAGCCTCAGACTTGGCGCCGGGGCTGCCAGCGCGGAAGGGAATATCCTGGCCCATGAATCCAGAAGGACCGAGGGGGAGCTCAATGGTGGCATCACGTCCTTCGGTGATGTTGCTCACGTGCTGGACGTAAGCCTTGCCCAAGTCAGCGATGTAAGACTGCACCTCCATCAGGCGCATGACGATCTATAAAGCATTGTTAGCGATTTCATATCAGGAGCAACTGGGCTTGGTCCTTGGGTATGTGTATGCATATAGGATGAATGAAAAAAGAGGGGCAATGAGGCGGCGCGTAAGTTCACAAGAAGTGTGGAATGTGAAGACAATCCTTGGGTCTGAACCGATGAGAAAGGGTGGGAATTGTTCTTTTTTTGGATATGAAGCTTGACAGCATGTTTCTTAAGCATGAGATAATACATGTTAAGCTTCAGCAGCTTAATGGGTAGCTTTATAGATCTTCGAACGCGACGCGTAGTAGGCGCGCAGTGGGGATGCGCACAAGAAAACAGAAAAAAAAAAGAACCGAAACAATGAAAATGCTATTAGAAGGTAAAACATGGAGGGGGGGCAATTACCAAGTCGCCAGCCCGTCTGAGCTCTTCTTTGTTGACCTGAACGGTCGTATCATCTTGGTTGGAAGCCATTGTTTTGAAGCCGAGAGAGTGGTTAGGGTGAAGAAAAGAGAAAATTTCGGGGGGAAGGGGGGAAGGGGACGGGGGTGGAAGGGCCGAGTACCCACTAAATAGCTTAGGCGCCCGAAGGTGCCCGGACATGTTCAACTCTGCTTTAGGCTTAGGCTCTGGTCATGAGACACCCGGAACACCCCAGGCAACACAGTCCTTGTCCTGAATATTCTATTCACACATAAAGATATTAAGGTTTATTTATACTATATCTACTATGCCCTTTGATAATAGTTGACAATCTTGTACGGAGTACTCTGTAGTGGATTCTAAATTAATAATGAATACGTAACTTAGGCTTAGGGCCCCCCGAGGGGTGTACCCAGCCCAAGCACCCGGTATACTTGCTAAACAATTACACACATAATTCAAATTGATCCCCCTTAGATAATTTTGCCATATATCTTTTTCTTATATGATACATCTATTCCTTGATAATCTTCCAGTTTTCCCTGTCTTCCCTCTGGGGGAGGGGGCTGGAACATGTTCCGGTGTGCTCCCCGCCAAAATCTCAACTTCAGGGTCGCCCAAGCCCTGGAAGAGGGGCGCAGCTGAGCACAAGGTGTCAAGCTTGTAGTACAAACGCCTGTTCTGACTTCCTAGTTCAATTCTTTTCGAAACTGCCTTTTGACCTTTTTTTTTCTCCATGACTTTGGTACTTCTATAGTTTGTACTTGTCGCTTGGCCAGTACTTTGTGTATATGTATGTAGGCTCTAGGACAATTCTGTTCATACATATAGGGTCTGTATACCTTCATTTCACTACTTAATACGTACGTAAATAGTGACCCAGGCTTTTTTTTTTTTTTTTTCCTCGCTGATTATGTCGTATTCTACAGAAGTATTCCCAATGGGTGCGCATATATATATCCACTGACCCCCCTTCTACTTGGATCACAGTCCCCCGGCGCTTTTGCTTATTTATACCTAATCAATTCAATTGCTCATGCTACCCGAGATAAAAACAGCTACCGATACATCTGGTTGCATATTCGGAGGCAAAGCGTATTTATTCCATCAATGACGTCCGGGGCCAGGCAGCGACGTGGCAACACGCTGAAAACAAAATGCACCAATATACATGGCTACCATGCCGCATATTGGACTAGCTAAATATTCTAGTTGCATATTTTACAGTAATCTAGAACTTGAACACCTGCTCCTTGCTGTAACCCAGATCCTTCAAGATACCAGTAAGCTCACCCTGGTCCTTGGGGCTGACCTTAGGGCCGGAGATAGCCTTGTACATGGGGGGAGGGCCACAGACGAAGAGCTTGATGTTCTCCTCCTTGGGCTCCGGTAGGACGGTCTTCAGCAGCTCCTTAGTGATGAAGCCCTTGCCACCAGTCCACTCCGCAGGGGGCTTGTCAAGGACGTAGAAGGCACGGAAGCGCTGAGGGTAGGTGTTCTCCAAGTCCTGCAGCTCTTTCTTCAAGAGAATATCACCCTCAGTGACGTTTCCGAAAACCAGTGTGACCTTGGTCTTGTCCTCGGGGTTCTTGAAGATCTCACGGGCGAGCTGATACATCGGGGTGATACCAGTACCACCGGCGATCAGACAGATGTGGTTGTGCTTGTTAGCCTCCCAGGGGTACTTGACAATAGGTCCCTTGAATGACAGACGCTGGTTGACATTCATGGAGTGGATGTGCTCAGACATGGGGCCGCCAGGGTAGGCCTTGACAACGAGCTCGAGGTAGCCGGGGATATCTGCTATGTGTCAGTAAATGGAGAAAAAAAAGTCGCAGTCCATGTTGATCTTACCCTCATCACTGGTGGGGGTGTAGGGGCGAAGGATGTTCTTCTCAGCACCCTCGGGCTTGAAACGGGTCAACAGAGCAGCTATATGATTGTTAGTGATTGGTTGGCAACCCTCCCGAGAGCCAGACTACTTACAGGCGACCGGGATACCAGAGACAGCCTCCTTATCGTCGTACTCGAAACGAAGACGCTTAGTGTTGGGGCTCAGGACCTCAATGTTAGCCAACTTGAGGTCCACCCAGTCCTGGCCGTTGAAGACCTTGGGGCGGTCCTTGGGCTCAGCAACTGCGCCGTTGCTGTAGCGGTAGAGGCCAGCAGCGAGACCGGCGAGGCCCACACCAACATAGATTGGGGTCAAGTTGGACTTCTTGGGAGCGGCCTCCGCAGAGTACTTGCGGAAGCTCTGATCGAATGGCTTTTAGTATTGTTCGGTATTGAAACGACCTATTTTGACTTACCTGCTTCAAGGGCTGCGCACAGCGGAAAGATTGACGAGCAAACATGATTGCAATGAATTGGGGGAATGGGGGAAGAGGGAAAGGGACTTTAGAAGGCCTCGGGGAAGAAATCGGATTACATATGCGAAAGCGGACAGCTCCCTCCCGACCTGATTTCAAATGACGCAATAAGAGGTTCCTGGATTGTGACTGGCATAGATCACTACTTTTGATAATGGCTTCTTGAGTAAAGATTGCAAACACATTCATTCTAAACAGCTCGTATTGACAAACCCAAACAAAAACTTCTAGTTAAGATGATAGTTGAAGATGGCCAGTTGATGCCTGATCTACAAGGCATCGAGGTCGGGTCTCGAGCGGCTAAAGAAAGTACGGTATCTGATATTTACTCCATACTGAAATTGGGATGATGGGATCGACCATTCTTTGATATGATCGTTCTGATAACCATGAATATATATGCATGTAGTTCGTTATGAATTGCATGACCAACAATAACCGATTTGCAAAGACTATCTTGTGTACATCCAGGCCAATGATCACCCTGTGAATGGTCGGACTTGTAAGAAACTGGAAGGAAAACAGGCCATGTTCCAAGTTCATATCCATAGGTTTCTACCAGATGGGCTTACTCTCTATGTATGTTCATGGTCCTACTAGAACTCTAATAATTCAAGAAACCCGATGATTTTTTCAAAATAACCTAGAGATGCCACCATCCGGGACTAGAGACATCCAACCATCTCGCCCTTGAGCGGGGCGGTGGTTTCCACGCGACCATCTTTCATGCATGCCAGTCATTCATCCACACACTCCAAACCAAACACCCAGAACGTCACATTTAAGCAAAGGTGGAGGGGCGGGAGTAGGCGAAGACCTTCTTTCCGACCTTGCCACCGGCGCGGTGGGGCAGAGGGAACTTGAGGTCCTTCTGGAGGAGCTGCTTGATGTAGGGGCGGCGGATGCTGTCGTTGTTCTCGATCTCAACAACCTTGAGGATCTGCGAGGGAAATATAATTAGAGTCTGTTCATTCTCCAAGGGTTCGCGTGGCGAAACATACGTGGATGGAACCGAAACGGGAACGGTGACGGGCAGCCATGTCCTGGTAGAGGGCCTCAACAGCGTCGGTGCGGCTCATCTCACGGAACTCCTTGTACATGTTGTGGGTACCGGAGCGCGAGTCGTAGCGGATCCAGATACCGAAGTTCTTGACCTTGAGGGGACGCTTCTCCTCGATCTAGACACGAAAAAATGAGTACCATTCTTTATTCTCGGGTATTCAATCCCAACATACCACGTTCAGGGAAACGATCTCGCCGTTAGCCTTCTTGAGCTTACGGAGCTGGGACATGAAGTACCAGAAACGCGACTTGGCCACAACAGTGTTGGGCGCAAAGATGCGCATGCGGTACAGCTTGGGCGTGGGGTTCGCCTCGTTGGGCAGGTGACGCCCGATGACCTGGTACTCAGTAAGACGCCCTGGGAATCCGTCAGCCATAGTTCGAATTGGTTATTCCAATTGCCCGGATGTTAAGTTCGAAAGAAGAGACGGTGCGCGATTCAAGTTGGCGAGAATTCGAGAAAACCAGGGGTCATTTATGAGGTATTGAAAAATTCGAGATTCAACCATGCGTAGCCCTGACAGCGTTGTGCGTTCCTTCATAAACAATTCCAGGTTGCGTCGATTTGCCATTGCTTCCTCCTCTTCTGTGATTGTCTGCATTCGATATCGTCGGGGCCATTGCGTCTTGAATTTCCTCCAACCATACGCGCGCACCGTTGTCTCGAAAAAATAGTCCTGGGGTATCGGGAAGGGAATAAAATCACTCACCCATCTGGAAGAGTTCAACGTTAGTATAAATCTCCGATAAAAATGTGGTCGGAGGTACTCACTGTGATTGTCGCTGTGGTGGATGAGTCGTTAGTGTGCCGTCGGTGGAAAATGAGAATTGTGAGGTTCCAATTGTGCTTAGGGTTGCCGCCCTTGCCCTAAGCGAGTGGAGGCTTTCCGTTATGCGCTAGGTCGCTTTGGTAATACAGCTGCGCCACTGTAATCCCGCCACATCCCACCAGCCACATTGCCTTGCCTTCCCCACATGTCTTCTCCGAAAGTATGGCGTTCCTCACTTGATTGTCTTTGTCTTTGTCGGGTCGGATCTCAACCTTTACCCCACCTCGAATGCTTCTTTTCAACTGATTACTTCTGAATTTAAGCAGCACGCTCCTCCGCCAGAGGACAGTTCACCATGTGTTCTCTCACGACAGCGTTTAAGGACGCATACCTTAATGGATCTGGCCCGGAATTAGCTGCAGTGCTCACCCCGGTCGCGCCATCTGAAGATCGCGATCGGCTGCGCGCCTTCTACAAGTTCTCCAACGCCGAATATATATCCAAGGATCTCAGCTATGCTCTCTTTCACGGGAAAAGCCTGAAGTTGCCAAAGGCCGAGCAGGCTGCTTGGGTCGACATCTTTATTGTTTACTGGGAAGCTATAGGCGAACTACTGCAGTGTGAAGATCGCCTTCCCGGTGCTAGCGTCGTTACGGTCTTCAATGCCTGGAAAAAGGTTGCCAATGTCCTCATTCGGGGATACTCGGGCTCTGCCAGCATTCCAGCCTGGACATTGCCATGCTTGTACACGGTTGGGAAGTACTTGCGTACTTTTGCGATCAATGCGGATCTTGAAGCAGCATCCCAAGGCTCTGCTGGGTTTGGGTTCCAGGATGACATTGCAGCTGATCTTGAGAAGAACGCGAACTTGGAGGAGGCTGCTCGAGTCATCAACCGCATGTTCACTTTGTGCCTGAGTGATCGGTAACGATATGATTAGATTCCTTTCGAGTTGTTCCATTGCTGACCAGACCCAGAGCACCCATTGAAGAATCCCGCAAGTGGGGTATCTATAACATGACCAACTTACTATTCAAGACATATTTCAAGGTACCAATTGTCGACCTCACTGTCGCTTGAAAACCGCTGATCTCTCTCTATAGATCAACTCCGTCGGCCTTACCAAGAACCTGCTCCGCGCCATCAAAGCATCGTCGGCCGATCTGCCTCCTCCTGAAGCCTTCCCCAAATCCCACATTGTTACGTTCGAATATTATGTTGGGGTCATCCACTTCTTGGAAGAGAATTATACGGAGGTATTATCAAGAGCTGTTTGTACACCATTATCGGGACTGATGATTTGAAATGTAGGCCGAAGAACACCTGACGTGGGCTTGGAAAATGTGCCATCGAGACGCAACCAAGAATCGAGAGTGAGAAGCCACCTAGCCACAGTTGATCTTCCACTAACCACTGTTAGATTGATTCTCACCTACCTTATTCCCTGTCACCTCGTCACCACACACACCCTTCCCAGCAAGGAGCTTCTCGCACCATTCCCACGACTGGAGAAGCTTTTCCGGTCTCTGTCGAACTGTATTCGAAAGGGCGATTTGGTTGGATTTGATCAGGCCATGTCTGCCGGCGAGGAAGAGTTTGTGAAGAGACGCATCTACCTACCGTTAGAACGTGGACGCGACATTGCCTTGCGAAACTTATTCCGAAAGGTTTTCCTCGCTGGTGGTTTTGACGAACCCAAAGAGGGTCAATCTCCGGTCCGACGTACTCGTGTCCATGTGAATGAGTTTGCAGCAGCTCTTCTTGTGGGTACTTCTACAAGTGGTCGCTCGCGCATCGATATCGACGAGGTGGAGTGCTTACTCTCCAACCTTATTTACAAGGTAGGCTGACAGATATGATTAATCTGTTGAGTGTTTACTAACATTTTGCTTAGGGACTCATGAAAGGATACATTGCGCGTGATCGAGGCATCATTGTCTTGAGCAAAGGAGGCGCTTTCCCGGGCACAGGTGTCTAAATACGCTTTTGGGTGGCAATGCACTGCGACATGTCTGAACTCCATTTCGTCTAATCCTCATCGATAAGGCTTGGTTGTCAGTAACTTTCAAGCCGTCAGGTATGCATCTGCCTATGACTTATACCCATACAGCTATATTATTCAGCACACCATAACACTCAGGCTGATCAGATAACACTGCTGCTGAGGACTTTGGGCCTGACGCGATACACAGTGCATATCAACGGCATGATACTTGGCCATCGCCCGGATTGAAGCGCCAGCCCCATCAATGTCATCAAGTCCACGCTTGCCCAATACATGAGACATCGAGTCGGGGTATTTGGACTATAGATCCTATCTTTACGAATTAACGCATAATTAGAACCTAGGAACCTTCAAACAATCTCTCCATTCATCAGATATCGAAACATAGTAGTACACGGGTATAGAACACAGCCAGCAGCGATATAGAATGGTAACCGCGCGAGAAATCAGAAGCCAACAACCAACCCACCACCTCAACCCAGAATCCCAACACATCCCTAACAATGAGTCGTAACGGCAGAACTATCAACTGACTGGCCAGTATAATCGTCCTATATCGTAAACCAAATTAGTACATCATCCTCCCCCCCAAAAAAAAAAGAAGTAAACTCACCATATGATTACACAAAGCAACAAAAAGATCAAAAAACAACTTGCCCCCACGCTCCATTTCTGCTTGCATAGTCCCACTACGCATAAAAGTGCTCCGCGACTTCACAATCAGCGCAAGGTAATGCGCCCGCAGCTTCGACTCCGTGTCTGGCGTGTTGGCATACGCGAATCGTGCACTCGCAAGTATCGTACTGCACTGGATCCCAGTGTGCAGGCCTTGCTTGCGCAAAGCGAGACGCTGTAGATGGGGAAGGTTGTATTTTTCTGCTGCACAGCTGGAAAGATACGTCAGTACACATACATTCATAACCGATTAAGAAGAATTCTGAAAAGAGCCTTGAAAAGACTCGGCAAGATACTTACTAAATAGCCGTATCCCGCAATATCACCCCCCTGCGCCCGATGATGAAACACGGTCGCCGTCGCTTGTCCCAATTCCCCACTAGCACCGACCCCAACGCCCGCATCCGCGTCCTCTAATTCCCATGTCTGGGTTTTGCGATTGTGTCGCAGACGCGGGTAGTAGTCGCCCTTGTAGAGGTATTCGAGGACGCAGGAGAGGACTTCGGGTTGCTCTTCTGGGAGGTCGATGCGCTTGCTTGGTGGTTGGAGAGGAAGTCTTGGCCGCGGCGCATCAGGGTTTGGTGTTTGCGCTGCGCAGTGACCAGCGAAGAAGGGGGATGCATGGAGGATGGCTTCGTGGGCGGCGAAGAGGCGTTTTTCTGGGCCCACGCGGAGCATTACAATTGGGCTTGTTGAGGGAATTCTGAGGACTGGGTTAGTGGTTTGATTTATGGATGCTGTAGACGATGTGGACGATATAGATGATGCAGATGGAGACTGAGATACATCTCGCGGACAGGACTTACGTTACATCTGGGGGTTTATCAAATTTTCGACGATGCTCGACTCGTCGAGTCTTACTGCCAATCGAACCAGAGCCAGAACCAGAACTATCTCGTTCTTTGTCTTTGGGAACTCTGTCTTTGGTTCTGTCGCGAGGAATTCTGCGCGACTGGAGCGTGAACGCCGAGGCCTTCGTCGCGCGATACCGGCCAGGAATTGGAGTCTCTTGGTTTCTTTTGGACAACATTGCTATTATTTATGGTCTGGGTAGCAGACGGGAGAATACAGAGACAGCCTTTGATGGATTTAGGGGGGCAGATGGGTCACTATTTATAAACGACAGAGAGAAAAGGATGCAAGATTCCGTTACGGAGACAGGTCACATACGTATATTATACTCCGTACCCTATGGAGATTACAGGACGGTTTGTATACGGGTGATCGGCTGGATAGCTCCAATTATCCTACGCAGAGGGGTAGAAGTCGGCGAACGACGCGTCACAAATGAGTTTCGACCGCGTAAAGGGGTTTTTCGAGTCGCCAAATGGGCGCGTGGTCACGGGTCTGGATGTGGCCAATCAGTGGTCGTCATTGAGACGAAAGAAATTGCGATTTCCTGTTTGGGAACCAGTTGTGGGTTGCAGTGGATTATTGCTTTGAATGGGAGGCAAAATTCTGATGGTTTGAAATTGATACGTCCATTGGCAGCAGTCTTGGAATGATGAGGTTGGTTTACAACTTGGTTCGAATATCAGGTTTGAGTTACATTGCAGTGCTCCGTACTCCGTACAGGATTTGAATGGACCTGTGTTGCAATATCGCAACAGATGAACCCCTGAACGCCGACGCTAAACGCCCTTGACAAGACCCGGTGTTCCCGAAGTTACCCGTATGACCGATTGTCTGGTAAAAAAAGATACGCAAAGACATGACGACAAAGAAAGAAAAGAAAGGAGATCAAAGAAAGGGAAGACCTACATTATAGGATTACTTTCTTGGCTTCCTTGGGGTGGCTTTCGCTGGGACAATACGGGCATTTGAAACGGTTACCTTTACCCAGGCGTTTCAACGATTCGTTCGCAATAACGTGTCCACATGGCATCATCATAGGAGGGTTCTCATCGGTCGCCTGTTCCTTGGACACCGGACAGACAAAGATAGAATGGAAGAGATATTGAGGAGGGAGCGGTATTTCGACCTAATTGTACAGATCTTAGCATTGATTCGCAGGAGGGTTAGTGATCTCCTTACCGGAAGCTCGTTGTCGGATGTCCACTCCGTGCGCTTCGATTTCATAATGGTCTGTAGCTTCAATAATGTCGGGAGAGCGATGGCGCCAGCCGTAGCAGCAATATAAAGTGGCGATTCTGCGGAAAGACCCAACAAGGAACAGAACTCGCGAGTGAAGAAGTGAGCTACGTCATCCCAAGCCGAAGTGTTGTTGAAAAGAGCTGCATATGGCGATCCACCGAGGTTGGGCGAGTACGCCATTGCGCCGACTAGCTGCTGAACTTCTCGCAAATATCGGGGCACAAAGACATGGAACTCCTGTCGCGCATACTCGAGCGCAGCTAGCCATCCGCTTCCGGTTCCCTGGCTGTTCGCTCCGCCATGGTATAACCATACATACTGTAGTCGGCAGAGCTCAAATTCGAGGTTACTGCCTCTGGCTTCCAGCGCCTCGCGGTTTTCCCTTGACCACTCGATTGCAGGTAATAAGTTCCTGTTCTCTTGTAGTTGTTGTAGGATATAGTACATTGAGGCGAACTGTTTCCGGATCTCGGTCGAAGGGACTTCGTCATTATCGAGCAGGGCGGCTGATGTATTGGTCGGTTCACGCCTATTTGGGGAGACTGGGCTTATTGTCTTTTGCTCGGCAATTTCGGAGAGGAAGGTGGCGGCCACGCCGAATTGACCTTCGCGAAGGAGATGCATGGCGATGGCGCGGTTGATGAGGTTCTCTTGTGCGGAGAGCCCATCGTCGTCAGTACTAGGCAGTGGTCGGTCTTTAAAAAGCTGTTCCAGGGGTTAGATTAGTGGCAACTCCATATATGATCAGTATTCTGGAATACCTTATCGAGAGATTTAGTGTACTTGTTGAGGCCACTGTGAGTCTCTTTCAGGCTGTCATTGATAGAGTCAAAGGAAGATTTGACCGAGTTCTGAAGAGTGGCTAGAGTGATAGAGGCTCTGGATGGATCTATTGGGCAGCGGTTTTGTCAGTTGAGGAATCTAGCGGGGGAAATGTTTATTGGCCACTGACCAGCAGCTATGGCATCACGAGCAGACTGCAGTGAATCAATTGCAGACTGAACATTCTTGATACCCTGAGAGCCCTCGGTTCTTTTGAGGAGCCGGCTGTGTTCTTTCTGCACTACTTCCATTGTGGATGGGTTTGCGTTGACAAGCTCGGAGGTGACTGGAGAGGTTACCGAGTCTCGCCATGTGGAGAACTTCAGATAAGAGCTCTTTATCTCGCGACTTCCAAGTGGAATAGAATATACGATATATTGATGTAGTCCCAGGGTCCTGATATTCCAAAACGATGCTAGAATAGAGATAATAGCTAGAGGAAACCATTCGACAGAGAGACATGCTGTTCCAGGTGACCACCCACGTGATTGAACCCCTCTATCCGGAATATGTGATCATGCTATATGGAGCACGACTCCAAGGTTGTAGATGAGCGTGTAGTTTCATTTGAGTGAGAATGCAAGGCACATGTATATAATAGCCAGGCATGTATTGAAATTGGTCATGTTCATGTCCATGTCCATGTTCATGTTCAATGATACATTTAGAACAGTGCCCTCACCCCAAATTCTCCCTATGATTCTACCCAGGAAATGTCTTCAATGAAGTCTCCAGTCCATATATTATATCCCCAAAGCTGTTTCGCTCCTACGACCTTTCTGTGTTCTATTACTCCGTCCACGTTTTCGAAATTCCGGTGACGCAGACCGAAGTTCCCTTACGGAACCTGGTTGGTGTTCACACCGCCTTCAAGTCCATACAGGACCCGGTTATTCACGGCTATCCCCGGCAATTTTCAACCAATCAGATTTCCCTATTCTCGGCTATTCCTCAGATCACGTGGTTCCGGTCTCGTCGCCTACCGGCGTTTGCTTTCTGCCTGCAGCCAGGAAAAGGGTATAAATACCTGGTGGCCCCCGGCACCCTTCCTCTTCTTTTTTTCCTCTCCATCCTAGTGCACGGGTTTTACACGTATCAGTGAGGAGACATCCGAGATCGTGTTTTTGCTAGTTGAAAACTACCAAATTGACTACTCCAAGTGAGCCTCCGCGCCCGCTTGGGAATTTTTGAAACAATACTGCCTCGACTCCTTGACGCTTCAGTCCTCGAGTTCGATTGATACTTGGATGGGAGACTTCGTCACCCTCGAGCATCTAGAAGTCTTTTCACTACTTGTTACCCATGTGGTGGCTTTTAGAGAAGAGAGGAATCGTATTATCAGCAGAACTTGACCATGGTAAACAATTTTTGTATCTGAAGCCGAACACGTCGCCCGTAGTCATCGATGTGTCGCGTCTTCATGTTTTTGTCGAAGGCCGTTGCTTAGCAACGCACAACGACGGTTTTTTGCCCCTTGTCGACGTCAACCCCTGTTTTCCCCTGGTACCAGGTTCGATGGCGATCAGTCCTTCTCTTCCACCTTTGCTGAAATATGATCACTGTGTTCTTTAGTTGCTAATTCTCCGGGTCCATGTCACTACATCGAGATGCCTTACTTTCTATCCACTGAAGTCTCAGCACTGCCCCACTGATGTATTTTCGGAGAATGTCTCAGGTTTACAACATCCCCTGACTTGGGCACCCTTGTACCGAAATTTGCGCGACATAAGTGAACAAACAGTTGAATCGTCAACTTCACATGAATCACTAACTCCACACGAGTGCATTTTCGGTCGCTAAAAATTACTTCCGACGGAGCATGGATGCTATCAATAATTCTCCTTCATTTCGATGGTGCCCCAGCTCAGGGGCGAATCTGTCATGGAATCACATTATTGACGTATTATAGAACATCTCTCAGTTACCTATCAGTCTAGGTATACTGACGCATTGCATTCCCTATCGATCAACGGACCACATCCCTCTTCTTCTCCGATAGCAATTGCCATGCTGTTGAACCAGGTCAAACGGTCGAAACAGCATGCCAGCCAGATACCTCGTTGTGGGCCTGGAAATTCGGTTTTATCTCCCAATCCGTCTGCGTTCTCTTATATGTCCGAATGACATGCCTAATCTCGGGTTCACGGATACTCCAAGCTTATCCACCTCCCCTAAAAAATCGGTGTCTGAAAACATGCTGCAGATACGGTCGCCGGGAGCGGCGGCTACGCTAGCCTGCCACGCCTGGATTATTTGAGACCAGCGGGATTCTCATGGGACGTGTCTCTCAAACTACGATTTCTCCAAGGGGTTGCCAAGGAATACATATCGGGCTTTGGTGCAATTTTGACACGCTACTGACACAGGATTTGCACAATGAGATTTCAACCTTTGTTGATGCAGGAAGCGATCACTTCTAACTCCACATCTGGGGTATATTTCTCCCTCCCATGTGCATGACACAATGCTTTTCTTCTCCAACGTCGATGAGAATATCCCCAGCCCCACCCCCATCGATGGTACTGTAGGATAACCACTTGAATAACTGTCTCATGAAGATCGGTGGATCAACAGGCAATCAGATTTTTCAACCACCTCTAGACATTAGTCAAAGCACCGCCCAGTTCATTATCTCCCACGTTTCAAGGCTGTGACATTCAAATATATCATCTTTGTGCTAATTTTGTAAACCGACTTTGGTCTTTCATAGACGAAACGTGTGTTGCTTTACACGAAACAATCATCAAGGGGCTACCAATTCCTTTATAGACCCACATACCATAACTGACCCATAGCTGACCTTCGTCATATGGGCAACAGAGTAGGGATCGACAGGCACAATCTCTCGTTGCCTTATTCCCAACGTAAGGATCACTTTCTCTCTTTGTCAACTGCTCGAGTAAAGAGATGTGGCTGGTATCCAACTTCACCAGCCCGTGCTCTTTGATACCATCGCTATAACAAGACTATGACTGCTGCTCCAAGACACACTCCTTAGCTATACGCACACGCCATAATGTCGCTCCCTTCCTGGCTCTTTCCGACCGTAGCCGCGTCCACCTGGCTAGGTGAGCTCTCCAATCATCCACAATCACCCTGGCCAATGATCTAACACTGGATTTAGCAATGCTACTGGCTATGTTGGGCCATTGGACTATGATCGGTGAACCAAGATATGGCTTGATGAAGCCTGGCCAGAATATCCCGTGAGATTGAGCCTCCCGTCAGCCCGATCGTCGTGCCAAGATTCAACTAACAGCTTTTTGAACAGATTCATTTCAGATATTGGAGCCCAGGAACTAAAGCCGTTATTCATGATTGGCTGCATCACCACCGTCCTACTTTTAAATCTCTCTTTCTATCAACATGTCCAAAACAAGGGATATATCAACAAAACGTGCACACACGGTTCATTCCTTTTTACAGTCGTTGGGAGTATCGGCTTAATTATGCTCTCCGTCCTCGACAACATCGGCCACCATTTTGTGCACGATGTCTGCGTGACAATCTTTATGTACGTCCCTTGTCGAGATCGATATACCTTTATACGTCACAATGTACTGACGGCTGCAGTGTGGGATTCCTACTCAGCGCGGCCTTGATGTGCTTGGATTATATATACCTAGGCATCGCACACGCCCTACGAGAGCCTATGCTCATGACAAGCTTTGTTATCAAAGCATCGTTCATTGTCGTTGAGCTTGGGCTCATCATTGTCTTCAGGATCACTGAGCATACCCACTACCAGCAGAACAATATGGCAGCCACTCTTGAATGGGGTAAGTAAATATATGGTTCCACCGTTAAACTCCTTTACATTGCGCTAATTCTACTCACAGTCATCGCCTTTGTTTTCACCGGGTACATCCTCTCTTTGATAGTCGATCTCATGCCGTCTGCTCAAAGAAATCTCCACAATCCAAAAGGATATCAACAACTCGAAATGAGCATGAGCATGCTGCCCTAGCCCATGGCTTACTTGGTTCTTTTTCATAATACGCTTGGCTGGTACTTATAGCGTTGGTTCGATTCGCGACCTTTTTAAATGTACATATATATTTCTGTGCTCGTGAAACGAATACCAAGACTTTCCTTCTGGCAATTCCTCCTTGAAATTATGCCTGACTTGCCAAATTTAGCAAGATCCGCCAATGATCTTTCACCTTCAAAGCCTTCTGTCGGATTGTATCTAGACTACTTGATATAATCTATTGGAGCCTCATTTACTTATCGGTAATAGTTTCTACAACCGAACCCCGATAAAGATACAACGGCAAATATTCTTTCGTAAAACCAAACCATCATTAGTATATGGAAGTTCAGCAATAATAGCAGGGCTGGAGTTGTTGGGAAACATACGTGGGCATCGACGTATATCCTTGACGCCAAGTGAGCGGCTGACGACCGACCACCAATCGATGCTCGATGGCCCCAAGATAATCTACAGATGTTAATGTTGAGTTATGAAGCTTGGCTGTGTTTATTGGCATCGAGACTGAAGAGTTGCAAGTTTAGTACTGAAGCCTGACTTGGCAGCACTCAGATATACTGGTGGTGTAAAACATATAGTTGAATGTAAACATATATAGTTGATGGGGTGCGGGTAAAAATTCATTGTCGCAGGAGTCCCTTTTGCTCATAGAGTGTATATTGTAACAACGGACTCGATCAACTAATCCAGAGTGGCGAATCGATCCGAGCCACGGCCACTTCTTCATCGATGCTCATAGCAAGTGGCGGGAGTAGCTCGCCCCAATTATAGGATTCGGTGCTCCACATCGGCGGCCATAAGTGATGCCATCATCCACGTCCAAGACTGGGTTCTGTTCATAGCGTCTTACTGTACAACTAGCTTGGATTCTGGTTGGTGGCGCTACTTATTCTTTATAAAGGGCAGTCTGAGGTCTCTCTGTCATAATTTTTTCCCCTACAATATTCTCGCAATCTGATTGTTCATCAACCCGTCGCTTCCTAACTTACTCATACTATCATCAATAACAGTCATGGGTCCCTTGAGCCACCACGACGAGCACGGTAAGCACGAACACGAGAATCACGACCATCACAACCACCACAACCAGCAGCACGATCATCAACACGATCATCAACATGGACACGAGAATCACGACCACAAAGACCACCACGACCACCAGCACCATCACCAGCAAGAAAATCAGCATGAGCACCAACCCAACCATCACCACAGCCACTAGTAAGGCCCTGGCAATCCCGGCTTTGGAGGGCCTCGCGGTGTAATCCAAGGACCACAGCAAGATCAGGGTGGGCCTGGAAGCTTCGGCGGTCCTGGGGAACACTATGGTGTACATGGCAGATCCGGCGGTCCCCAGGAAGGGGTAGGTATAGCTCGGATATTCATATGAGTTTCTTGCTCACTTCTCTACAGCACGGAAGACAATGAATAGTTCATTGCAGAGTGACTGGAGGTAGGTAAATTATAGCTCTTAGGGCAGATATTTCGAATCCGCAGGCTCACAATATGGCATAGTTTTATTTAGAAATGTGAAGCATGTCTGCCATGTCGTTGGCCGAGCAACCTGGTGATGGCCTGGAAAATCAACTCTTTTCTTCCTTGTATTACAGCTGTCGACGCCGTTGAGGACCTCGGGAGCTAGCATGCGTACTACTCGGACTACATTGTTGGCTCGGGCGACTATCGGATTTCCCTGCATGAGACTGACAGATGTAAAGGAATGCCGATATAGTGTATACTAGAAAAGACGTAGTGCAAGGTCTCTCATATGAAACTATAGTATTGGCGGGAAGAGTATATGACAATTTGGATATGAGGCACAAGTATAATCAGGGTCTTTTAAAGTGATGGCGGTTAGAAGGATTCCGGTATACAAGGTATATTGCGTTATATGGTGGTGTCTATTACAGAGGGCCAAGCGCATAGTCCCTGTCGTCCTACGCCTGATAGAGCCGTGTCTGTGATACGAACAATGCCAACGCCAATCTTAAATAACTAGACCAACGTAAACAGAGAGCCTGGATTGCAAACCAGAGCACTTAAGACTTCACACCATGGTTTAGCCTATAAAAATCACTTAGGGAGAGATCATAGCATCCATCACCATCTACAACTCATAGAACTTGTTGCAGTTGCGACTGGCTCAAAGGGGAGGATGTGGTGGCTGAGGAAATGTCATTCGATGATATGATACAGTGAGAGTAGCCCTTAGACAATGAGCAAGCGCTGGGATAGGAGCCCCTATATGAGAGGGAAGGTTTTGGCCGCAACAGTGCATTTACAAATATTCATGCCTGATGCTCCTAGCCGAAACACCTACAGTCACATGATCGTCCGCCATAAGGTACGGGATGACGTCGCCACTTCTGCACAGTTCGGGGGGTTTATGTGGTTTGCAAGGTGTTGGCCCATACCACGTTTGCCTTACTCCTTTTACTTTAGGCTAAGACTATGCCTCAAACCCTGTTGCCTGGACATGCAACAATTGTGCCGACCTGACCAAGAGTGCAGGAGGATCGAAGGAAGGCCCTTCCTTCGCATCTTGACCTTAGGAGCGGTGACCTGCTTTAGGGTTGAATGATCAGCGCTAAATTCAAATTTGTCCCCTTGGCAAATAAGCCTGGAGGAGACCAGCCATTATGCAGCAAAACACCCCGAGTGTCCCACCGGTCGATCGCACCGACTCCATACCGTCGGAGGCCGCCTCCCACGCAACCGGGGCCGAACGCCCCCCGTCGCGGGGCCACCAGCGACTTGTGTTCACCGATGCGGTTGCCCTCCGATACCTCGAAGAAGATCCTTCGACCGATGTCCTCCAGCGACGTGTAACACTGCAAGGGTATGAAATTTATGTCGTTGAGCAATGGGCCTGCTCTCGCGTACACCCGACATTCATTATCTCGACCTATACCGGTGACCCTTCGCACACAGTGATTGTGGGAGTACTGAGTGTTCCGAACAATGAGGCTACCTGGTCGCCTCGCTTGCGGATGTACTTTGATGCCATGAAGCAATGTCACGCTAGAAGGAAGGAAACACCACTAGGGACGGTCATGGTCACGGATCTGGCCTCATTTCCTTCTGCCCTGAGTCTGATCCCAATACCCAATGGCGATATCAAAAGACACCGGGAGGACTTTATTGTCAATGAAGACTTAAAAAGACTTGGGTGTGCAGGCCGCGCGGGCTTGAGGCTTCAACCACCCTCAGCGGCGACTGAAGCCAAGTTTCATCAGCTGTATCGAACGAGCGAGAGTATTCCTTTATACCATGCGGTAATGGAATTGGTCAGGCAGTGCCAGATTGCATTGATGGTGTTTGACAAGCTAGCCCCAGAATATGTGGACGGGCTACTTTGTGATGTGACCGAGGCAGCTGTCAGTGATTGGTGGACAGATATTGGGACAGACCTGTACAACATTGAACCGGGCGATCATGGCCTAGGGCCCACCAGCGTGGCTGCGTTGCTGGGCACGTTGCTTGGAGCTCGAAATCGACTGCACGCCTATGGTGCTCCCGTGGGGAAAGACGCTTTCGACGTTCCCAATCTAAAAAGAGGAATCAGTGGATTCCAAAAATCTCAAAAGATAAAGCGGTCGCGCAGATTGGACCGACTCACATTGGACCGGTTACACCGCGTCACGGCCAAGGCTGCCAATGCAGAAGGCTGGACAGAAGCAGTGAAATCAACCATGGCAGAGCTCAGTGGACAGGGCGGTGAAATGGTTATGGGGATGGTTCGTGGGCGCGACAAAGGTGGAATTGCCGATATTGAAACCCTGGATCTTGATACCTTCGTACAGTGCTGCAATGGCGAGAGAGCAAAGTGGCTGTGGCTGGGTAAACCGCGCAAGAGTGGTATTGAAGACGGGTTCTCTCGCGGGACTGGATCGGATATGATGTTTACAACCGATGAACAAGGCGGTTATGTCTGGACTAGTCGCAAGAAGCATTCGACAGATGACCTGAATGCTGAGCGAGTGAGTTTGGGGCTGGATCGCTCTTGGAAGATGCCAGAGCCGACCTCCGAAGAAAAAGATCATCGAAGGAAGGGCGTTAGCGGACGAGTATCAGACGCGCGAGCAGGGTTAGGACGCTTCAAAGATGCAGTAGGACTGCAGGGCCTTCGCCATCACCATCATCCTTCACGAGACAGCTCCGAGGTGACACATGACCTCGCATACCATCCGTCTATTGATAGTGACAATGAGGCACCGTCAGCGAAGACGCGGACTGACTCTGGGCTCCGTACAGGAAGAAGTGTAACAAACGATATCGAAGGGCTCAATGAAGAGGAAGAGAAACCAGAAGTGTTGCAGCCTCCTGACCCTGCATTAAATCCTCCTGAAATTCATATTGAAACTGTACCAGAAGATGAGCAAGAAACACAAGCTCAAGACGGGTTTATTGCACAGCAGCCTCCAATCATCGAGGAAGACTCAGATATGGAACGCGTCTTTTCTCGGTCGACGGCAGCATCAACGGATCGTGAACGTGACCGCGAAGGCTCGATCAGTGGGATAGCTGTCATGGCCCTGCGGCGGCCACAAAGCTTCGAAGAATTCCGAAGCCCTGAAAGTGAGATTGAACGGCGAGACAGCTTCTGCGCACGCCACCTCTCGTTCAGCTTAGTTGAAGAGGTGATATTCAAATGGGAGCCAATAGGCGGGGAACCAACGTTCAAAGAGACCGATAACCTGGAGGAGGCCATCGTTCAAGAGGACATGCTTGCCTCGGAGGGACGCATCTTCAGCTCGCGCATTCAGGAGTTGAGCCAGCATACTGTGCCTTGGGTTGAGCGACAAGTGGACTCTGTGGAAGGTCTCAACCAGCTGCTATATGACCAACACGATGAACTTAACTCAGTCTACTTGGAACGTTTCGCCGACTACCAGCGATTGCGCGAACGATCCAGTGACATCCTCATAGATGAAAGTCACCACCTCGCCGATGGCGTGAAACGCGTCGAGTTGCTGGGCGCCAAATTAGACTACGAATTACACGTCCTCGAGTCCAAAGTCGACGACATGGAAGCTGGTCTGGGCGACTTTGACCGTCACATTGAAAATGTCGAGACGAGAATCAAAGCCCTGGTCAAAGGCGAGGAACAACACGACACTTCCTGGACCGCATGGATAGCGCGATCCATGGGCTTTTCGACCTAATGACGATACTTGTATGATATTTTCTTTTTTTCATTCTCTGTTTTTCCTTTATCCACCATATTGTACATAGTCAGAGATAGACCGGCGATCGTGCCTCCCAAACCGGGATGGTATAAACGTGAACCATCATTTAAAACAGGCCAAATTTCAGTAGGCCGAACCAGTCAAATAGCCTTACACAGAAACAAAGACCACCGAACTCTCCAGCTTCAAGGCTACCAGAGCTCCTTCCCAAGAAATTTCGTTGTCAACACGTTTAGAAGCCCATGCCACCACCCTGCTTGTTGGCATTGGCCTCGCCCTGCATCTTCTCGCTAACCTTGATGTTGACATCAAAGAACTTGGAAACACAGCGGTCGAGGCAGACGGACTCGCCCTTGTTGAGGTCACCCTCGCGGTAATCGGCGGGAATACACTTCTTGGTGCAGGACTCGGTCAAGCTATCGCGATGGGAAAAGTTAGAATGTGGTTCGCGATATAGAATTTTCTAGGATGGCTTTGCAATGGGAGTTTCTGCAGTCTTCCGGTTTCTGAATCAAGATACTGCGCTTGGGTATTCTGTAGAGCTTCATCTTACCGGTTGAACATGTCTGAGATCATCTCGACTTCGGTCTCCGCGGCAGCAATCTTCTCTGCCGAGGACATCTTGGGGGCACCGCCAAAGAGGAAAGACATGATGTATAGTGAATAGATTTGAAATGTAGATGGGTGATGGGTAGATATGTGGAGTAAAGCACCAGAGTGTCCAACGTATTCGGAGCACGGGAGGTCGGAGAAGCTTGGGCCACCTGCGTGGAAAAACTCGGTTCTTCCGTTTCTTTTTTCTTTCTCTTCTTCTCTTCTCTTCCCTCAATGATGTGAAAGTATAGCCAATTTGCTATGCTTTCCATTCGCCCTAGATGGGCTTTATCTGGCTTTGGCCTGCACAACAGGTAAGATTTGCATTTACTGTTTACTGCTATACTGTTCCCATATCTCCCATTCCCCCTTATATGATGATTTATCCCCGCATTAGAACCGCTACAGTGATGTCCTTTTGGGCACTGAACGTACTGGATTTTATCTGACAAAGCTCAATGCTTAATTTTGGATCAATTGTGTCTACTTTCTCGACCATTGCTAACCCAAAATCTTCAGTGCAGGACTGCGACTCGCTAGACAATCTCGTCAGATTCCCTTTACATCCCGACTAACCACACAGCCGATTCGGTACAATAGCTCTACAGCGTCACCGGGGAAGGCCTTGCAGGAGCGCATAAAGCAGGTCAAAAATGCTTGCGCAGAGCCATACCCTCGCCTAGCGGTGGATACCCGCACAGTGAGCTGCGCCGAATTCCGCTCTCGCTATGCCGAGCTCGCCGACAATGATTCAGTAGAAGACACAGTCGTCGTATCTGGTAGGTTCAGCTCTCTGGCCTTTGCAATGCCCATGTACTTAGAATAGTAGGAAGGATCCGTACCTATAGACTCGCAGGAAGCAAATTGATCTTCTTCGATATCGTTCAAGATGGCCATAAAGTCCAGGTGATGTGCAACAAGCGTCGCCTGGAAAGTGTCTCTCCCGAGGACTTCAAGAACTTCTATCGTCTTCTGCGACGCGGTGATGCTTTCTGTATGTCTCGTCTCTACCCGGCTTGACTCGAGTGTCACCGCTAAATAATATTCCAGCTGTAACCGGTAGACCGCATCGCACTGGACGAGGCGAGCTCACTATCGATGTGAGCGAGTTGCCCCAGCTGCTCTCGCCGTGTCTTCATGATATCCCCGTTCACGATACCGAGCATGAGACCTCTCCGTACCCTCGCCATGTCCAGTTCCTGGCCGACCCCGCGACAGCCGATATCATTCGAGCTCGCGCGGCTCTTGTACAATATCTACGCCAGTTCTTTGTTGACCGTTCCTTTATGGAGGTGAGCACCCCGATTATCGGGTCTGTGGCAGGCGGCGCAATCGCTCGTCCGTTCAATACCTCCGCCACTGAGTTCCCAGACCGCCAGCTGTCGCTGAGAATCGCGCCGGAGCTTTGGCTCAAGCGGTTGGTGGTTGGTGGATTCGACAAGGTCTTCGAAATTGGACCTTCGTTCCGCAATGAAGGTATGCTGGTACAGATAAGACCTATGTCTAGCAAAGCTGATGAGATATAGGACTGGACAAGACCCACAACGCAGAATTCACCACCTGTGAATTCTACCAGGCATACGCCAACCTCGAGAACCTAATGACTATGACCGAAGAGCTTCTCTCCGGCATGGCAGCCCACATCCAGGCCTTGAACACAACAGGCACTCTCAATCCTACCACAGCGAACTTCACAGCACCATTCCGCCGCATCGACTTCCTTATAGGCATCGAAGAGGCTACCGGCCACAAACTACCCGATCTCGAATCTCCCGACGCCCTTGATCAAGTCCACGCTATTTTCACCAAACTCTCCCTCCCCCTCCCATCAAACCCAACCCTCCCCCGTCTCCTCGACGAGCTGTGCAGCATCTACGTCGAATCACAATGCATCGACCCAACCTTCATCATCAACCCACCCGAATGCCTCTCCCCACTCTCTAAATCCTTCATCCACCCAACGACTAAGCAGCGCGTCGCCGCGCGCGGTGAACTCTTCATCGAAGGCAAGGAAGTGGTGAATACATACGAGGAGGAGAACTCGCCGTTCGAGCAGCGCCGTAAATTTGAAGACCAGTTGCGGTTCGGCAAGGCTGCTGGTGAACCCGGCGAGGTAGACGAGAGCTACCTCGAAGCCCTAGAATGGGGTTTACCTTCTACGGGTGGATGGGGCTGTGGCGTTGACCGTCTCTGTATGCTGTTCACTGGGGCCAAGCGCATTAGTGATGTATTGCCATTTGGCAATTTAAGGGCTGTGACTAGACGGCATGGACAGTCGAGTCACGAGTGAGGACTTTGTAATATTAGGTTGTACGATATACTAAGAATGAGAATCTAGAATTCTCGACTCCTATTGGATATGTTCTTTATATCCCTGCATCAAGTAACATCGTGTCAACTTTAGTGCAAATAGGCGAAGCCCTTTTATATTGAAAAGATAGCGCGCTAAGAGATAAAGCACTCGGAAGCGGGGAAGTTTTCTTGATTTCTACACACATCATGGAGGCCAACATTCAGGTGGCTGACGCCGTTACGGTCAGTCTGCAGGAACTTGTAGATGGTAAGTGGTGTGTTTAGGACGGAAAAGAGTAGATGCTGAACCATGCAGGAACTATATCCTTCGATACTCTAACCAAAGCCTTTGGACCATCCTCTCTGGGTATCATCGTCGTTAAAGACCTCCCCTCGACCTTCAGTGACCTGCGCACAAAGGTTCTATCCAATGCCTCGTATCTGGCGGCTCTTCCTGATTCTGAACTAGGTAGGTCTCTAAATTGTAGAGACGTTCCCAAACCACCCCCGACTCTAACCGCAAAACCAATCTAACCTCCACGTAGAATCTCTCACCAGCCCAGAATCCAAATACTTGGTTGGTTGGTCCTGCGGTAAAGAAACCCTGAAATCAGGCCATTTCGACACCCTGAAGGGCTCGTATTATGTGAACTGCGCCTTCTATCAGGATGCATCTCTAGACAGCGCCCCGGCCGATGGGTTCCCCGATCTACCGCAGTATACCGCGCCAAACATCTGGCCGTCGTCAGCCAAACTTCCCGAATTCAGGGGTAGCGTGGAGTCCCTATGCAGACTGATCATCGATACCGCCGCTCTCGTCGCCAAGGCATGTGATCGATATGCGGAAGCCAACATCGAAGGCTACAAGCCTGGATATCTACACCATGTCGTGACAACCAGTCTGACAACCAAAGCACGACTGTTACATTATTTCCCCGGGAACCAGGAAGAGGAGGCTGACACCAGCGACGATGACTGGTGCGCCACACACCTCGATCACGGCTGTCTGACCGGCTTGACATCAGCCATGTTCCTCGACGAAGCGGCTTCCCCTCCAACTATCGATCCATCTTCGGGGTCGACCTCTGCCCCTCTCCCTGAACTTCCCCGTTCCCCCGACCCTTCGGCCGGACTGTACATTCGGTCACGCACAGATGAAATCGTCAAAGTCAATATCCCTAAGGATTGTCTCGCTTTCCAGACCGGCGAAGCTTTGCAGTTGATCACTCGCGGCAAGTTTATGGCTGTGCCGCATTTCGTGAAGGGGGCTAAGGCTAGCCCAGGGCAGAAGATCGCGAGGAATACTCTTGCTGTGTTCACGCAGCCGAATCTCGAGGAGGAGGTTCAGCCTGGGTTGAGCTTCGCGGAGTTTGCAAGGGGTGTTGTGCAGAAGAATTATTGAGTCGAGTTGAGTCCTAGCAAGTGTCTCGATTGGAATTAAGTTGAAATCAATTGAGGTTTTGGAACCTTTTGTGGGGGGGAGAATGATGGCCAAGGCAAAGAACTGGAAACCCCCCAGGGGCGAATTCAACTAGAACCTTGGAAGTGACGCACCTCTAAGCCCAATGGTTTCGGTAATGAATATCGGCATTGATAGAGCTTTCAAGTCCTGTAGCCAAGTAACTACTTAGCTCAATGAACATCATTGGGGTCAATACCCAAGATACCGGGGGAAATCTCACACAATCCCTTTAGCTGACCCCTGCTATAAGCAGATCCAAGATCTACTATCTAGACATCTCCGCATTTCCCCGTAGGATTGGAGTTTAATAGGAGAGCTGCGTGTTGATCTTGACTCGATGTATCACCCAAGGTGATCGTCTACGGACGTACGGAACTATATCCTCCCCACCACGGGATATGGTCAACGAGAGCTTTTGGTCTAGACGTCAGCAATGCCAGCGATGCCAACATCATTGCCCCTTTTGCGAGACTCATTTTTATGTTTCTCCCCCGCACTATGGCCGATCTTCCCCAGAAATTTGGTTTCATGTCCACGGTCATGATGCCTGGGTGTGGTGGTGTCTACTTCTCTGAACGCAAGATATAAAGTAGAACGAACTCCCAATTCGATTGAATTCTTCTTAAACTGGTCTAATATTATTGGACTACCGTCTTGGTCATTCTCATCCGTTTTTGGAACTATATAAGCCTTTTTTACCCTTTGATACATCTACATCTGCCTCACACCCACGCATCATGTCCCACGAAGGAATCAACGTCAAAGACACAAACAACTATTCCCCCCCAAGCACAGAAGACTACGAAGCAACCCACTTCGGCCCCCTAGCTCACGTCAACACAACCTCAAGCCGATACCCTGCCTTCGGAGGTGACCTCCAGCCAGGTCTATACCGCATACCAAAAGACCGCAAGCTCGCCAACCCAGCACCGCTAGGCCTCTGTGCATTTGCATTGACCACCTTTATACTGGGATGTATCAATATGAATGTCAAGGGCCTTACCGTACCTCATATCGTGGTCGGGCCTGCTTTGGCATATGGTGGATTGGTGCAGCTGTTAGCTGGGATGTGGTATGTTGCCAAATAATAGAAGAGAAGTGTATTGATTTCGTCGACCTTCACTAACAGCACCAGGGAAATGGCTATTGGCAATACCTTCGGTGCGACCGTGCTCTCATCTTACGGCGGTTTCTGGATCTCCCTGGCTATCACTTTTATCCCTGGTGGATTTAATATCATCGGGGCTCTTGAAGAAGCGGATCATGGGTCTCATGCTATGTTCTATCATTCATTTGCGTTGTATCTCTTCGTATGTCATCTCAGACAAAAGAAATGGGGACAAAGCTAATATCAAATGTTCTCTTTAGGGCTGGTTTATCTTCACAACACTGGTCACGATGCTTACCCTCAAATCCACCGTTGCCTTCTTCTCCCTGTTTTTCTTCGTCGACCTTGCTCTTCTATTGCTCTCCCTTGGGTATCTTTTCAATGTGGATGGAGTGCCCAATGGAAAATTGATACAGGCTGGTGGGCTTTTTGCTTTGCTTGGTGCTTTCTTGGCTTGGTATAATGCCTTTGCGGGTATGGCTGATAGCAGTAACAGCTTCTTTTTACCTCCTGTTATTCATTTCCCCTGGTCTGAGAAGAGACGGTCTGCTAGACGGAACTCCGCTGGAGAGAGTGAAGCTTGAAGGGTGTTTGGTCTTGTATGAAGATATGATATGTCGTTCTTTAGACATAGATATAAACGACAATAACCAGGAATAGATATCACCTATGTTCTGCTTGTCTATTGGTATATACTGTTGGGACAACATAGGTTGGCTATGTCTTGCGATTGTTCTTTACATTGACGTCGACTCTACATTACATGCTTACATAGCTGTGGGAATGATATTGACTACTAGTACTGAGACATTGTACTATTCGCAGATAATCTCATTCGCCTGAGATAGAACCGCCCCTCCGTAACGCCCATGGGTATCTAGGATATGCCGCTAAAAGAAGGGAAAAACAAACAGGCAGATCGAATCGAATCATCTATGCAAACGGAGAATCCTCCGCACTATCCTCCCCAGAAGAAGGACCTCCCCGAAGTCCCAGCCCGGAGACACCGCCAGACACTTGATCATCAGTAGGTCCGTTGGTGTCATCAGAGGAGTCATCCTCAGTTTCCGGCGCACTGCCAATAGCAGAGCTGACTAGCTTGCTGTTTTGCGCAACATGCGCAAGACCAGTCTTCGGTCTACCCCTCGGAGCGGAAGACGAAGACGAAGACTTGAAGGGCCGACCACTAGAAGAAGGGATCTGAGCCTGGCGTCGGAGGGCGTGACTGACTTCGCCGTGTGATATTCTGATAATGGCTTGCCACTTCTGCGGGTCTTCGCGCTGCGCCGCCGTAAGACCGCATTCCACGCCGTTAATCTCTGTCAGGCCGAGCGTTTCTACCCGGCAGTCACCCCAAAACCACGTGTTGTTTTTGGCCATGCGTGTATCGACTTGTGAGGAGTACGCACGGCCTTCCATCACACCGGATAGGTCGTAGCCCAATGTGTGGGTGCCGAACATGAGCTCTGCCGCGAGCGGTTCGTAGCAGCGACCGATGATTAGGTGCGGAGAGACGTTACAGGTTTTGCCATTGGCCATGCGGTACCAGGGACCGTAGTCGCTCATACTGACCTGGCGGAACGTAGCTGTTGCTTCTTCTGCGGTGAGGGGGATAGGCTCAGTTGCTGCCTCAGTGGACGGCACTGGAAGTGTGGCTTTGAATGGGCCTTCCTGAGAGATGCGACTTGGGTCCGTAGTGAAAACTTTGCCGGAGATTAGAGCTGTGAAATGTTCTGCAAGCTGGTCCTGGTCATTGTCGGTGCACCCCGAAAGGCATAGTTGGATTTTCTCAATGACCATCACCTCCGTCACTTCGCCAACTGTTCCGTTTCTAAGCTGGTCATGATGGAACCCATATGGCCTGAGACGAACGGTGTCGTGTACGGCAAGGAGTTCGGCCCCAATGAAGATTCCCTTGCATTGGATCCTGGCGTTGGGCCATTCGCCGATCACGTGGAACTTGTGCACCATGCTCCAGGACGACATCACGGTTAAGGCGTTCTCGATGGACGGGTGTGTTTCCTCTCGCTTTTGACCATTGAGGTAGGCTTGCCATGTGTTGAAAGGTTTGATGTTACGCAACGGAACATATGCGTATTGCACCGAGTAAGACTTGTCATTACCCAGCGGATCCGGTAGAGTCTCCACACGGAAACCAGAGTAGCTCAGTCCGCGCGGACTATCGGGAGTTTCAATGATATTCACCATATGTTCTTCTTCTTTAGGGGTTTGGGTCACCACACCGGCACGCCAGTTGGGCACGCCATGCCACTTGTTGTCGTTGCCGAATATTTCGATGAACCTAGTCTTTGGGTTGAGTAATAAACAGCCATCTTCGAGACCCTGCCAGATCCAGAGAACAAGCTCTCCACGACGAGGAACGTAAGCGGGATCCATTTTCAGTTTCGTGAAGTAGTCAGAAAGCCATTCGTGGGTCAACACCCAGTCGAGGTTGAATCGCTGCTCGATATCTTCATCGAGCTTTTGCTTATCTTTCAATTTCATAACCAAGATGCGCCAGTAATCTGGTCCCTCTGCATCGGTGGGTCGACGCTCATTGACGACTCAATGTGTGTCAATAAATGATCTGACAAAGAGACATAGTGGTACTCACTTGGTTGCATAGGTCTTTTAGTTCTTTGAACCGATTTCCCCGGCACTGATGTTCCCTGGGTCGTTTTTATTGGAGCACAAAGCTTGCATTTACACTTGTCCAGCTCGTTCTTGACTAGAGACAGGAAATGGGGCAAGAAAGTGATTTGTGACTGAAAATACCGACCGCTCGGGTGGCCAAAGAGAAAAGGATCAAACTTCACATAATATTGTTAGTTGTAAATGGAGACAGGAACACTGAGAAAGCTCACCATTGAAGGATTGGTCCCACGAGGTCGCTCGAAAAGGCAGTATCCATCAGGCAACTTTTCAATGGTATGAATGACACCTTATGCATATTCTGTCAGCCTAAAAGTAGGTAAATGAATACCTGAAAAGCAGGCCAGCATAGAGTTGTCAACTCACCCTCTTCAAAAGTACCCATAGCCTTGAGCCAATTCTCAGCAAGTAATTCCCGCCAGCGAGCATCGGAGCGTTCAGAGTAATTATTCCCAGGCCAGGTACTCATATCTCCATCGCTGACAAAGTTCTCCATGGGAATAACATTAATATTGGAATCCTCATCCTCACTGCTAGAGGGCATGTTTGTCTCGGTCTTGTCTTCCCTGCCTGGGAAGCCCAGGAAGTGCAGAATGGATTGTAGCGAATTCAAGACTTAGCAATGTTAAAGACAATCAGATAGAAGAAAAATGCAGCACAGAAATCTTTCCCCAAGACAGTGAGTGGAGGTCTTGTACGCGAAAGTGAGGAAGAGTTGTTGACAGGATGAACTATGGAGATCCATGGATGGTTTTCTCGTGATGGAGCTTATCGATAAGACACACTGCCGCTTTAAGAGGACGGTGAGAAATGGGAAAAGTATCTTGCCGCTTTAAACCGAGTCAACTGGTTATCCATACACGACTCACGACTAAGTCGGGGATCATTTTTAACAAAGACTTCCAACATATTAAGTGATATCCCAACTGTACACAGGGAGATGGATCTATTAAACATCACATTAATATTCTAAGCTTGGAGAGATTCGATACTGTCTATGCTGTGTGAATTCAATTCGCAGCTACTTCACCGAAAGCCTCAGAGCCAGACTGCTCTTCTTCCTGATAAGGCGGTGGTGCAACTTCGCCGCCATTAGCCCAAACCTTCTGAAGCTCCTGATCAATCTCCTCGCGACGCTGCTTCCACTCATCCACCTTATCCAGACGCTTGCGCAGCTCCTGAAGTTCTTTCTCAACACCAAGCTTCTCCTTCTCAGTACCGATTCTTTCGAACTCCCAGACCTCACCTTCGGCACCCAGACCAATATTCAGGTTAAAGGTATGGTACTTCTTCAAAGACGCCCGCGTCGAAATGGTGATGAGAGTGATACCTCGCTCCTTGGCATTATCGTATAGCAAGCCCTCAACGTCTGAGGAAACCGCCGAGGTGCCTTCATCCATGAATGCATACCGTGGCTCATGGTAGAAGAGCCGCGCCATGCCCATTCGTTGCTTCTCGCCACCGCTCAAAACGTCTTTCCACTCCTTACGAGCATCCCAGCCGCCTTCACGCTGTGGCAGATAACCTAGATGGGCGTCGTCGAGGATCTTCTGTAGAGCTGCGTCCGTCACGCCGGCTTCGCGCATGTCGACCTCCGTGTGCGGGTAGATCACTTGGTCGCGCAGAGTACCGACGCTGAGATACGGCCGCTGGGGGAGGAACATAATTCCGTCCAGGCCAAAGCCTCGAGGACGACTAACCAGGCCGCGGTATACAGGCCAGAGCCCGGCCACAATACGGGGAATTGCAGACTTGCCTACACCGTTTGGACCCGAGATGAGGAGGTGTTCGCCTGAATGAACGATGAATGAAAGCGACTCGATGAGTTCGTCACCGCCCATTGGGTGGAGGGATGGTGCGACAATCGGGACCTGCTCCAGGCGGACTCCGTCAAAACCGTTGTGGGTGGTACCTTGGGAATCGGCAAGAGAGTATAGTTCAGGATGCGAGCCTCGTGGGGTGTAATACGCATCGGCGTGAACACGATGCAAGGTGGCAATGAGACTGTAGACACGAGAGGTGTAGCCAGCCAGTTCTGAGATGTCCTTAATACTGTACATCATACGGCCTCCTGCATCGGCGAGCGAGAGCATGAGCCGTTTATTAGTGATGAACTCCTTCATGCGGCCACGCTCGCGTCCCGTACCCTCAGGTACATTAGCCAACTCCATTGCACCACCCGAGCCACCCCAGGCGGGGAGGAAGATGGGCAGGGAAGTTATCAAGTAACCAAATGCTGACCAGGAGTATTTAAGTATCATGTCTTCTAGCATGTTGTAGCGGATCTTGAGACTGTAAATGCCCTCCATCCATCGCTGCAGTTCCTTAAAGCTTCTGACGAGGAACACCCGCTCGGTATCAGCTCCGCCGTAGAACGAGATTTCTTCGGCATTGGCCAGGAGTCGAGAATGCAGGCCACGGAAATCTCCTTCCTTCTTGCCCTCTACTGCCTTAAGCTTTCCAAATGGCGGTGACAGTTTTCGGAGCAGCACGGCTGTACTGAAGTACCCAGCCAAGATGCCGCTCAGGGCAAGGGGGCCGAGTGAGCGGTAGAGTTGATAGTTGAATACGAAAAGATCCACCAACGGCTTGCCCATTGAGGAATATAGTGATGCGGCCGCCGTGCAGAACAAGGTAAGATCCTGGGTGATAAATTGATCGGGACTTTGACCAATTCCGCCGTCCAAATTCATCAGCTTATAGTAATTGTTATTGTCGGTTAGGTATAGGTCGTGGATATACCGGGTCAACCGAGTGCGGAAGGCGATGGACACCTTCGATTGGAGAAATTTGATCATCGCATTGGTGTATGAGGCAAGGGTTCCGATTCCACACCATTTGAGGATACCCCAAAGGAAAGCCTTTCCTTTCCCAGCGACTAGATCTCTTACAATCTCACCATCAAGTCGTGCAATCAACAGTGAAAGATATGTTCTCATCAAGAGAAAAAGGCCGTGGCTCATCAGCAATCCAGTCTCTTTGCTCCCCCATCTCGGAACCATGATACTTCCCAAGCTCAAGAACTGATGTAGGAATGCCAGATTCAGACCTGGTTTGGTTGTAGGGGGAGGAATCTGGCTTGCCGAGCCATCATCTTTGCTGCGAGCCGATGCCGGGGGGTTGAGGAACAGTCGTCGATGAGCGTCAAAGGTAGTCAGTTTGGTGGGATGGATCAAGACCTTGGAGGTCAAGGAGTCCTTGTATGGCACATAAATCGTACGAGATCCATCTTTACCCCGGATACCAGAGTTCCGGCGTAATAGACGGCGACCCCGGGCTCGCTCCTTGGCTCTCCCTCGGAACCATTTATAACCTCCATAACCCGAGCCGATGATCGAGACAAGAAGGGCTATTGTTGCAATCAAACGGTTGATCTTGGAGGTGCGGTGGAACTTGGAGCGTACGAGATCGGAGTAATGACGATATAGTGCCAGGAGGGGATCCTCCGGACGCCGAAGGGTTGACTGGACAGCCATCTTCAAATGGCCTGAGACCTCCGACTCACGAGATAATTGAAGGGCGGTCCCTATCCCAAGGCCTGGTTAGTTTTGAGTGTGTTCTGAACCATATGAAATGCATCTCAAGGTGAGAAAGTGAAAATGACCGTTGACGATGTGGTGTGCATTGCATGTGAACCTCGGATATGTGGAGAAGCCTCACGTGGGGAAACCTTGGAAGCTGACTGTACTTTTGTCCACTGCACCTGGATGTTTTGGTAAAGGACCGACTTGGGATAATAATAGAAATCATAATGGGGAACCCTGTCCTTAGCCCTGAGATGTTCTCATGGATTATATCTTTAGTTTGTACGGAGTCCTCCGTACAGGGTAGTATTATGTTCTTTGATACCCTTTTGTTATTGGCTTGCATTCAGTTCAACTTGCCTATGAAACATTCCAACCCAACTAGACCTCGAGAACTCGAACCACTCACAGGTCATACGTAGAACCCGGATTGCAGTTCGCAATTTGCAGTTTGGAGTTCGGACTGGATCCAATTTGCGGTGACATCAAATGAAATCAATCACGTTTTGAAGGCCATAGCTCCTCTTACTGCCATATGAGTGGTCATTAAAGCCTAGAAGTGGTCATAAAAAAAGGGGCCGGACATAACAATCACAGCTAATATCCACAATGAGATGCCCCCACAGGCCCTGATCGGGATCATCTCAACAGGGTTCTGTTTGATTTGACCCAGACGCTGTGTAGGATGTAAAGAGTATGGTATGATAGAATATAAAGGAACAAGAGATGTCCCGGTTCAAATGTAAAAAGTAACCGAGTACTCCGTACACGACTCTGCACAGCGTGATTAACAGGTATTCACCGTAGCCGCCGATGGCTTGAAGTAGCGTGTGAAAAAAGGGCCCCTGTGCCTTGCTAGCCTTGTTAGCCCTGTTTAGCGTCAGAAAAAGGAAAAAGGCAATAAATCTCATTTCCCCCCGTTTTCCCACACCGTATGTTCACGTGACACCCCCGACTCCTCTCGACTCCTCTCACCCCCGAAATTCATCCTGACGGTAGAGATATCACATCCATTTCCTGTTCGTTTAGCTTGTCGATTTTGAACCTGCAATAAGTGGGTGTTGGATCACTCCCGGGGCCAAAGGCGGTACGTGCGAAACATCTTCCAGTGCTTATCCAGGAGGTGTGTTAACGTTCCTATTAGCCGCGCTCTCGACCTCAGAGAGTTCTGGCTTTGACTCGACCTTTAAAACCTGGGAACGGTTTTGCTTCGCTTCCTTTTGCTATAATTATCTGTGTTGGGGCATCCGACACCGCAACCACCCTCGATGAGTGGAGAGACAGGACGAGATTCAGCACCGGAATCTGCAAACAAAGCCCCTATGAATACCTCCGGTCTTCCGGGCTCAGCTGGTAAGTAAATGCGCTCCTTGTTTCCTTTGTGCTCCAAGGGGATTTGATCGCTGACTTCGTTCCTTCCGTAGTTGCTGAGCCCGAACAGGGTCGAGGTACCGATGCGACCGAGGTCCAGGACGCAACCCCTGTTGCACCTTCCGAACCGGCTTTGTCTTCCGCTGTACCAGTGGATAGCACACCGGCCGCTGCTGAAGGCGTTACCGCAACGAAGAAACGCCATTTGTTGATTCCGATCCCGTCGCGACGATCTTCGAGAGCCAGCAAACAACAGGGGTCGGAAAAGTCCGAGGAAGCAGCGCAGGATGAGCCTTCGCGACGGAGTTCCAAAGTGAGCATCCTACGGTCGAAACGGGACAACAGTCGGGCAAGTAGCCGACGGTCGCGTCGGACTCAGGACGAAGCGAATGCGGAGGAGAGTAAAGAGGCGTCGACTATGCCTGATGACAGCCCCTCAAAACCTCAACAGAAGAAAAGTCCATCTAAGCTTTTAGCTTTCTTGGGCTGTTGCTCCTCCTCGGAGGTGGATGCAGATGACACTGCTTTGCCTGCAAAGAAGACCGCCATGCGACCTCTTCCTTCCAACAGGTTGCCCACTCCAGACAAGGCAGAGGCTCCTACTGCCGATTCTAGCACAGTAGAATCAAAGGAGCAATATTTAGACGAA